ACAAATTTCCATCCAAATCCAGACAGCATTAAAACAAAAATTCAACCCGAGTACAATAAAAAGAAAAACAATAGGATGAGTAGAATCAAAGTTATAATGATTGTGCTACAAAGTGTCGCACCGTTCAGCTTATTAGGTTTGTTGAGGCAGCTGCCAAGGATTGGGAAAACAAACTTTATCACATTTTTTCACGAAGGCAATTGGAGACCAGAGCCCAGACTAAGGTGTTTCTAACCCCAACATTAAAACTAACAATACACATTTACGAACCACAGGTAAATGGCAGAAAACATAATGTCCTTTTAAAAATCAGAATTAAAATGATTCTTTAAAACGTCAAATCTCAAATGGTCCCCTTACTACCCGTGACAATGTTCCAACCGGGCGATTTCAAACGCCGTGAGCACAAACTGAACGCCGGACTGAGTGCCAAGAGCCGAGCCCACAGCCAGCGAGAGGTTTGTTTTGAGAGCAGCAGTCTGCACCAAGGCTGATGCCTATCAACCTACCCAATGAGAATGGCTGATATATTGCATTTGAGTCCATCAGCCCCATGAGCCTCATACTCTTAGTTCTTTCGGTAAAGTCACGTAGGTAAAAAAATGAAATGAGAATTAATAAAATAAAACAATAAAATCACGACGTTTCGGAGGCAACACAAGTCTCCGTCATCAGGTGGGACCGTCACTTGTGTTGCCTCCGAAACGTCGTGATTTTATTGTTTTATTTTATTAATTTTAATTTCATTTTTTTACCTACGTGACTTTACCGAAAGAACTAAGAGTATGAATCCTTGCAGTCACGAAAGCTTCAAATCTAGAACCCATGAGCCTCCCCAGACCAATGTTTTCAAGTGGCATTTGTAGAAAACAGGTCAAATGTGCACCGGTTTCAACTTCCCCAGTCTCGTCTGCAGTGTTGGGACCTGTTAATTGCCGCTGGCTTGTCTTAAAGTTACCGAGAAGAGCCATCCACTCAGAACATTGGGAGCTCCCCCTCCTTGTTCTGAAACAACATTTCTGCAAGAGTTATCAACGGAATTATTTAAAGTCAACAAAACCATGTTTTCCCCATTATTTTTCCCATCAACGAAATGCACAGCCATCTGTTAGAGTTCTTGTCAACAATACTCACACTGGTTGCAATGATTCGCATATTGCCCATTCCAGGCATTGCAGGCATTCCAGGCATTCCAATTAAGTGTTGCGATTCAGGATTGCGATTTGATTCAATCCATTTATTTATGCATTGTTGTAAATATCTAAAACTTCACCAACTATCTAATGAAAGCCCCCCCCCCCTTAGTCATGGAGGATGTTTGAAGGTACTTTATGTGAATCGAAAAACAAATTATTTGGATCTTTCAGTAAAGTCACGCAGATAGGTTCTATCTCAGCGACTTTACCGAAAGACCCAAAAAAATATGAATTCCTGCAGTCACGAAAGCTGTAAGTCAAGAAAAACAGATTCTAACAAACATGATCCGATGCATTGAATTCAACTCTCGTGCAGGTGCTCACGACAAGATCGGGAGCGATGGCAACTGCTTGAAAACTTCATCGAGCAAAATCATTAATAATTTACATAAATCATATTTGTGACTCACTTGGACAAAACTAAGAACATGTTGCATCCTATCCGAAGAACTTAACTATTGAACATTACTTTAACCTAATTTTAGTTCGTAGTTTGCCGACAGTTTAAGGTACGTTCATGCTTTATAAGCCGCGTGTAGTTGCGCACGGCCAAGTTCCGGCGTTTTTGAGGCGAGGTTTGGTGAATCGCGCGAGGATTTTGTGAAACTTCCAAACCTGTTGAGGCATGAGGTGACTCGACTGAAGCAGTGCATCAGGTAGACCTTCGAATCCTTTTGTGTCAGAGCTTTGAGTATTGTGCCATCGTACACGTGGTGGGGCTTTTTTTTTCTAGGTATTTCTGTCTTTAATCCCACAAGCTAAACGCTCAGCGTCAACAGAAAACCGACACTGCAATGATCGTCCCCTTCGCTGTCTGTAACACCGTTTGGCATCATCGCCTGCTGTAGCAGTTGGATAAAATCATCAGATTCCGTTCTACTGCAGACGTAATCGTGGCGACGCTCAGAAACCGAACTTTCAGGGTAGACCTCGCCGACAAACACAGCCGCCAGAGAATTATGAACGACGGTCTCCCCCTCAAGGCCCGGTACTATTTCCGTCACAAGTTAACATTCATATATATAGGTGACCTGCCATCTACACCATCTCGCAAGTTCATAAATGTAGATTACATAGCTCTTGCTGCACAGTGCACAAACCTCGAGGACATCGCCAATATTCTATCGGGGGAGACTGCAACAAAATCCTTCCAAACCCACTACAAGCGCTTTCCACACGAACAATCGTGCAGCTGATGGACTCTTGATGTGTTCTTCCATGGTCGTCCACTGTGCTACGACCCCCGCCCCAAGATATCGATCAAGGGGTTGTAACATGGATAAGCATGACCTTTAAGCCCCACGTAAAAAAGATTTGTGAAAAGACCAAATCAAGAAATCGGCCCGATAGAGATACTTGCAGGAACAACTCAATTGATATGCAGAGTACTGTGCTCGAGTCTGGTACGCGAGCTCTTACATAAAACTGCTAGATGCACAAATAAATGCTTTGCGCATCATAACCAGAACAATGAAATAGACACCAACCCCCTGGGGCTCCCAGTTCTGGCAAACTTTCTGGCACCAAACATCCGTTTTCGTGCCAACAACAACAACCTAACCATCAACCAATACCTCAACAATGAATCTCGCCACCCACTCAATTCCCGATCGCCCTTCCAGAATCGTGCAGTCACCATCCTAGAATCTCACCCAGATCCGGACAAACGCTGGCGAACACAGTGGAACTACGTTGATGTCCAGAATAAACTCCTCATTCGAGACCCAAACATCGCACCTCCAGGCTTTGACATTCCTCCTCATCCATCGAAGACACCGCGGTGTTGTAACCATCAACCGCATCAGAACATCACCAGGACGATGTGCACATCTCCTTCAAAAATGGAAAATTAAAGCCACAAGCCACAGGAGAGTAACTGTGGCCATGCAAACCAAACTATGGACCGCATGGTTATACCAATGTAGTCTGCACTCCTCGTCCAATGGAGGAACAGAAAAATTACACCAACTCTCTCCCGAAGCCCTCTCGTGGCTAGCAGACCTCGACATTGCCACCGAGATCCTGAACATTGGCATACACACGAATAGAATATAACAATCGTTAATGGAATTATTCAATGATCCTGAATTAGGACCACCTTTAACATTGTTTAATCAAAGAAGCAATATTGTGATTATTTTATACCGTTTCATTGTTTTTTTTGCATGATGTTAGGTATAATTAAAAGTTAATTTCAGTCCTGACTAATATTTTAAAATTACATGTTATGTTTTATTATTATACTCATCATGTGTTCTATATTGTTTTCAGGGGAAGTGTTTGGGTAGTGGTTGGCAAATCCAGCAGATGGCCATCTTCCTGGCCCCATTTATACAAATATTGATGTATTTGGCCATAGTAATGCACGAGCCATCGTCAGTCATTCCACTACAGCAGTGGGTATCAAAGTGCGGTCCCTGGAGCATCAGGTGGGCTGTGACGGTCCTCCAGGTGGACCGCGGGTCTGTGATGCAAATCCAGGTTTCATCCGGAAATGACAAAGTTTCTACCTTTTTGGTTTGGACATTAATTCATATATTAGTTAAGATATTTCATTTTTTAAAAATAAGTTAGGTAAACTACCCTGATTAAACGCCAGATCTAAATGCCAACCTCAAAAAAGAAAAATTACAGCTGTGTTTAAAATCAAAAACAAATTGATGTTCCGGTAACATTAATAATGTTGTATTAGTGGTGTTAATACAGAGAAGTGAATGCGTTTTTTGTCACCAGAGGTGGGGGGCTGGGTGGTCCGTGGGCCAAAAAAACTTTCAGAAACACAAGTCGACAGGTATGCAATTTAAATGTACATTAAATTATATCTGGCCCAACGACAACAAAGGAAAGCCTGTATAGTTTAATTCCATTGGGGATGATGTTTACGAGCACCTATTGAGGTCTGCATGGTGCACAAGGGGACAGGTATGAATAGCATGACGGTCCACCTTTGTCCGACCAGTGCTGATGTCTTACACACTGCACCAGGTAATCATTTAAGGGTCTATCAACTCAAAAGAGGTCAAACACCAGTTCAGGGATCACTCCCCTACTGCTGTTAGCAGTCGTCCCAAAAAGGAACGCCGGTTACCAGACTCGCAGCGCAGTGATATGCATATGCACACACGCATGTTATACATAGTAATATTATAAATGCACGCAATTAAATCATACCATCATGATGTGCCCACACAGGACCGAGTTTGCACGCAATTAGCCGTGACCCAACCGCACGGTAACTGCATTACTTTCAGTTCGTGGAGAGAATGCGCGGTGTGATCACGCACGAAATGTGCAACGATCATCGTAATTTCACGTGGAATGAAATACAATGAGATTGCTGGCCTAATAAAAAAAAAAATCGCATTACTGACAGAAGCAGCACACCTACAAAAAAAACCCCACCCGCGTCCGCATATATTCGTCTGCCAATTTGGGTGGTAATAGTGCATGCCGGCGCTCTACTCTACAAGCAAATGCTCTACATAAGCGCATTTGAGTGCCAAACACAGCGGCCATGCGTGCCAGTTGGTCGCAAAAAAATCCAGAAACCCAGCGCATTGGAGAGGGTTTGAATGAATGTCCGAAATACCCCCCCACCCACCCCCTCAATGCCCCGTGCTCCTATGTGAATAAAGTGGGCTTATTATGACTATCACCATTGGCCCCTCTCCCAGATGTTCGCTCATTGTGCCTCGCAGACACAAACACGATTGTGTTTTTTTGCTTCAGGATTAGGCCAGTGTACACTGCGTAGTATAAAAGGGCCCGTCCCTCGCCATTTCAAACTTCATCCGGAAACAGACTTGCCTCCAACAACCATCACCATGGGAAAGGTACAATATCTCAAGCTCGTGTCTTGTGCACTTGTCTTTGTCTTTGTGTGCGCGTGTCTGTGGGTTTCTATCGTAGGGAGTGGTAGCGCAGTGGTTAGCGCACTGCTTTGCCAGCCCTGCGAACAGAGTTTGACTCCGCTTCACCACGAATAACAGTGGCGAATATTTTTGAATTGGTCCTGGGCCTCTCCGTGGTCGATTCAGCCATAAAACGAGTACCTGGCGTGTAAACATAAGTACTGGAGAGACAAAGATGGCCGGGCGTGTTGCCGGCCACCCACGCCGTCGTGCCGACCTTAATAGGGGTTCGCTAACTGAAGTCGGTTAGAAGGCTATTTGGTGGATCTTTGTGTTTGTCTTTGTATGCGATGGTAAGGTGGTTTACCCACTGCGCTGCCATCAAATGGCAAGTTTTTTCGGTAAAGTCAGGTAGGTATAAAATAAAAGAAATTAAATCACGCCGTTTCGGGTGCACCACAAGCGTCCGTCATCAGGTGGGACAACCACAGCAAGAAACAAATTGCTGAAGTTGTTTCTTGCTGTGGTTGTCCCACCTGATGACGGGCGCTTGTGTTGCACCCGAAACGTCGTGATTTAATTTATTTTCTACTAACGTGACTTTACCGAAAGAACCAAAGAGTATAGATTCCAGCAGTCACGAAAACTTAAAATCTAGAGCAAATGGCAAATTGTACCAGAACTTGTCTTGGCCTCCCCTAGGTCGAATCGACCTGAAAAAGAGGAGCTGCTGCATGGTAAACACCTAAGCGCCGAGGGTAACAAGAGGAGGCCAGGCGAGATTCCGGCCACACCACCCACTTGTGTGGCATGGCTAGCCTTAAATCGATGCTTGCAAAAAATTAACCCGTAAAAACAAAGTTTTTCACTATAAATCCTTTATATGCATGGCGGCTAGAGTCCTCTCGTCCTCTGGCTTGAGATGGCTGCCACCTATGGGTCAGATGATTGCCTGGCAGCATTAAGCAATTGGTAATTAAATATTTTTTAAAAATTCCTAAAAAGTGTCAAATTTTGCAAAAAAAATTTCACGAAAATTAATTGTCACGCACGAGTCTGTGTGGAAAATGTCAGCTCGATTGGATCACGGGAAGTGGGTTAAAAAACGACCGAAAGATTTGCACGGTCGTAAGCGCGCAAGCAAGCGAACTTAATATAAAGGATTTAAATAAAAAACGACCGAAAGATTTGCACGGTCGTAAGCGCGCAAGCAAGCGAACTTAATATAAAGGATTTAAAAAGCATGAGCACTGACTAACAAGGTTGTATGGAGGATCATTTTGTATGGGTGTGTAAACCACGATAATTCTGAACCTGTGCAATGAATTGGGCCTACGAGCACTGTGCTTTGAACTCGGTCACGGCGTGGTTGAAGTATTGGCAAAACCACCCCCACCGGCCGACACGGTGTTGGGAGGCCTTCATTCAGCAGTGGATTGACAAGGAGGCTCTAAATTGTCACGATGGAAAACTGGCGTATGGAATTGTATTCATGTCACTCCATCAATTGATAAAACCTTTTTACAACCGTCTAGCATTCGTCCATGTCATTCCTTCATTTATGTCTCTGCATGCCTCTCCATCCATTTGCCTACGTCTGCTACTCGGGTGCTCAAACCAGTCATCATAAATCGTCCGTCTCGTCCCGTGTTCCTGTTTGTCGGGGGCGCTCAGATCGTGTTCTACGAGAAGAACAACTTCCAGGGCCGGAAGTATGAGAACACGGTGGATTGCACCGACCTGGAGGCCATGGTGCAGGGCCCCGTGAGCTCCGTGCGCATCGAGAGCGGCACCTGGGTGCTCTACGAGAGGAAGGACTTCACGGGCACCATGCACGTGCTCTCGCCCGGCAAATTCGCCGACCCGGCACAGTGGCAAGTGCAGGGCGAGCAGTACATCCTGTCCTGCCGCATCCTCCGCCAGGTACAAATTACGAGGTTCCCCATCGCTCGCTTTCGCCCACAGCACTTCTCTTCCTGGCATCCCCCCCCCCCCCCTCTTCGCTTCTCGAAGTTTGGATCTGCCCTGCCTTCCTCGTCTTAGTCCTCCACTCACAACACTCTCCTGGGCAAAAATCACATCTACTCCTCGCATTGCTTCTACCGACATGACTGTATCCGTCACCAGTTGAGGACAGAGGAGCCGACAGGCCAGCGCGGTTTTATCGGTTCGAATCTCACCATCTCTGAGAGCCAACAGCTCTCGTCCTTCTTCCTGGAATCTTTTCCCCTCTTTACGTGGTAGTTAGCATTCCAGGTGCTCCTTCCCCACCCATTCTCATGTCCTGGGCAAATTCGACGTCAACTCCACAGGTCTTCAGATCCAGGTTCACCACTTCAAACCACCTCTTTCGACACCTGTCCCTCCGGGTGTCCACCCCGGTGTGGTTTTTGCGCTCTCCTTAGGAGCACATCGGCAGCGCTTGGCCCAGATCTGAGAGTTTTTGAGGTGCAATCGACCCACTTCCTACGGTGCTGATAGGTACCGTAGGAAGAGCCGCCACGAGGTGGCTTTAGATGCAAGCGGTGAATGCGTTTATTTTAGAGTTATCGTGATTAGATTGTTTTGTTACAGATTTTTTTGAGAACAAAAGCTGTACCAGTCCATTAAAAAGCTGGGCGAGGTGCACGCTTGGAATTGCACTTTGATACAGGAAGAGAAACGTGGAATTTGTGTACATGCGCAATTTTAACATCATGTTGACTTAAGATTCTGTACGTAGCCTTGGGCATGACACGCCGCTAGAAAAGATGACAGCTGGCAGTTGCAACTTAAAGACAGAGTAGTAGGAATAGTAGGCAACCACATCTAAGTGCACTTCCATTGAGGGGATGAAATCAGCTAGTGTGTAGGGTCTACATTGAATGTCGCATAGCAAGACAGCGTGGTGGCGACGGCTTGGGAAAGAGGACTTTATGCAGCAGTGGGTAGATCATGGATGATGAGTCTGCATCATTTTCACAATAAATCAACTGCCGACTGGCCACGAAAATTATTAGTGATTGCAACAAGAGTGCCAAGTGGCACAAGAACCATGACAGGATGAACATTTCAGGATTTGAAAGATGCAGCGCTGTGCTCTCTCATGCCATGCCTCATTCCTCTCTGGCTGCGGCTGCCATGCAAAACTGCAAAGAACACTACATTTTCACTTTGCAGAAGTTATAAATTAAGCAATCAAATTCATTTCCGTACATTAACTGAAAACTTTTTACAAAAAAAAAATCCCCTAACCTTCTTCCCATTCTCAATCTACTGACGCATGAAGGCCGCCCCACGCAATGTCAGTTATGCTTCACCACGCTGCTCAGTGCGGGCTGGTGAAGTGGATGGCACCTAGGATCAGGCCAGATATCACTTGCCGCCATGGCCAGAAATTAAACTCAGGTCTCCAGGTGCATAGCGCAGTGTGCAAACCACAGCGCAAACACTCCCTTGAAAATACCGGATGGATATATAAGGTATATTGGCATGTTGGCAGGCTCCCAACAATATGGGTTGTGAATTCAAACCTCAGACATATGTGGATTAGAGAACACACAAGTTAGAGACATCAAATTTGTAAACGGGTCATTACGTGTTTGCTATGCATAGTAAATCGATGCCCTGGATCCCATTAGCAACAGATGTTTGATCAGGGTATTTTGCAGGCGAAATACAAATTAACTAGACGCAGAAAAAAGTGGGCATTGACAGAACAGGATGGTTGAAGGGATGACGACAGCGGTCGAGACTAATGACAGAGTAGCAGCGAAAGGAGGGAGGACGCTCGAACGAGCACCCACCGCCGCGTATAAACGAAGCCACGACACGAACCCGCGTGCAGGGGGGCTAGGTGGGTTGTTCCATTGCAGGAATGGCGAGTAGATGGCAAAATCTTGAGTAGGCCTTTATCCTACAGCGGATATATTATGTATGCCGAACTTCAAACCGCAGACTTTACCGAAAGACCCAAAGAATATGAATTCCTGCAGTCGCAAAAGCTTTAAGTCAAGATTAATGCTGAACTTCTTTCGCAATCGCACATATCCAACCGTGCTAATCGGAGGACAACAAACTAAAACGCAAAATCAAAGTTCCAAAGAAACGAGTTGCCGATCGCATGTCTCTCTACCAGGCGAGCGGTGGCCACCGCATCCGCCTGTACGAGAAGGCGGAGTTCGCCGGCGACTGCCTGGAGCTGAGCGAGGACTGCCCGGTGCTGGAGGCGCGCTGGGGCCGCAAAGACGTGCAATCGGTGCGCGTGGTGTCCGGCGGTGCCTGGGTGGCGTACGAAGAGCCCGAGTACCGCGGCCGCCAGTACTGCTTGGAGCGCGGGGAGTACCGCAAGCACCAGGCGTGGGGCGCGACTGCGCCGCGCGTGCAGTCTCTGCGCCGGTTTACCGAGTGCTGAGCGAGGACCCCCCCCCCCCCCCACCACGGCCACCTCGTCCTCCTCATCCCAGCAGCGGTGTGCGCGCACTGCGTGGAGGGGGTTGGAGCGTGGGCACCAAAAACCCAAAGTCCATGGGCCCAAACGAGATGCAATCTCTTTGTCTGGGTAACAACCGAGGTGGCCGTATATAACCTTTGCGGCCACAATTCATGTGCGGCCAATAACAGTGAAATATAAGTAAAAAACCCGATTTGAAATGGGTGGGTTATGAAATACTTCACCTATTTTTCACCATACAAAAAGGTGCGCTACATGAGATGGTACCAATTTCTGTTCTGGCCCATGGACTAAAGCCACGGTCTATACACTCAAGTCGTCATCATAGTCATCAGGAGCCTCGAGTTATCCGCTGCTGGATGAAGGCCATCCTTGGGGGGTATTGTTGTGTTGCAGCATTCGATCCATCTTTCCCCTGCACCACAAGCCAATCTCAAGGTTCATTTTCTGCGGTGAGTGTCCTCTAGGGCGTATTCCACACACAGGTATATAAGTTTATACTGCAGGCCTGTAAAAACCCATCGATTATAAATCGGATTAAATAAATGGTTATGCTCATCGTGAATCGGGATCGTGCGCATGAGAATTCTTTCATCATACGCTGATGTTTCGTTTGGGTTAAACGGTCCTCAACTTTACAAACCAGATTAAAAACAATCTATTGTCAATTCAAACCGTGACCTCCAATCATTATAATTCATCCATTTAGTCATTACATGCTTAATAATACAGTATGTTGAACTTCTTTTGCACCGTACGTAGCCAATCATGCTAATCGGCGGTGTGGGATGAAGATATGCCCACGCCAGTACTATCCGACTGGCCCCGTGGTGATGTACTACATCTAAAATAGCCACTGAAGCAACTTTTGGTTTGCAGTTATGATCCAGCGACTATGAATAACGTAATTTTAAAAAAACTAATGTAATGTTCCTTTTCTTAAGGAAGCAAGCTACATTTTAACGTTTAAGGTCTGTTTACCAACACGCTACATCTCTCCTTTCCCACGTAGAATATTTGTTAAATATGACCTCTATACTATAATTACACATATTCTGGGCATATATCATGGATGCACAGGGATGACATGTGTGTAATGTATTCATGAGTTCATTCCACAGCAAGATAATTGGAATGTAGATAATATAATCAAGTGGGCAGGTCTCTGCTCCAGGCCCACATAGCCTGCTGCTGTGAGTCCAACACAATGTGATAACACCGGCTACAGAAGCTGCACATTCAAGGGATGGCGTACATGGACAGTCCTTCTGTCTATCCACTGCTGGATGAGGGCCACGAGATGATGAACGAGAGCCACGAGATGATGAACGAGACCGAGTGTACAGACTGCGGCTTTGTAATCCGGCGTTTTGCGCAGCGGACGAACGCGACCCTCACAGCTTTAACGACGCACTATTTATTTGCTGGGCAGGTGATTTCACAACGCAATATTACACCTGAAAACGTTGTAAAAATAAGCATTATTTGTGGTGCTTAATATCCTGCAATAAAGCCAAATGCAATGCAACAATTGTGAGTGTAAAGAATGCCTCATTTCATTGCAACAATGACACTTTTCACATAAAAAAAAATTGCAGACGTTAAAATGGACACTGGGTTAAAGGCAGTCGATCTGCTTTACAACCCTGCGTCAATCCACTGCTGGATGAAGGACTCCCCCCACGGCTGTCAGTCGTGGGCGTTGTTTGACCATACTTCACCACGCTCCACAGTGCGTGTTGGCAAAGTAAACGTGGGCTGCCCCAGTACCGGGTTGATATACCACTTGCCACGACATGGCAGGGAGTAACATCTCATGCCGACGCATTCATATCGCAGTGCGTCAAGCACTACCATGCAGAGGTGGGACAAAGTCATTGTTATGCAAGTCCAAGTCGAGTCTGAAGTCATCAAATTCATGACTCGAGTCTGACTCGAGTCCAAGTCACATGACTCGAGTCCACACCTCAGAGGTGGGACAAAGTCATTGTTATGCAAGTCCAAGTCGAGTCTGAAGTCATCAAATTCATGACTCGAGTCCAAGTCACATGACTCGAGTCCACACCTCTGCTACCATGCCCCCCCGCCCCTCCACACACATATCATAGCCATACTAAATAGCACCTCCAATTAGCACGGTTGCTACGTACGGTGCGAAAGAAGTGCAACATACACACAGTACTCTATATTTGTCACGTCTAGCAAAGAGACATTGATCCTCAGCTGTCTTGGTAAAGGCACCCCACTGCAGCGTAAACACATTGGGCGTATTCAATCCAGATATCAAAGATAATATATACAACTGGAGGAATTATGTTGAATGTAATGTAGGTCTGCATATGGTCATATGACATCAGCAAATCTACATGTATCTACCATCTAAAGCTCCTAACATCGGATGCACTGGAAAACTCGTGGTTATCAATGGCTTTGGTCGTGATCTCGACTTTTAAAAACTCCATGTACACTCTAAACTAAATTATTTGGTGATACTGTGTTGGCAGTGGTGCACAACAAGGCCGTAGCCATGGAGTCAACATTGGGGGGGGACCAAATCTTCCAGGGGGTCTGGGGTCCCCCCCCCCAGAAAAAAAATCTAAATTTGAAAACTCATTTCCTGCCATAAATATTTTAAAAATTCACTAAAACATGGGATGGACTTTTTCATTTATTTTTTACAATAATGTCTAGTAGTTTATTGTATTACATTGCTGTTTTTTTCTTTTTTACCTTTTCTTGTTGCATTGTATTTAAATGGCAGAGATTAGGGATTAATAAAGTACAACCATAACCACAATCATATAAACAGAAATCTATGCATCGTTATATGAAGACAAGTTTAGATTTTGTGGCCAAGGTTTAGCAAATTGTTGTTTTTATTTAAATAGCATCGCAATTATTATTTTTAAAAATATTTTTATAGCAATATATTGGGGGGGAACATTTTGAGCATATTTGAATATTATAATTATGAATATTATTTCTATTATAATTACGGCCGTGGTGCCCAAAACACAATAAACAAAAATAAACTCGCATTCCTCAAATCACACTCGCCAACAACAACCTACCCGTCAACCAAGACCTAAACAAACAATGTAACTCACAATCGAGTCAAGTACCTATTCAGCTTCTGGGGATCACGCCGTTACCGTCACAGAATCTCGCCCAGATCCCGATGATCTGGGCGAGATTCTGGGGGGGGCACGGAGCCCCCCTAATCGTCACCCCTAACCCAGCACGCATGTGAACCTGGCACCTCACAATCTAACAATTACACAATAACCACCTTCCTCATCAAGTTCACAATTGCCGTTGATTGATTCCAATAAACGATCGAACTTCGTGCGAGAAAACCGATATCTTTAACGCTTTTAAAAAAAACTCCTTTAAACAAGTTTTTTTTTAAAAACAACGCTTTAAATAACAACTTCGTTTAAATTTTGATTTAAAGTTTTCGTGACTGCAGGGATTCATATTCTTGGTTCTTTCGGTAGTCACGTAGAAGGTAAACAATAAAATAATAAAAATATAAAACAATTAAAATTCTCACGACGTTCCGACTCCAAAGCAAAAAAAATGGAAATTTTTCTTTTTTAAATTTTGAAAAAAGTTTTTTTTTCTTGCTGTGGATTTCACACCTGATGACGATTGCTTGTGTTGCAGTCGAAACGTCGTGAGAATTTTTATTGTTTTATATTTCTATTATTTTATTATTTCCCTTCTACGTGATGACTTTACCGAAAGAACCAAGATATAATATAGATATAATATAATATATTTTTATTATTTCCCTTCTACGTGACTTTACCGAAAGAACCAAGAATAACAACTTCGTTTAACTCACGGGTCGAGAAGTGCAGTGGGGTCAATGGCGACGTCGGTTTGTGCGAGCCGATTCAACAGTTTAGGGACCGCGGCGTTTTTAACCTACACACAAAAATATATAAATAATAAGGCGTCCATACAAAATGTTAATTGCTTTAAAGTAGCTAATTAATTGATTCATTGATACAGGCATGCATTGTCACCGGATCTGAGTACGTGTGCACAATTTGAAATTGATTGGACAACAGGAAGTAGACTAAATTTTGATGACAAGATTTGACCACGACACAGAAATCAATTTAGGAAAGCTGCTGAGGCAGACTGTTTTAAAGGTTTAATAAAATATTTTAAAATAACTTTTAAAAAAACACGCTTCAATGAAATGTACTGTCCGAGCTGCCCCTCCCCCTGCCCCCTTCCCCCATCGCCCCTCCCCCTCCTTCCACATGCCCCGCCCCTGGGCGTGGCTCCCCGAGACTTGCCGTGACGTCAGGAACTGTGGTGATTTACAGCCAACGTGAGTTGAGCGTGGACAATTAGATCTGTAAAAAAGATTTTTTAACATTTTATTTTTTATGATAGAATATAGTATTGTCATCAGTATGACGACATACGTATACCAAGTTTGCAGTCGATACGACATTGGGAATACGGTTGAAATTGAGTTACAAGATTTTAGGATACAACAACACACAGAGTAAGTTAAATGAAAGCGTGTAAAATGTTGAAAAATGTTTTGGATTTTTTTTATGATAGAATATAGTCTTGTCATCAGTATGACATAGGTATTTCAAGTTTGCAGTCGATAGCACATTGCGAAGTGGGTAAAATTTGAGTTACAAGATTGTTTTTGGGAGGAAAATAGGACTAATCAGTTAAACAAATGCAGTGTGGTTTGGAAAATACTATACAGTATTTATAGTTATAGAAAATACTACACTTAAAAATAAAATATCATTTGTTAGGGTTTTCTTTATTTCAAAGGAACAGGCGTTTGTCGGTGCTTACTGTAATTATCTTGGCGATCATGAGCCAGAGGTATACATTCCACATTCCCATGGCGAGGCCTTGCCTTTCTCAATGACAAGCATTGTTGAGTTACATAAAAGCGTGTAATAATAATAAAATGGGTGTATCCCAAGGGTCATTCACGAAGTGGGCGGGGCTAGTTATGTTAATGTAATAAATTAGCATATTAATTCCTGCAGCCACTAAAGCTTTAGGGGCCGTCCATAAATGACGTCACGCGATTTTGGACGATTTTTTTACCCCCCCCCCCCGTCATCACACGGCGTCAGGCCCCCCCCCCTCAAATATGACGTCACAAAACCATATTTCCATTTTAAAAATAAAACATGCTTCAAATCGCTTTAAACTATTGTCATTGTAGTGCGTATTTAATGTGGCGCTGCACTCTGATGTTGTAGGAGAAAACATTTATTAAAAAGTCTATTTAATTAAGTAGAACGTGTTGTCGAAATTTATACTGGTAGGAACCTCCTGGTTACACCAGCCCACAGGGGATTATTGTGTCCGTCGTGCAGGGAGGGGCTGGGTGGGGAGGGAGGGGCTGGGTGGGGAGGGGCTGGGTGGGGAGGGTGGGTTAGGAGCTGGGTGGGTAGGGTGGGGCTGGGTGGGGCTGGGTGGGGAGGGGCTGGTCACCCCGTGGTGCCCTTATAAAACTCAACGTTTCACCTACTGACGCCGGCTTGTGCCCGGCCTCACAGTCGGGCATATTTGCGGAATACACCACGCCGCTGTTGACCCTGGCCATTGACCGAGCAACCCAACGCAGGAATGTGTAAAGTTGCGCATTTTGATGTGACGTCACATTTCTCACCCCCCCCCCCCTCGTCACACATCGTCACAACCCCCCCCCCCTTTAGGTGCGTGACGTCATTTATGGACGGCCGCTTACCGAAAGACCCAACGAATGAGTTACCTGGGCTATTTCGCTTGCGAAAAGTGTGAAGCGGAATCGATTCTCGGCTCCCCAACAGCGACGTGGATCGATTGCCATTTGTTTTGGATCCGCTTTGTCCCCGTGACGTCACGACGCCTTCACCCTCAGCGTCTCCCCCCCCCCAACCCCACCGATAAAATCTATTTAAACATTACGTTCGATTGTGTGTATAGCTTCGTAATATAATTTTTTAATCTGTTTTTTAAATAAAACGGAGTAAATAACGACGAGCTATTTGCCCCATGAATGGGCATAACGCGTTAAGTCTATCGAGGTTAAGTTGGATTTCGGCGCGCACCCCCCCCCTGGACTACGGGCCCTGCGGGGCGAGGCGCGTCCCGAGCCCGGCAGCCCGGTCAGGCGAGGTCGGGGATTCGGCCTTCGATCTTCGGACTCGGGAGAGTGACGGTGAGGCGATGAGTCGGCGCTGTGAAAGTTGGGTAATGATATTTAATTGGTGTGTATTTTATGGTGCTTCTTTTGATATCAGATGTCGGCACGGTGCGGATTGGTTCGTCGGGTGTTTTTAGGGTGCCTGTGCATGGTTAGTGTTGTTGATTTAATTTCCTCCATTGTAATTGTTTTATTATTATTCTTGAATATTAATTCCTGCATTCACGAAAGCTTTAAGTCAAGATGCATTAGCATTGTCATCAAACATCGGTAACATCATCAACAAGCATCTTTACGTTTTCGTCACCGACCAATTGTCATCTCGACCACGGTCCCTACAGTTTCCATCGCAGTAATTGTCATCTGGGTCGTCATCAACCATCGTTATCATCATCACTCATCGTGGTAATCATCAGCAGTCATCATTTCTATAATCACCACCGGTATCTTCTTGGTTCTTTCGGTTCTCATCAAGTATTGCTGGCCAAACAAAATACGTTCTTAACGATAGTCGATCCTCCTATCTGCTCTTTCTTGCGTCTGGTCTGAATCAATCTATTCCGCTGTGTCGTAATTTAAAAAAAAATTTAGTCGGGTATATATACTGCTGCTGCTGTGAAAATGTATGTTATAGCCAATGGATTATCCATAACCAAGCGTTGTCCAAACAATGTGTTCCGTGGGCCAAAAGTTAAAGTAAAACTATTGTATAGGCTTATGAAACAAATGAACCATCTTGGTCACCATGTATCTGTTGTAATGACTTGACGTTATGGATCTATTTGGCCCTTCTATATTCCATCTCTTGAATACATGTCCTGTCCTATCTTCTGAAAACAAAAATATCTCCTATCTCTGATAGTCACTTCTGAACAGATCTGTTATATTTATTTTCAGAATAAAACTATTTTGTTGATGTATGTATTTGCCGAATACAGTACATCTCCAGTCTCTCTTCGTAATGCACTTGTCCCGTATCTGTTTTGAATGCATTGCTTTCCTATCATGTTTATCATATTTATACTGAATATAAATTTCTCCTATTCTCTGCTGTCTAATCTCAATTCATCCTCATAGCTTTAACCTTATCTCACTTCTCTATATGTTACTTGTCCTTCACATCTCTTTTTCGTCTGCATCGCTCATCCTTTTAACTACATTCCTGATTTTTGTATGCTTTTTTCTCATGTTACTACATCTCATTCTCGTATTTCTGTCATCTCACTACTTATTTACACTATATCTCTGTTGCTAGCACTGTATTGTAGTACAATGTATGTAAGTGGTATGTTTGCCCAGCTACCGCATGCCCAAACAGCTTATTTTTGGCCGGATAGAGGAAGCCAAATGAGTGCAGCACAGGCTACGGAAGAAATTGACTGATGTGGTACAGAGGGATGTGAAGCTGATTGGACTAGCCGATGACTGGTACTAGCGGTGTCAAGGTCTGCCTCTGGAGGAGGTTCGTGAAGGACACTACTGGGCAGTTAGTCATTCCACCTCCAACAACAGGGCAGAGGAGCAACGCTCACACCAATAAGCGGAGCGCTAGGTGGTTGAAACACAGCACAGTGGGGAGCACAGGTGGTGCATCTACCAGTCATCTCAGTCAACCCGAAACACTTGGGTTTGACCAATGACCTGCCAGTGAGCCTTCAACACTTCACGTGACCCCAAGGTGCACCAAGACTCGTACAAGTATTGTGGTGACATCACCACTTCGTGGCGAATGGCAACTATTGTTGTGTTCATGTTATTGCTGAGTTGTTTTGTTATATCTCATCAGAATATATAAGATATATAACATAGGTTTTAAAGGTCAAGACTGGTTATAATGAAATGTCTAGCAAGTTAGTTTCTTCAGCCTTCGGAGCAAAAGGTGTGGAAGCCTCTGCCCTAACCCTGTTTTTAACCCCAGTTATATTATCTCCATTTTCCCCATACATGGTTATTCCATGCTCATAACCACATTTAATAAGCCCCACAATCCATTCTGAGTGGCAGGAGCAATATATTTTACTACAATTGCATGGCTGGCAGTGCAAATATGGTATTTCAATATAAGAAATCTCTTCCAAATGAAAATAACATTTATGAGCCACTGAATCATTTTAAAAAAATTCCCCAGCGTTACTGAATCATTCCATAATTTATACTTCAAAGCGTTATTTGCAGTGTAACTGGATTAGGTGCATAATACTAGTGCCTCTGGTTACTTAGCAACATTGTGCATGAATGATCACAGTTCTTGGGTCAGATATGCATTGTTGGTGCTCCTTAATATTAGGCTTTGGAAAACACATCAGCATGTGTTCCCTTGCTTTTTCTCTAGCCGGTTGTGTTGTAGTTTATTAAACTCAACCTGTCCAACTACAATGTATATATTTACAGGAAATAATTGTTGATGTGGTCCTTGGGTAGCGCTGGAGTGGTTGGCTGGCGATTGAAAGCTTGTGCCACACATCTATGAGTGAGAGCATATAGCTGATGGCAAGGAGAGTGCAGAGGATGCGTAACCTTTTTGTCCATGTCCCCACAGGGATGAATGTCGGAGGCAGACCCAGCAGTCAGGATGGAGAAGGAGCATCCTGGCTCTCCCAGCAGCAGCAGCGAAGGCAGCAACAGCAGCAGCAACAGCGGTGTGTGCTGGAGAAATTTCGAACTCGGACCGCGTATCGTTGCGCCGACCACTCCAAACTTCTTCTGGTCGGCCTGAGTGAGCTGCGTCGCAACAACAGCCTCTACGACATCACTCTGCGTGCAGAAGGTCGGAAGATTTGTGCCCATCGAGTCGTCCTGGCTGCGTCATGCGATTACTTCAGGTTTGAGAACGTTTTGCATTCTTCTTTCTATTATGTACGTGGAAGCTCAGTTCTATGACCAAATAACCCGGAATGTACTGTATGTCATCAGATCTAGGGAGTTAAGCAGGGTTTAGCCTGGATAGTTGCTGAAAGGGCAACCACCTTGCATAAACATGTTTTTATAGTCTGCTGTGGGGAAAAAAGTTGTGGGAATTGGAGGGCAGTCAAGGATAATCCATTGTGGTACTGTACTTCTATACTCCCACACGTGTTTCCCCACTTCACCAACCCACAATGAACACCATAGTGAAGTAACCACTATCCACAATCAGGTTGTTGATCGGGGCTAGGTGGTGAACAGCAGACGACAGTGCAGCAAAATCTATTGTTGCAATGTATGTCTATGTGTCCCCTGTCTGTGCTGCCCCCCTTAACAACCCCACAGTGACCAGAAGGGCCCTCATCCAGCAGTAATATTGACAAAAGGGCTGGAGTTTTTACAGGCTATTCTTCAGCAGTGTAGTTTTTTTACTTACAATATTGTATATTTTCCAGGCATGGCTTTACTTCAGTGAATGCATTTGTTGTGTTGTTGAAGAAGTAAATAAAGCCCCAGTGGAAAACATGTCAAATTGTCTTTCATCTGGGGCATTAAACAGGGGTCTCAGATGTACTGACTTAGTGCTGTGGCATAGATAATGACGGGTCTGGGAAATACTGCCATTTGGAAGGCACGTAGTTTTTTTTTACGACCTAATGTTTTTTTTTGGTAACGATGTCTGCACTCACAGCACTTACAACACCTAACTCGGTCAGGGCCATAGTTTTCTGTCTAAATCGTTACCTTCCTTACATCTCAATAAAGGTCTGTCCCTCGGTGGGCTCTCACTGTAAATTAGTAGCAAAACATTTGGTCATAGTGTTTATATTAGTGCATCCTAATCAGGCCAATTATGTGTAAGCCTTAAGTGTTTTATTGGACGTCTTTTGTGATTTAACGAAAATCAGGATGTGCCATTAAGATACCTCTCGCATACTGAACAATATTTGCACTTGGTGAGATGTAATGAAATTCAAGCCACGTAAGTTTTAGCCATTTTACAATGCATCGCTTCAGCGTTTAAAAGCAATTATAACACTTAGAATACATATATTGAATGGTGCGTGCATTTCCAGTTCGTAGTCCGTATGTTGTAATTGGCTTACCTAAATCTTGCATACACTAGAGGTGCTATATTAACGATAATGGTAAAAAAAAAATCGATTCTTGAATCAAATTACAACCTCGAATTGTGACATTTGATTAAATTACAAGCAGGACTAATCACTACACGGCTAATAAAGAGGGCTCGGATGCAGGCATCCTGCGGCCAATCCAACGCAGTTATTTCTTGTCACGTGACATAATTCCAGTTTTCCACCGATCGGGATGTGCCGTTGAGATGGCCTCCACCCGATCACAGTAATTCACCTGCCACCAGACCGACGGAATATAAATACGCGTAGGTTTTCATGACAGCGGAATGTGACGCGCACCCAGGGGCATGTTCGCACGGGGCCTGCGTGAGGCACAGCAGGACGAGGTGGAGATCCACGGCGTGACGTACGTTGCTCTGGAGCGGCTCGTTGCCTACATCTACACAGCTGAGCTTGAGGTGTCGCAAGACAACGTGCAGGACATCCTGTCGGCCGCCGTTCTCCTGCAGGTGCACATTTTTGTACTACAGACGAAGATCTCCCGTGTATGTGTAATAATCCTTCTTGAGACGGCTTCGGAATCAGTCCTTTTTATTTCCACTTCCACAAATACACTTTACTCACTCACTCTCCATTGCTGGCAGACAACGGAGAGAGGGCAGACTTCACACCAAGTCCCCACCGCGCACGTGGCACCCAGAGCCCCCGTACGCGCGTGACCCTGCTCTTCTCGTTCCCAAGTCTGCTCTCGATCGTTCTCTCTCACTCTCTCTTAATCCCTTCGTCACGTGGTCCCCCCAGCCAATCGTTCATGGACAGCTTCGACCATTCTCGATGGTTCCCTGTCAATCCCGGGACCACGCCCCTCATCCGGCTCCCCATTAGCTGGGGCCCCGAATGGCTAGGCCAATCACTCCTGATGACATGCCGTGATCACGCCTGGGCCATGGTCCCTATCTCAACCCTTATTGGCTACAAGCAGGACCGGCAAGCCAATCCCCACGTGAACCCTCTATGGCTGTTATTACATATGTATAGTGAACTTCTTTCACAACCATACGTAGCCAACCGTGCTTTTATCAGAGGTGTGAGGGAAGGACAACAAACTAAACTCAAGAAGCAATTCTAAAGAAATGAGTTTTCAGTCCAGAAATTAGTTTTCATTCCGCAAATGAGTTTTCAATCTAATAATAACATCCTATAAGATAGGCTGTTTGGACTAGCACTGCTAAGACCACCTATGAAAGCCAGCGCATGAGGGCATGTTGTGGCTAGCACAATGCACGGTTACATTTGTCTCCTCGTTACTGATGTTTACATATCGCACATGGTACTCAACCCAAGCGAGGCGCAGGATTGGTTCTTGTTAGCTTGACCGAGACTTTAACTCGGGGAAGTGGGTTTATGGCGCAGTGCTCTTAACAACTGTACTTCTATGCCACTACTCTCTTCTACAAATCCCCAGGTGTAGGTTGTTGTGCCACACACACAATGGAGCTATCTCTCTAATATAGCTGCAAGTCCTTTGCTAAATATAGCCTTAGCAGTGGGTAAGTCGTTTACAAGTTTACTGAATAATTGATGAGATCTGTCGGAGGGACACAAATGGAAGAGTATGTGTACTGAAGAGCGCTACTAAAGGCCGACGGGATAAAAATAATTAAATAAAGAGGTCGACGAGAGTGGGTTTCTAGTGCTTATTGTCTGTGTATTATGTATAATTTGTGTGAAGCCACTGATATAAATATAGGTTATTTTTTATTTAGGAGATATAACAAACCGCTTTAACATGTAAGTAATTGTACAATAAGTATGTAACAGACCTCCCTTAGAACTATCAAGTGGATATGGGATTTTATGACATCGTTCCATTTTATGCAAGGGTTATATATGTGTGTGGTTAATGCATGGGTCACTAAAGCACCTGCTTTAGTGGTGCAAGTGAATAAGTACTAGATATGTATTGTTGAATTGATACATGGATATTCATACACTGACCATTGTATGCTAATGTTACATTGAGTCGAATGGACAGGACAACGCCATGCAAAGGAGAAAAAAAAAAAACAATACAAATTAGACCCGTCAAAACGAGCCAAAAATGTTCTATTCTTGAATCGATCGTCCTGAATCGTAACAATTAATCGAATCGCTGGGGGGATTGAATAAATACAGGCCTAATAATTTACGTTTCCACAGATGTCGGCAGCCATTGACTGTTGCTGCGACTTCCTCGTGTCGCGGGTGGAGGCGGAGAGCGTGCCGGATCTGTACATGCTGGCTGAGGCTTACGGCCTCACGGACCTGGCGGACAAGCTCGATGCGCACCTGCTCTCCAGCTTCCCGGCATTCTGCCAGACCGAAGCCTACCGCCGCCTGCGTGTCGACAAAGTGCAGTTCTTGCTGAGCAGCGACAGCCTGAAGGTGAGCGGGAATGAAGGTGAGCGAGAGAATACGTATCCAAAAGCTAGGGCCTTGGCATGTGGTGAGATCTAAATTTAAAATGTAGATTGAAAACTCATTTCTTTAGAACTGATTTTTTGTGTTTAGTTTGTTGTCCTTTTCCCGCACCTCCGATTAGCACGTTTGGCTACATACGGTGCGGAAGAAGTTCAACAGACATACCACATACATACATACATAGCCCTGGAAGACAGTTTTATTCATTGCTCGCATTTAGAGCAGTGATTGGAATTCGCTGAAGATTGTGAATCCATCAGGGGAGCGGTGGTAAATTGGTTGGAGTGCTGTGCTGTGAACTGACCGATCTGTAGCGTAATTTCCAGTAATGGCTAACATTAATGCCGAGTGATATCGAAACCGGTCCGGGGCCCCCTCTTTAACAATGTACACTTACCAATGTGGTGAAGCCTGGTCAAACAACCCCGTGACCTATGCGGCATGGGGAGGCCTTTATCCAACAGTGTATTCACAAAGACTTGTAATTGAATATGTATAATGTAAGACTATCTACTAAATAATAACCCTTAATGAGGAGGCAGTGGATAAGCTGATGGGCTACGGTCTCAATAACATGTACCAAAATATATAGCAAATTGGACAGGGATATTCCCATAGAATGTATTTCACCCCATCCTTCAGGGCTTGGCAGGCTTTTTGAAGGCCTATCCATACAGTCAATGTGAGCTGTGTGTATTTGCGGATTATTTTTTACGAAGATCAGTGATTGCAAACGTTTTCATTGTTTATGTTACCCAGGTTGCAGCTGAGACTGATGTGTACGAGGCGGCTCTTTTATACCATCGTGGGAAGACCTCTGGCTCAAAGGTGTGTTTTGATTTGCAAGATGTAGCAGCTATACTTACATGTTTACACATGGCTTTGATGTCATTTTTTGTTATTCTTTAACCAACATCTGGGATGAAGTGGTGGCACCATGTTTAGCGCACTGCACTGTGAACCCAACAACCTGAGTTTGATTCCCAGCTTCAGCTTACGTCCATGGAGTGTGACATCTCAACCGATCCTGGGCCCCCCTTTGTTCACCAACCTACATTAACCAGCGTGGTGAAGTATTGTTAAATCCACGACAAACACTGCACGGAGAGACCTTCATCAGTTCTTCAATCACTGCCTTTTCTCATATCCTTAGGAGGAACAAGAGGAGGACCTGAAGCTTCTGTCCAACCCGCCCAAGGTGCTCGAGTGTGTACGCTACGAGTTACTCAGCCCACGCACTGTTCAGGACCTCTATGGACGTCTGAACCCATGCCCGCTCAAAGAGATCCTCGCTGATGCCATGGCCTACCATGCCAACGTCATGCTGCAGGTGCCTATCCACTCCATCAATTATTTAGTACATCGTTCATTCCCTCAGCCAGTGCACATTTTGGTTATTCAGTAAAATTTGTATTCAGTAATTGTAATGCTGTGCGTTGTAGTAAATCAAGTATATTTATCAGTTGTTCATTAAAGACTAAGCGTCCCATCAATCAGATTAATGAAATATAAATTAGTATACAAATATAGCCACAGATCACATTTTACAACCATGTACAGCTTTCAATGTGATATGGAGCTTGTGCATTGAGACTGCTGCTGCTAATATTGATGGTAGATGACGATGACATTGGTGGTGATGTATAAAAAACTACATTTATTTCCATACACATGCACACAATTACAGTATTGACCTTGAATTGTGCTTTGATGGGTGACCACCATGCATCAAAAGACAGGTGTTAGGGATTGCTATGTAGCTACTTTGTGGGCAGTGCAGCAACAATCCATTGTTGTGTGCTGCTACATCTGTTGTGTAATTTCACAAGCCAGCAGTGACCAACGTGGTGAATTATGATCAAATAGCCCCTGCAACCCGCACAGCGTGGAGAGCCCCTCATCTAGCAGTGGATTGACAATAGTGGTTGACATGCACAATTACTTGAAATATAATACATCTCGTGTCTTTTTTTTACGTGCCCCAATCTGGTGAATCTACTCTGATGCCTTTGCATTCCAGCCGGTGCTGCAGACGGCACGCACACGCCTTCGCTCCAAGCACCACTGTGTCGTGGGCTTCGGTGGCATGTTCTCATCCGACGACAACGACCTGAGCGATGAGTCGCACTTCCTCAACCCGAGCACAGGCCGTTGGGAGGTGCTCACCAGGGGTGGCGGCGGCGGCAGCGGCGTTGGTGGAGGAGCGCCTCCCCGCATGTCCAACCAAGGCATCGCTGTCGTCAACAACTTCCTTTTCCTCATCGGCGGAGACAACAACTCGCATGGCTTCAGGGCGGTGGCGGACTGCTGGAGGTGGGCACGGGGAAACCTTTTGGATTGGTGACAGAAGCTTGCGTTTGCGAGTGCACACGCTTGGAAGATGTAGGTGCTTCTTGCACTCGGTGCCCGTAGTGTTTTTATAATTTGACAATCTTTGTTCCCAATGTTATGCCAATTGTGTTGTTGGCATGATGTCATGCCAATAACGCAGAGCAATTTAACCCTTTGTGTTAGAATAACTTCTGAGTTCCCTTCAATGTGGTACAGTAGGGGTGAACATTTTCCCATCTGCTCTGTTGCTACGAGTCATTTTCGTCACTGGACATTGAAACCTGAATTTTTGATTCTCAAAGCTGGAATTTATCCAATGAATTGCACAACCAATCTGCTTAAACAGGTGCAATTAAAGCGGCTTATGTGCATGCACTCGGTGGATTGTTGCATCGCAAAACTGTCAGATGGCGACGTCTTGGGGAGACTTACATCCAATCGTCGATAGATCATGGCTAATAATAATAATAATGACGAATTAAACGTCATTTCAGACGACACATTGACACACAATTTCCTGTTTTTGTGTCCGTTGTCACGGCTTCTGCAACAGGTACGACCCACGGCACAACAAGTGGATGGTGATAGCGGCGCTCCAGCGGGCACACGCCGACCACTGCGTGTGCGCCGTGGGACTCTACATCTACGCGATTGGTGGGCGTGACTACGTGGAGGAGCTGCACTCGGTGGAGCGCTACAGCCTAGAGACCAACACGTGGGATGCTGCCGCCCCGCTACCCAAGGAGGTGCTGTCAAAGAGCGCCGTGCTAGCCGCACGCAACACCATTCACCTCCGCTTGACACTGTCTATCGCTACTCGGTGTACAACGTGCAACACCACTCAACGACATGCTTCACCACACTATACGACACTGCACGCTACTTCACTCCTGTGGAATACCACTCCACACCCAGGCAACGCCGCTCAACACCGTACAGGACCGCTCAACATGCTGCAACACCATTCAACACCCTTCAACACCGTGCAACACCGTGCAACACCACTCAACAGCATGCAACACCACTCAACAGCATGCAACACCACACTTAACACAAGACTACGCAACGCCACACCACCTAACACTGTGCATCACAACACACAAACAAAACTTGCAGACACTTTAGTTGGGCAGCGTTAAAAGGTGACTTAGCCCGGAAAAATAATTGTGAACCAAATGGGTGGAAAGAGCACACCAAAACATTAGAACAAACGACCAAAACACCCACATGTGTGTTTGCTAAAAGGGATAAATAAATAAATGAGTAAAATCGTCGAACGCAAAGATGAAAATCAGTTGAATATTTGAGCATTCAATCGCAACTACCGTTCTACGGTCCGTCCGTTATTCGGAAGCCACTGGAGCTATGCACATTTAAATCTAGATTGAAAACTAATTTCTTTCAAACTGCTCTTTGTGTTTCGTTTCTTGTCCTTTGCCCGCACCTCCGATAATTACCACGGTTTGCTACGTACGGTGCGAAAGAAGTTCAACATACATACATACATACATCCCCCAACTGCCCAACGCCATGTCCGTGCCCCTGGCAGATGTACGCCCACGCTGGCACCTCGTGCGGGGGCAAGGTGTACGTGGCGTGCGGCATCCGCGCGGACACGTACCTGAGCACGGTGTACTGCTACGAGCCCGCCGGGGACGCATGGCGGGAGCTGCCGCCAGCGCCCGTGGAGCGTGCCTGGCACTGCGCCGCGGCGCTGGCCAACCAAGTCTACCTCATTGGCGGCAGCAACCGCCTGCACGGCTACCGCCGCGACGTCCTGCAGGTGCCGAGCTGTGTGGCTTCCCTGCTGCCCTTTCAGCTGGGAGGGTGAAGCTGTCGATACTGCGGTGCTGTGTTATCAGTACCTGCGGGACTGCGTTGTCACTACTTATAGCACTGCATTATCACTACTTAGGGTACTGTGTCATTAGTACCTGCGGTAATGCGTTATCAGAACCTACGGTACTGCGCTAACGCTACCTACTGTACTGCGCTAACGCTAACTGCATTATCAGTACATCACAGGGCTATGAAGGATCGTGTCGGCCTGCAGAGGTCTTTCATCTAACAGTGAAATGATCATGGCTGATACCGACGATAATGATAGCACTTCATTATCATAGCCGGGGGTGGTGGTGCATGCCTGCAATCCATCTCTTTGGAAGCAGGCAGAGGTTGGTGAATCCAGCAGATTTAAGAAACTCACAAATCTTTTGCTGGGCTGAAAGGTGACCAGGGTATGGCAGCCCAGTAAATAGTTTTGGGAAAACTGTCTGTGAGCAAAACTGAGTGCTATCCCCTCTTGTGCATGATGGGTGTTCTGTGCACACGTGGGATTTCCTGCCACACACACAACACTCATTGAAGTTCACTCACTTTGGTAATTCATGTAGTGAGTGATGTTTTGTTGTACCACAGCCAATGTAGTCCCTTGTGTTTTTTTTTGTCGACTTCATAAAAAGGAATTTTCCCGAATGCAAAACGCTCCTGAAAAACAGTTATTACACTCAGGCTCTCCTGTAGTGAATAAGTAAATGAAAATAATCGTTATTGTAATTGCAGTACCCCCACTGTAGGATTGCAAGCTGTAGTATATCTTTGTTGCTGTGCTGATATGGGATGTGAGGTACAGTGGAGGTTTAGTATAAATTGTGAGAGCCATCGTGAAAGTGGCCATGCCACTTACCCACATGACCCATTGTACCAGCATTTGTAATAATATCGCCGTTGTATTTCGTTTACCACATTCATCTGCAGACTTGCTCTTCCACCAGTACTGTAATATGGTTGTGGAAAAGCATTTGCTGTTTTTTTTAAATCAAGCGATGCCATTGATAAGTTTTCCAGCAGGAGGCCTCCCTCTCATGTCTTTGTTAGCTTCGCTGATTTGTTTCTAAAGTCTTGCATGCCTTGTGCGTGGAGCAATGGCACAATGGTGAGTGCACTCCCACTATGAATTGAGCCACTTCAGTTCCACGACAAACTTTAGTGGCGAGTGATATCTGAACTGGTCCTTGAGCCGCCACCCTCACCAACCTGCACTGACCAGCATAGTCAAATAACCCTCATGACCGACGCTTAGGGAAGCCTTCATCCAACTTTGGATGACAAAGGGCTGTACAATTCATGTATGTTGCATGACTTAAGATGTGAGTGTATAATTTCAAGACTAAGACCGGCTATGATGTATGAATAGAATTTGTTTTTCTCCATTTATAAATAAGATTAAGAGCATTCCTGTACATTTTTACATTTTGTTGCATATGACACTGAAATGATGAGTCAGTACCACAAACAGATATTTGGGATTGTTGGCCTTTATTCAAAAATATACATTAAAGAACTAGAGTGTTAAAGAACACTATTGTATTGATTGTACTAGATTAAATACAAAAATAAACACGAGAAAAAACGTCTATATATGTTTACCCAGAGGTGTGCGATAAGCCACAACATAATATAGACATAACACAGCAGCACTTTTGCATGCACAGAACAGTAGTGCTTGCGTAGTGGTAGATTTATCGCATAAGTTTACAAATCTCACGGACAAATGGCTGCCTGTCACCACTATTACTCACACAGGCAATGAACTAAAGTCGTGTTTAACTGTCTAAATCCACAGACCAGTGGTGAAGTGACTCAATTGCTAAACAGCGCTGTCATCTTTGTAACTTTTTTTTGTTTTGAGCTGCTCGGCAGCTCCTCACCGTCGCGTCACTCTGCCCCATCTCCAGGTCAATGTGCTACAGACCGACACAGAGCAATGGACATCCGTGGCACACCTGCCAGCCGGACACGGTGAGCCCGGCATCGCCGTTGTGCCGGCGTCGGACGGGCCAGCCACGGAGGGAGAGATTTACATCGTAGGCGGCCGCTCGCATGACCGGCACGCGCGCACATCCTGCGTTCATGTGTACGACGCCGCCACCAACTCATGGTCGTCAGGGCCCAAGCTGGAAGACGAAATCTCGGGTATGGCGTGCGCCGCCCTCACGCTGCCCGTGGCGGTGCTGGCGCGCCCGTACCTGCGCGGTCCCCGCCGGCCGACAGGCCCGCCAGGCCGGGGTGCGGCCGCACGCCACGGCCGCCCCTTCCACCCGGCCCACTGGGAGCAGCGGCACAGGTGGTCGGACAGCGACAGCGAGCTGAGTGCTGCCGAGGATTGAGGCCAAGTGGAAGTGCGGCGAGCGGTTATGAACACGGCGACGGCTACCATCGCTGTATTTGCCAGCTCGTTACGGTGTAGCCGTGTAGTTTGAGTTGGGTGTTCAAGGTCCAAGGCCGTCTTACCTGGGCAGAGTAAGCAATGTGAGTTCGCTGCTTCGGACCAGGGTGGAGTGGCCACTAGGCGGTCGGGGTGAACTCCGGTTAAATTCATACCATTTTACCCCATGCCGCACGCTGGCCTGTTACATGCACTGCACCGACTGCTATTGTTTCAGAAGGCGACTGCATGACATTGGCTGAGTGCATCTCTGCTTGCGGTGGGACAGAGCTGTGTATTTTGGGTTCGGGTGGACTTAAGCATAGGCCTATTGCACTTTGTGGAGAGTATTTCACTGCACACGTAAAAAAAAAATCACCGTTACAGTGGCGCACTTAGTGGCAGAGTCACTCAGCTTCTGTTCATGTCATACAGTGTGCTTGACAGAAAAATACTTGTACATAACTGGGGTAAATACATTTAAAATTGTCACTGGTTCCTCTGGGAAAATATTTGGTATTAAGAAGGAAATAAAAGGCTTAACATAATTTCCACACCATAGTTACACTTTAAGAGAAGTACGGTGGACAATACGCACTGTATGAGTCATTAAAATCTCTCTAAGCCATAGTCTAATAAAATCCAAAGCCATACTTTTAATCAAATATGGATAAAACTAACGGGTGGAGGTTAACTCATGCACTGCCATTCCAGTCACATGGCTATGTCTGCTATTAGTCATACATGTTTTCTCAAGTTAAAGAGGAACAGTCTTGTTGAAATGAGAGCTGTTTTGTTAGAAAAGGCAAAAAATACACTGCAGTCAGCTCTTTTTATTAATGGTTTGGGGAGTTCAAATTTAGTTTTTCAATAATATCTATGCACGACTTTCACATAATAGGGTTTTTCTCCTTTTTTCTGGTAACAAAACTGAAACCTTTTTACATTTAATCATGTCTGCATTAAGCACAATACTTGTGGTCAAAATGCAAACAAAAAACACACTCTGATAATATATGCATTGTCCTTGAAACTGATTGGTCCACACCAGAGACGGCTTTCGTTTGAGCCTCGTCTCAATTGGTGCTAGACCAGAGGACGCCAAAAGGCGTACAGCTCAAAGACAATGCACTATCAAAGTAATGAGGGCTCGGGGTAAGCATCTACATCATTAGACCTCCTTTGCCAGTACCAAAATATAATAACAACTTTCACATGTTGCATTACTTGCTCGTGGTACCACATTTTGGCACCTTATTCCCCCAGCTTTGAAAGGTCATGCTGCAAGCTGAGTGCCATTTGCACGTCTCACTCCTGAGAATTTCTCAAACTGAATCGGTCTGCTAAAAACATGAGAAAAAAGTTTGGCTACCTTTCCAAGACTGCACCACTCGGCAAGTGGGTGCCTGGTCTTGCCGTTCAATTAAAGGAATTTGAATGCTTGGTAAACGGATTTGACAACATTATTTTATTGGATTCCTGCATCTGATAAGAACACTAGAAGGCATGGCACGAAGGCAAGGTAAACTTTGTTTACCGATAATTGATATTTTCTGACTGAAGCAAGTAATATTTTTTTTATATATAGAACATTCAACAAGTTGTCGTTATTTTCCATGATCTCTCCACTGCTGGATGAATGCCTCCCAACGCAGATGCCATCCATTATGGTCCTGTAATGTAACAATCCATATCCCTGCTGCACGAGCTGAGCACATTGCCCTCTTTCCGTGATGGCTGTCCTCTCGGGCGCATTACCCCCTTTGGCTGCCGTTCTGTCGTCAGAATGGCAGCTATGGGCCATCATGCCAAGACCACTTTCCTTAATAGATATCATTCAGTCTCTGATCAACGTGTTTCTGTCTTTTTCATTTATATATGGCTATCCGTAAAAATATATTGCTATAAATTTATTTTACCAACTATGTTAGGAGCCTCCACACAAAGCGCGATTCGGCCAGAAACGGACACTGATACTGCCAGCTGTGGCGCTGTTCAACAACTCGGAGAGGCAAGAACCGATGCGAGTGCCATGTGGGCTTGCGGAACATCGGAGCCCGAAGACAGCTGTTGGTAGCTGTGACTGCAGGTAGGGTGGCGCTGTCCTGCAGCCCCAAGGAAAGGGGTGCGGCGGGGACTGCTAGGTGAAGCGTGTGGGCGGTGCGCGTAGCGGCAGGGGATACACAGCCTCCGCAGACGTCTGCTGTTGTGCCCCCGAAGAATGTACATCGTCATCGCTGGGTGCTGCCAGCATTCGTTGGCTGAACTGAAGAGTCATCGTTGCAAAACAAACAAAAAACCCTTTTTCTATTCACTGCCACACAAGTGTGTGATTAATTTGAACACATTTTGTGGAGCAGATATATGCCACTGGAATGTGATCGTTATCGTTACGCACATCACCATTAGTCATACCTGCGGTGGGAATTTTCCTGAAAGGTCGGTTATGTTGCCTTGAGTTTGTATGTGCGGAGACAGCAGGTATTTATGGTAATTGGAATTTAGTGACTGGACCAGCAGAGCAAAAACAAACACCTGTAAATGTATAAGATTCTACGTTGGCTGCTTTGATCCACAATAATGTCACAAACACCGTAGCAAGCATTTGTAATGTGGAGAAGAAAATAAAATAATGCTTATGCAGTCTAAACACGTGTCAGGTATAGCTTTCCTGTGAATGAAGATGCTTTAAATCACCCTTCCCGCACCTCCAAAAAGCACGGTTGGCTACACACGGTGCGAAAGAATTTCGACATACCCTTTACTCTAAACAAACGGCTGTCTCGCCTGTTTATCCTCGCAGGTATCTCGCACGGGTACACCGACAGAGCAGGGGGTGGTTAAGCCCTGTAGTTCATCTGCTGGTATTGATGTCTACCACATGCCGTGCGTCGTTCGGTGTGAGTCGGTCACTGCGTCAGAAGCACGTTGTCGATGGTGATGTCAATTTAAGCCAGCGTGCAGCAGTCATTTAATCCACATTCAATGTATGGCCAAAAAGTTCAAAGCGGAAAGCAATAAATAACAGAGTACTTCACCACTAACTGTTCCCTCGACGTGAAGTTTTTATTCTTCACTTCCGTGTGCGCAATGTGCGTGTGTGTATGTGCTCGAGTGTGATATGCCACCGTTTTCCAAATGCCAGTTCTCATAACCCCCCATTATACACCTGCACATAATTTCCAATATTTTCCATCCTTATGCAAATCAAAACTGGTGGACCGGTTGTGAATGTACATGTGCTGCCGTGTTTGTCAAGGATGAGGGCGACCCCCCCCCCCCCCCCCCCACACTGTATGGGTCATCGGGGTTTTTTGACCGTACTTCCCCACCTTGGTGAATGCAGGGAAGACAAACATTGGAGGATCGTAAAGGATTCTAGATTTGAAGCTTTCGTGACTGCAAGGATTCATATTTTTAGGTTTTTTCGGTAAAGTCACGTAGGTAAAACATTAAAATTAATAAAAGTAAAATAAAATAAAAATGATACAGCTGTCGTGGCTGTGACGGTTCCACCTGAAGACGGAAGCTTTTGTTGCCTCCGAAACGTCGTGATTTTTATTTTATTTTACTTTCATTAATTTTAATGTTTTACCTACGTGACTTTACCGAAGAAAAAACCTAAGAATATGATCGTAAAGGACGTTGCTGCACTGTGCTCTGCTATTCTCACAGGATAGTCCAGCAGCAGTCGATAGTACCTGTTACGCTTGGTAGTTGGCTAAGTATCATCTCGGCTTTGCTTTGCTTAGCTTCGGAGATCTGACGACTTTGAGTGCATTCCAGGTGATTTGGTCATAGGCTTGTGGTAGTAATTATCCGGCAGTAATATTCACAGCTGTATCATGGCAGGTCACGAGGACTGGGGTTTGAGAAATACTTGTTTTAGTATAACTTCTCACCATTTTCTTACTGTGGTTTTAAATGCTTTTTCGTAACATCATCATTTTTTTTTAGGCTTCCATTGTACAAAGTAACAGAACCTGTATTTACAGGTGTTTGGGGCATTTTACTACAGCACCGCAGCATCACAGCCATGGTTTGGTAAAACACTTGGGTCAATGTAAGATGAAGTTGATATGGTTAGGAAGCCGCTAAACTGCATGAGCTGCATGTTTCATTACCTTCGACCGCGGCACAGGAGAATACCTAGCTGTGGAGCTCAATAAATAATATAAGAACGATCAGTAGTTCCCAACTGTTGTCTGCAGACCAGTATGCATGGAAAGGCGATCCACGGAATTAATGCAGATAATACAAATCTACGGTCATATATAATTGACGTTTCAGACAGCGACCTTACATCATAGCACATTGCCCATACTTTTCCTTTTAAGGTCACAATGTTATTGACGAATGTGTTTATTGTTGTGTTATTTGTGCTTGTGCACTACTACCAGCATAGCAATATCACCAAATATTTTTGTTTGCAGATTAAAAAAATTCTTCCACAAACACCATGGCTTTTACTGCATGGTGGTTGGCAAAAGATCTTGATGGTGGACTGTTCTGTGTGTCCATAACAGTTGGGAGCTGCTAAAATATATTACCTTACACAATTGGTTTGTTAAATGTGTTTTAGTTACATAATTTCGTCAGTCCACTGCTGGATATGAAAGCCTTCCCATGCCATGCTGGTCAAGGGGTTTGTTTGACGATATTTCACGTTGGTCAGTGCAAGCTGAATGTCGGGAGGCTCAGGACCGGTTTGAGTATCACTCGCTCCTGATGTTAGCTGTGGCTGGAAATTTAATTCAGTTTGCTATGTACCATTGTGCCCCCACTGCACCCATTGTGTTATTTAAAGTTATCAAATAGCATGTATACTGTGCCTTTCATGTTTGAGCCAAAATACTCGTCTTTAAACCCTATTGACAAACATTATTGCAAATGTTTCTTTAAAAAAAAAAAATTGGAATGCATTTTTTTCAGCAGTTTCTTTTTGTACAAGATATGCTTCCAAAATAAGTACAATTGAAAAACAAGGAAATGATTTCCTACGAATAGGAAGAACTGCAGAGTGAAACGTTGACTCTTTTTTTTTCTTCTCACGAAAAAATATTTCCCCTTTTCAATAATTTGTTAACCAAAGTAGCAACATCCTACAGTAGTAGATGGGTGGTGACGTAGCGTAGTGGTAGCACGTTCGCCCTGCTGCTGTTCAGGGTTCGAAGCCCAGCGACCGCCCTGGTTATTACCGCAGTTGTATTTACCATAAATCATGAAAATATGGACGTTTAAAGATCATGTGATGCCATTCGCAAGAGTAGGGCAGTGTGTCCCGGTCCAGATTTGAGAAGAAGAAAAAAAAATTCGCACAAATTACTCAACTGGGATTATATGAAGCATTCATCGTCCATGTCTGCACAACCATGCATAGGGTGATTTTTAAAAAGTCCTTACAGTTTTGGTGCCATTTAACTTGTAAGCAAATGCATGTAATGAACATACATTTTCAATCCGTTCAAAAATGTTATGTTTTTGACGGGATTGTTTTTGTTTGGTCAGGTGGTGGCACTGTTATAAGTTTATTCTTAGAAGGTGTCTGGGCCTACAGAAAGCTGTTTATGTTCAAAACTTAAATCGGTGGCCAGTGGTCTAGGGCCTATGAAGGTTTGGCAGCATATGTGAAGGCATGAGTACAGATGTTTAAAGCAAATAGGTTGTGTTTATAATGCTAAGCATTCTGTTGCAAAACATTTGAAAGAGCATGAAATTGAAGTGTAGAGGTAGGAAATTACGAGTGTAAAAACAGTTACTATCTGACTTATTTTTACAACTTGAGGAATATGTCAAATTTGTAAAATGTGTCGTGAAGATATACATTATTTTAAAACCCTGTCGGGACTTTGTTTTCTATTCATAGTGAAACACGTTTTTGGGCCACATAAAAGTGGCTGCCGGTCAGGATAGCTGCATCCGGGCCTGCTGATGGAACCCACAGGCTGGAAACAAAGGATAAATTCCTTCTTTTCAAAGAAGCCTTGTTTATGTACGTGCCACAACCATACACTGCATCTATGTTGGAAAACCATCAGGGTCAAGCTTTGCAGTGTTGGCTAACCATGCTGTGTTTGGAACCTTAGCCAGACTTGGTTACGCATGAGCCGTTGCATTTGGTAAGCATAATGATCCAATTTAAGATACTGTGCATCCTGCAGTTTATATATCGGGGTGCTGACGTGTTCGCAGTAAATGCTTCTTGGATATTGAGTCGACATGGAATGATTAATAAAAATTCATTCTGATTGTCAGGATGCTTGCATACAATCTTAAACTCACGAAACATTAATTGTATAAGAAATTCCAATGTATGCAGATTATATGCTAATGCTGCATTTAAGCTTTTGGAGTGAACGAAACTCGATCAACGAAGCAAATTACAAATATGACCAAATAGACCGTGAAATATAAATGAATGAGTCATGACAATTCATGAATGGCAGGCAATGTGAATCATTACCAGCCTGACAGTGAAGACTGGGCAGTAGCAACTCCGGTTGCAGCCGACATTCATGAGCACTTCACAAAATGAAACTGGCATGCTTGACTGGGCAAGTTGTCATGCGTGATGTACAGGAACTGCATGGAATCGGCTCCAACGACATTTCCCGAGATGCTGTGAAATGCAAAGGCATGACTGTCAGGATTCTATAATCACACGGGGCGTACATGTACAGTTTCTTTGTCAATCCACTGCTGGATGAGGGCCTCCCCACTGCAAGTTGTGGGTGCTATTTACCCATCCTCCACTACGTTGGTCAGTGGGTTGATGTAGGCGAAAAGAATACAGACACAGGAGCATGAAAGTACAATGATTAATTTTCTGAACGTCCCTCTGCTGCCCACCACAATGTCACATCCCATAAATGGTTTGCACGGTGGTTGTCCATCCAAGTACTACCCAGGCTCATCCTTGCTTAGCTTTTGAGAGCGTGTATTCTTTGTGATTTTGTCATTCGTTTCACATAGCATCTACATATATATTATGAATGGAAGTATACTGGCATTGTTGTAATGGTGGTACTTCTGCATTAATTCGGCCGCTTGACACTGGTTAGCTTGCTCTACTCGTCAACAGTATATTGTGAGCTGAAATCGCAGTCAAGGGCCGACCTTGCTTACCATCACTCTTGGGTCAATAAAACAAGAACTGTATGACTTTGTGAAAACATGACAGTGCTGTATCAATTACTACTTAGTCCCTGCGATGGAAATCTGGAATTTCCACAAGCTCAGGACGAGTAAAAGAGACGAGTGTGACCCAATTTATGGTCTGAGCAAGGACACCATTTGATGTATCCTTAACACAGCAAATTATGTATTGCATGTAAAGTCAACATTACAAGAGTTTAACTACCGTTGAAATATTTGTAAACATGTAATTTATGTTGTTAATCTACTGCGGGGAGGCCTCATGCTGTGTCAATGGTGGGGGGTAGATCATACTTAACCACTGGTCCGTGCGGGTTGAAAAGAGGGCCCAGAACTGGGTCAGATCTCACTCCCCATCGATGTTAACTCTGGCTGGTGATCAAACTCTTCTGGCTGGGTTCACAGCGCAAGTGTGCTAACCACCGCACCACCACTCCACCTAATTTGTTTTGTCTTTACATATATAAATATAAAAATCAACAGACGCTTTGCTTGTTTTCCAAAATGACGGAGCGGTTCTGCATAGGTAAGAATCGCCTTCACACCCACCCGTACAGGTGTGGCATTTTAACTTGCGCGTAGTTTCTGTGTTGCGCAATGACCCAAACAGCCACTTTCTGGGAAACCCAACCCTCAGGGTTCCGGATGTAATGGCCAAATAAAGTTTGCAAGTTTCAGACGTGTGTACCCAGTGAGTTGCGTGTGAATGACCAATTTCTCCACCTGTACACGGGCAACACGCTTCATTTGTAAACATTTTAGTTATCTTATCCCCGAATTAACTTCGCCTTTCTCTTGACCACTGTCTCAGTGTGTCCGTGCGCCCTTGTTGTTTTGAATTGCTGCCCAGCAGACATTTTTCGTTGCGTGATGGGAAATTGAACAGAGTAAATGCGTTTTGGACAGAAACGCATGTTTGCGTAACAATTAAAATTACTGATGTATTACATTACTTGTGCAATTATTATACGTATGCAACGATTTCTGGTACAGTAATCTACAATTTTACACGTGTATCCATAGAGTAAGTATAGCACTGAACAGAATGGTGTTGTATGGTATAACGATCCCTGTGGATGACATGGCATGGATAGGTCTTTAGTAGGAGTGGCCTGACAAAACAGCTGTGCATTATATGCCTTGAGGCTATCACACTGACTATCGTGAAGTACAGTCAGATAACCCTCATGACCAATAAGTGGAAATTCCTTCAGTCGTGGTTTTATTACAGTACCGTATTCCAATTTTTTTTATCATTTTGGTATCGTTTTAATAAAACCTCTGCCGTTCATCGTTCAAATTCTATTTGCAAAATGCACTTGTAAGAGCTGGAAATGACCTTCGTTACTACACGTATGGGAGACACATCGTGAACTTAAATCTCCCCAAGTGAATTAAAGTAATTCTAACGGCTTCACATTTTATATTACAATAAAAAAAATGTAATCACGTGGTTGCGTATTTGATGCAGTTCCAGCAACTGGCATGGGTCAATACGAGTATGTGAGCATGATCTGTGCCATTTGCGCTGTAACAGTAGGTGTTTTGTTATTTACTGTTCACTGACACAAATGAAACTGAGCAAATAAGCATAGACCAACACTTGAATTTTAAGACAAGAGTTAAAACATTGTTAAATCTTTAACCAAGCTTAGTTGGGTGCCCTCCCATACACTTGTGTAAACAAGGCACTACTAACAGTCGTGTAATACAATTACTAAGAGATAGCAACCGCATTGCGCGTGTGAAATGGGGCGCTCGTCCCCGGAAGTCGATGACCAATTCAACTGGAATGCATCTGATCTCATACCTCAGAAACTCATCAAGTTTGAGCCTGAACAGTGATTTCATGGGCGACCACCAAGCATAAGCAGGTGCTATAGGCTTCTGAGGTAGGGGGGCTACATTGTCAGCAGACAGTTTTGTGCTGCAAGGTTGTTTTTGTACTGTAAGCTCCCTCACCATTCATCAACCAGAGCGTTGAAATACGTTCAAATATCCGCCACGAATCGCACGGTGGGCAAGCCTTCATCCGTCCAGCAGCGGATTTGTCAATCTGCTAACTAGCGCAGTGCCGTACATGGCTGGAAATGCCCCCCCCCCCTCCCCGAATGTAAAAAATTAACCCGTAAAAACAAAGTTTTTCACTCTAAATCCTTTATATGCGTGGCGGCTAGAGTCCTCTCGTCCTCTGGCTTGAGATGGCTGCCACCTATGGGTCAGATGATTGTCTGCCAGTATTAAGCAATTGGTAATTAAATATTTAATTTGTTTTCCCTAAACAGTGTAAAATTTTAGAAAAAAATCTTCACTAAAATTAATTGTCACGCACAACGAGTCTGTGTGGAAAATGTCAGCTCGATTGGATCACGGGAAGTGGGTTAAAAAACGACCGAAAGATTTTCACGGTCGTAAGCGTGCAAGCAAGCAAGCGAACTTAATATAAAGGATTTAAAAATGGTGCGTTGCATCGTCCATACAGGTGGCTGTGTGCAGATCAAGCACGCGGACGGGTGAATGAATCAGGCGGATGCTTAGGCCGTTACGAGCTGTGGGTGGGTGGGAGGGAGGACTTCCGTTGTCGTTGAGCTCAGCAACTTTAGTGGGTGGGTGGGTGTGGTGGGGCAGTCGATGTCTGAATTCAGGGCCACGCATTCCTGCGCGTACAGGCCACCAACGTCAACGCCTACCGCGCCGCGCTCGCCTGTCCGCGAGCAGAACACGAGTCCAGTCGGGGCTTGTCTGCTGTGGTCATCACGCACGGAACGCGGGCTCTGGCATAGCAATCTTGCCGAGGTTGCTGTGGCTTGTTTTAGCGTAAGCGCACGTTTGGCGAAGCTCCTGAATTTTGCAACTCGTTTATTGAAGACGTAATGTTTTTTTTTTAAAAAGGCATTGTTCGGTACGGCAAAACGTTTACTTGCAACTCGGGGTTCCAATCGAATGTTGGCAGAAATAAGATTATTCAGATCAGAATTTATTTTGTCACAGTTGCTGAGCACAGGCCCAAAGCACCAAATTGCCATATATAAACAACACATTTGAAGGTATCAGACAGACCACGTTTCTTAAAATGGAGAAATATTACAAGAACTGTGGAACAAAATTGATGGGAAGGAATTGCAAAGCAGAATAGTACGGGGGGTGGAAATCAAAAGTTTAGACCCGCGGTGCGGTGGTTGAAGTAACATTTTCTGAGACACTGGTTTTCGTCAACAGCTACAAACCGGTATTATGAAATGTGTTAATTTTTACAGTACTGCATTGCCCTGGATTATAACTAATTGCTTATAATCAACCACGAGAAGCTTGGCAACCTATTTAATGTACTCTATATGCATCGACTTCTTAAAATATTAAGGAAATATTTGAACCAGTTCGCAAATAGGATAAGTTGTTTATACATGTTTTTAACATCATCTATTTGAACACAAGATAATTGAAACCCCAATAAAATAACTATCAGTAAGTTGGCTTCCTCAACCTGCTTCAACCTGTCCCAGTCACCCATATAGTGCACTACAAAATATAATTCACAAACGGTTTTTCTTTTGAGGCCGTTCACAAAGCAAGGAGTAAACATTTAGTTTTCAACCATTTACTCGGAGCTCATTGCGTACAAATGAACAATGCATGTTACATGCTGCTTTGAAAATACATTTCTTTACGGTACAATTTCATACAACATACCCAACATCATGCGAGGCCAAGCGTGAATTCGTTGCCTCGGGGCATTAAAAATGAATCTGGATTCTCAGGCTCACGTCTCTTTCCTCCTGCATTCGTCAAAATGACCACAGCAATTCAGCATCTCATTCAATGGCACTGCTTGCAAAAGGTCAAACCGGGTTGGTAGAGCACACCTGATGTACCCAAGCATGCCAGGATGGTACGCAGAAAGCAACACCAACATATTAAAGTGCCATCAGAGTTGTTTTGAGGAAGCCACCCTGGTCCGCATTTGGTCACTGTTAATGGACTTAAATCCTACGCGTTTTATAAAACAACTTATAAAACTTGGGACGTGCCAGTTTATTTTGCATTTATTCTCTTCACTTTTTAGTGCCCCCAATTATAAAAGCAGCTCGTGAATGCATTTATATTACCTCATGTACACAATGTACCATTAATAACCATGATCTACCACAATGTACATAACAGTTAAAAGAGACCTGATTTGGCATACAAGCAAATGGTGCTTTGTAAGGCTCTTGTCCACCATTCAAACACAAGCACTACCACCACCAAAGGACAGCTACACCTCACAACCAGCTCGCAAAGAAAAACCTGGTCCGGTACAGCACTGAGACGTTCCCTTTAAACAGCCGGATGATATGCACACAGTCGATGTTAGTGGCGCAAGGTGACCAGTGCCGCAGAATCTTATGGTCAAACGATCTTCGTGCCCCCCCGATGTGTCTATTTGCTCTAGTCTGACGGGGTCAGTACGAACATGAAACTAACAGACCAACAATGAGTACCATACGCCGCCGAAAGGGTCACATCGGATGCTGCAGACAGTCAAAATTTTCATCAGTCTTCCCGATCGACAGCAATGCAGAAGAAAAGCCTGCATTTACAGCAATAAGTTAAAGGCACAGAAAGCACTCCCAATTAACCTGCTCAAATATCTGCTCGTGTGCTGGCAATGTGGTAACGGACAAGCTGACACACATACCCCTGGAGAGTACGGTACATGCGAGCGGTGGAGAACGCACACGACAGTGCAGCCACACTGGCACTAAAAATTGGCGGCAGTACTTGTTGGCATGATTTAATGCACATATGCGCGCGTTGCAGTTGTTACTGAATGCAAGGAAAAAAACTTTCAAGGATACCAACGAGTCAGCTTTCAAGTTAAGTCATCACTTAAAAAATACATTTTGACCAGAGGTATAAAAAGTTAAAAACTGCCAATAAGATACAGTATTAATAATTATGAAACCCAAAGAAATCAGTTATACAAAAAAGTTCACCTTGCAAAGACTGTAATTTTGGTTTATAAAGCTTAGAACAAATGGAATTGTTGTAGTTAACTAAAAGATTGTCGTTAATAATGATAATTAAGAACCATTAAATCTCTCCACATTATTACAAATGGCAGTTACAGCAAGAGAAATGTTTAGCCCTACAGACACAAGTTCTGCACTCTGAACGCATCTTCCTTCTTCCATGCAGTCCTTTAACCCGGCGAGTCCATGGTCCGAGGGCACACGAACGCACCATGGGTGTGTCCATCACCCATCGACGTGGGACGGTCTCGACGGTTTCACGGCAAAAAGAAGACATTCAACCACCAAAGATGACATTTGACTAGGTCCATGTGTTTTCGTGCTTGCCTTTAGTTTCATAAGAAACAAAATATCCATTGAAAGTCACAGTTTTAGAGTCTGGCTGAAAGAACACAATAACGGCCAGGACAGCAAAGGTCGCATCCATCAGGAGTTCTCCGGGTTGGCCTGGTCTATGATCCGCACGTGCGTGAAGGGGAAGTGGCCCCTTCGGCCATTCACCTCCCCTTCCCACTGCCCATTGACGTGCATCTTCGTCACCGTGACCACCTCACCAATCTGCGATTTAAAAAAAAAGTAAAAAAAACAATTAATCAATGTGCAAACCAAAAACAATATTAAAACATCCCTCCACTGAGCAGCATAAACTATAACTGTTACCCTCTTAATACAACGAATTGTCCATTTTGCTTGGAATCCTCCCATCCAGTTTCAAAGCAGGAAGCCATCCCTTGGCAGAGGTCACACCAGGTTAAGGGGCTGTACTTTGATTTGTGGTGTTGCCTTCACAAACGCTGCAGCACACGACAGGATTTCATTTAAGGAATCTTTGTTGCTGCCGCGAATTACCAGGGCAGGCACCAAAAGCCTGAGGCGGGTGTGCCGGGGAGTGCATTTGCATGCCTCGGTATGTGGCAAGCCTTCACAAGGAGGACAAGCCACCATTTCTATCTGTTCGGCACCTTAACCGTCAAGCGTTACCTTTTTAATCGGCAGCCTTTCTTCATAAATCCACCCACAAATTGACAGTCACAACATTGTAAAGGCCACAGCCTCGGTGCCAGAATTATGTTGCTACAAGTGACTGTCAATTCTCTGTACCACGTCGACATACCAGACTGCTGAATCAACCGTAAACACAACCCCTTTTTAGTTGTGCACGTTTACTGATTTAAAGATATTGTTCTACTCCTGGCACAGAGACCCAACATTAATGTAAGCATTTCATAAACAGGCAGACCAAAACGCCATATAAAGTGACGAGTAATCTGTACAATGGCACAAAAGCCTAATTACCCAACCTAATTTAAATTTGACTGGATTCTTGAGAAAACGGTTTCCAATTTAAAACACTGTAAACCCCCCGTTTTGTAAACTCAAACACTTTCCAAAGTTTGAAAAGCCACATTTAATTGAGGCTGGTCAACAATATCTATTTTAGTTCTTTCTTTTTTTGTCACGTATTTCACCACGTGTACACATAACCTTTAACGTTGTTAGCTTCATTACTCCATGTACACACATCATATCCTGCCATCAGACGCATTTACTAACCTCAAAGAGAACTCCGTTTACAAGCATAAAGGATAACTGCCCTAAAATAATTACTTGAGAATCTTAACAAAACGACAAACCCCAAGGACTCTCAACAGGGGCTAATTGTAAGACGTACAGAGACGAACTCAGACTCAACCTATGATCTACCCAATAATGACCGACAGTTATCGATAATTTAAATGATCTCCCGTGGTAGGCCACCTTCCCAAGAGCACCAAATTCCAGCAGCTCTCACATTAAGGTCACCACGTAATGTACAATCGCATTACATCCGTCAGTGTCACCAAACGACCAAGGCCAACGAGAACTCTGCCACCGCATTCGACTTGGCTACTGGACACGTGCGCACGTTTTATTTTGCACGTTTACCCACCTAAAGCCTCAAAACTCGTTCTCTGGAGAGGCCTGCCAAACTCTCACAGGTACGGCTAATGCGGCTCTGTGTAATCCCAATTGAGTAATTTGCAGGTAGCTATTCAGTACTTGGGACACTTGGGAAATCATAGAACTTGGGGAGGAAACAGTTCACAACTCGAGTCGTAATCGACCCCAGGCCCTTCTTGCTGTGAGAGGCACAAAGTGTTACATCAATGTGCCACCCATTTTCCTTTAGAACGGGCCACTCCAGACCATTACATAACCACACAACTTTTGTACAACACCATGTCAAACAAAAAAAATATAAGCTATTAAAGACAAGAATCCCTTGGGAGAAAATACATCAAAACAAGCGTGACCACGGCATAAACGTGACACGCCAGGATCATGTGGTGGGCACATTGCCGGTGCCTTTTGGTGGCCATAGTTTGTCGAAACTGTAGCGGTTCAGGCCAATTCTAAGCATGCTCCTTCCCTATTCCAAGAAACATTGCGTCCACTGCCCGTGTTTGTCGCCTGCGAGACGGCAACCCCATTATTTAAATCACTCTTCCCTCTTGGGTCTCTCGCAATGTGTCTCGCCGTCTTCACGTCTCGAGATCGTTTCCCACTCAGGTATTTATGTCCGCGTCGGATTTGCCTCGCACCTATGCCCACCTCTCGCCGCATGACGCAACGCTTCCAGAACTTTCAGTAAATAAATAAAAACCACCCTCATTCGTCAATAACACCGCCTGAAAAGATCAACCTGGCGACGTGTAATTTATCAATAATAGTTGTTGATGTGTTGTCAATCCGCTGACGAATGGCAGCCTTATTCAGTTTAGAAAGTCGCTGGATTAATCGCACTACCACTACACCATCACTTCAAAAAATGTTACCAGGTGTCCTATGGAAACGTACAAATGCCAAAACCAAAAAACCCACACTTTTCAAAAAGCCATAAAACATCGCAAGCATGACTCCCATATAACCATAAACGCACCCCAACTCATAACCCGGGTCAATATGTAAGCCTGCAGACTACTTTTGCCGATGGGAGAAACCTCGCCCGTCCCTGCCAAACACCACAACCACGACCACTCACATCTAGCGCAAGCGCCGTCTTGTCGTAGGCATTGGGCACTCGCTTCTGGATCACAGTGGCGAGCACGGGCCCGTTCTGCAGGTTGGGAAGCTGCTGACCGATGGCCAAGGGGTGTGCGTACGGCCCCTGGTCACCGCCCTGGCCCGAGCCGTAGCTGTTGCGATTGCCCGGTGCCATGGACGAGGCCGCGTAAGAAAGTGGCCGCGATGCTTTCTCCACGTAGGGCACGGGCACCATCCCCGTGCGGCCCTCCTTGTTGCGTGCGCTCCACCACTGCTCCTCGGGTTTGGCGACGATGGTGAGAATCTCGCCGCGCTTGAAGGGCAGGTCCTCCTCGTCGTTGCCGGGGAAGTCAAAGAGAGCTCGCACAAACTCCACGCTCTCGTCAACGCCACCACCGCCGCCGCTGCCACCACCACCACCACCACCCTGCTGATTCTTCTTAGAGGCGGGCGGCGAGGGCGACGAGCCCTGCAGTTGATAGTCGAGGTGGTGACGAGCCGTGGACGTGGCCGCCGTCGTGGGCAGCTGCTGTTGACCTCCTTGACCCCCCGTGGGCTTCACCGCCGCGGGCTCAATGAGCGTGGTGGTGTCCAAATAATGAATTCGGTAGAACTCGAGCAGCGCGGGCAGGTCTCGGAACTCCTGGTCGCCGATCTTGAAGCGGTCTGCGAGGTTGTTGACGATGTAGTGCGACACCTTCGAGTTCTCGCTGACCGAGAGGACGTAGTCGCCCGGGCACGTGGTGGAGTCACGCACCACGAAGGTGCCGTGCCGCTGGCCCTGCAGACGCCGCTGCGTCTCCACGCGGCTCAGAGGCCCGAAGTACCACGAGTCGCGGTCGTGCGCGTCGAAGTTGCCGGCCATGGCGACGACGACGACGATGATGGGAGGAGGGGAAAGAATGAACCCGCAAAGGAAACGACGACTAAGATGATGGAGGAGCAAGGCAAGAAGATGATGGAGGAGCAAGGCAAGAGGATGAAGGAGAGAGAGCGGCAGCAGCAGCAGCAGCGAGCGGGACAATGACGATGGCTACGGTAACAATTGTGGGCAAACAAACGAGCACAGCAGCGAACACGCCGGGCTTCTCGAACAGAGAGACAGAGACCACAACTACAACCACCACAACAACTCAGCAACTACAGCAACAACAACCACCAACACAGCAGCAGCAGCGAGCCAACCCCTACGGCAACAATTAAAACGACGGCAAAGCCGATACGACGGAAACCACCACCAACAACAGTTTAACAACAACAACCGAAGCAACAACAATTTAACAACAACAGTTTAACAACACAACTCTGAACAAACGAGTAAATAAACGAAACAAAGAAGAAAGCGAGAGGGGGGGTGGTGGTGCTGTGGGTAGGGGGGAGACAGACAACTACCAAACTAACGAGTCGTAGTAGTCAACAACAACGACAACAACAAAACAACAACAACAACGACGACAACAAAACGACGACGAGAGCGGGAACCGAGGAGGCCGACGAGGCCTGCTCCAAGTCTATGGACGCGAACCCCGCCCGGGACTATCGGCTCGCCTCCCCGTGGGCCCCGCGAGAACCGCCAACGGAGCCGAGCCAAGCGGCGAAGAAGAAGACGACGACGACAAAGACAACGAAGACGAAGAAAACGAAGAAGACGACGAGGCGACGATGTCCAAGCCGCAGGCTGCGAGCGCGACTGACGACCGATCTAAGGGGCGGGTGGCTGGGTGATGAGAGAGAGAGAGGGGGGGGGGGGAGCCTTAAAGATGTACTTATAAAGAAAGGGTTCAGAAGGCGACGGACAGAGGAGTCGAGGCGGAGTGGGTTGAGAGTTGAGAGCGAGAGGAGGAGGATGATGAGGAGACGCGGGGGGGGGCAGAGCAGCCACCAGCAGCAGCCACCCTGCGACAAAATGGCGCCGCGGTCACAAACCCGCTCGGCTCCCCCCAACCACCACCGCTGAAAGTATATGCTAATGTATGTTAATTTATGCTAATTTATGCTAAGCGAGTTAATTTATGCTAAGTTACGTTGTTTATGCGCGGCCACGCCCTTGTCCCCGGTCGCGCCGTGAACCCGCACGTACCGTTGGACCCCCCCCCCCCCGCGTATAATTAGCATAAACTTAACATAATTTATTCTAGATTTGAAGCTTTCGTGACTGCGAGGATTCATACTTTTCGGTTTTTTCGGTGAAGTCATAATAAAATAAAATAATAACAAATGAAAATTTAATTAATTTCATTTATGATTATTTTATTATTATTATTATTGTTTTTTTTACCTCCGTGACCTAAGAGTATTAACATAATTTATATTCTTGGTTCTGTCGGTAAAGTCACGTAGAAGGGAAATAATAAAATAATACAAATATAAAACAATAAAAATTCTCACGACGTTTCTCTTATTTTATATTTGCATTATTTTATTATTTCCCTTCTACGTGACTTTACCGAAAGAACCAAGAATATGAATCCCTGCGGTCACGAAAGCTTTAAATCAAAACTTAACATAATTTATTACCGTGTTCTCTTGCTTGTGAGATACATCGTAATTGAAGATAAGAGTATTATTCACTCGGGTTAAAGCAAAATGATTGGAGAGGGTGCGTCTTTTAATCTATTACGTATATTTGTGTGTTTGCGAGTGATACGTTTTTCATGTTTGTCATTGACACCGGGCGTAAGTTTGGGTGCGTCTTACTTTCCGGAGCTCCACGTGGTCTGAGACTTACGGTATTCAGTATTTTAGATTTGAAGGTAAAAATAAAAATAAATAATAAAAATAATAATAGAAATCAAATAATATTAATATAAAATAAGATTAATATACAATAATATTAATTCATAATAATAAAATGTTTAATAAAAAAAATATTAATGCCCCATCACAAATAACCCCACTACTGTACAGTTATTTTGCTGTGCCTTTTTACACCTGATGAAGGAAGCTTGTGTTGCCTCCGAAACGTCGTGATTTATTATTTTATTTCTATTTTTATTTCTATTATTTTTTATTACTTATTTTTATTTTTACCTACGTGACTTTACCGACAAAAAACCTAAGAGTATTCAGTATTTTGTTTGAAGGATAACGATGCTGAAGACGGTGGCAAACACGCGTTGGCGTTCAAAGGCAATAATAACACTAATTTCAGGGTGCTGATTCCAAATCTGATCTCAGATTTGCTCTATCACATCTCATTTTTATGCTATCGGCATACTCCATTTTCATTGATTTTACCCGAAATTAACTCTGTCACTTATGATTGCAAGTTGTGGCGAGTCAGTGACTGCTTTAGTGTTAAAATATGGTGCTGTATTTTTAAGATAGTGTGTTTATAATATCATTTTATGTAGATATCCACATTTATTTAATATTTTTCTTCTGCAGTTTTTATTGAAAATGCAATATTTGATATCTCAAAAACCTGATGTGATAGACAAAAACTGATGCCAGATTTGGAATCAGCACCCCAAAATTACATTTAACCCGTTGGAATACCTTATGCCAGAAAAAGTGTGTTGACCAGTGTAATAATTATTATGATTCCACGTACAATATTTACGTGTGGATAAGATTTTAAAATAAATGTTTAGTTTTATTCGTGTGTATTTTTTTAAAAAGTGATTTGTTTTCTAGATTTTAAGTTTTCGTGACTGCAATTTAATTTAGTTGTTTTTATTTTTATTTTGTTTTCACCTACGTGACTTTACTCTTATTACAGACCAATTTAGACCTTATTGGTCACCCCGTGCCCTTATACATCTCAATGTTCATCCTACAAAGTCCCATCACAAGGGAGAAACACAAAGAAATAGACAAAAACAAATGTTTTGCCCGTCTTGAAACGGCTGTACGCCACATGGACCTGAAAACTGAATTTCCCTGTACAAGAATACGGGTTAAACCGTATGGGTTCACAGGTATGATCTTGTGATGTGGATGGGAACCCTGGTTGCTCTTTAACTTACGAGCAGCCCGGTGCTATGGTCGGGGTGCTGTGACACTCAGCTGACCACGGCGTCACAGCACCGCTGTATTGTAAATGGTTAGAGGGGATAAGCAGCACCGTGGCGATTCGTGGGATTTGGTGGAATGTTCTAACGTCAATTGTTAAAGAAAAAAACTAAACGTCATTGTTAAAGACCCAATTCTGCTTCTAAAAAATAGACAACTTATTTTCTATTGGGATTTTTTTCAATTGAATTGAAAATTCACGCAAGCCTCGATATTAGCCATATAAAGTATTTAGTTTCAACGCAGGTACATTAAAACGTATTGCAATTATTTTACAGTATATATGAGCAAATTTAACATTAACTTTAAATTGTATTGTTACATGTACCGTAGTTCAGCGTTTAGAAATAGATTAACGCGACCTATCGAACACAACTGACAATAAATAACACGAGTTGATTACGTCACCTTCAGTGTGATAGCACCAAACTTTACATTAGTGATACAAATACCGGCATCAAACAAAACCAGTCTATGAGGAAATTACTCTGCAGTATATGTAAACATGAAAGTAACTTTACGCTACTTCTTTTGTGTACTGTTACCATAAACATACAAGACAGGACTTGCCCATATGACCACACAGCAGAATGCAAATAAGAGGCCGTCCATAAATGACGTCACGCGATTTTGGGCGATTTTTGACCCCCCCCCTTCTTCGTCACACGGCGTCGCAAAAAGTCAGACCCCCCCCACTCAAATATGACGTCACAAAGCTCTGCCCCCCCCCCCCCCCCAAAATAAATAAAACATGCTTTAAATCGCTTCAAACTATTGTCATTGTAGTGTGTATTTAATGTGGCGCTGCACTCTGATGTTGTAGGAGAAAACGTTTATTAAAGTCTATTTAATTAAGTAGAACGTGTTGTCTATATTTATTTTAAGTTGCGCATTTTGATGTGACGTCACATTTCTCAAACCCCCCCCCCTCGTCACACATCGTCACAAATGTCTGACCCCCCCTCCCCCAGGTGCGTGACGTCATTTATGGACGGTCCATAAGCTGGCAATATAGTTAACAAATGTTACTTTTAAACGTGCCTAAAGAAAGTGTTCCATCATTCTATGAAACCTGCCATCATGTATTAGAAACCTGATAGATAAAAACAGAAAACTGGAGCTGAAAAGTGTGCAAACAAGCATGGTATTGTACCGAGATAGAGGAACACGCGGTTTAGAGACCATACGCACGTTAAGGACATAATTTCGACTCTCAAGAAAAGTGCAAGACACATCTGCTCCGACTTGCCTTCCCATAAAATAAAAAAATGTCATAAGGGAAAAAGGATGAAATGAAGGAAAAAAAGTTTCTTGTTATTTATTTCATTTCCAATATCACCTTTCTTATGCTACTCTCTGTGCACGGTGACACTATTTTCCGTGCGGTTGCAATTTATTGTGCTCAGTCGGTGTTCGAGGCTTCTTGGGTCGTGCCGGGTTTCTGTTTCCGTTCCTGTTGCTCCGTGCCTCTGTATTGTTCGCGTTCTGATGAAATGCGCACTGATGCGTACACAATTTTTATTATTATTGAGGGTGAAATTTCCAAGTAAAATAAAGATTCATAGGTTGACAGCCAAATGAATGCATCGCAGGACCATGAAGGATGGCAGTGGTGTGGGGCACACTTTATCCAGCATTAGATGGATGATTATGGTGATAATGGCAAGCCATATAAATGAACTAAATAGTTTCACAAGGGGAGTTTTAAATCTCATTTTGACTTGTCTATTGAAGCGAACATTTCTTGTTGGGCATTTACCTACTTGTATTTCCTGTAATGCTTTTGAAATGATTACTGAATGCCATGCTGTATTTTCCCATGTACGTGTGCTTCGTGAAGTGCATCCGAATGTAATTTGCATAACCATAGGGCAAAACCTGTATAAACTACGCAATGGGGATGTACATGTATTTGAAGCATTATTACTTCACAAAGTGGATCACACATGGAATCCCAATGATAACACCACCAACAGCAATGAGCAATTCATATTTATTTGATACGTACTTACATTCACAGGATTGTAATTAATGCTATTATTCTTTACACTTTTCATTAATTACAAGCCACGTTTCTCAAGATTGCTATGTTTGTTTCGTTTTTTTTTGTCCTTCCCCTGCACCTCTGACGAGCACGGCTACGTACTGTCCGAACGAAGTTCAACAACATACACATGTTGAGTGGTTGTTAGAAATATATATCATTACGCACACAAAGAGGAAAAGCAACCGGGTTAGTTAGCTGTCTTATTTAGCAACACAAACTCCTTTCAGGAGCCTAGCGCCTTCTTACAAACGACAACTGGGCACGCAGTGTACATTTTTAACAGCACATCCTGGTGCTGTATACACATTTTAATTCACTTCCTGTTGAATTTATGAAGCATGTAAGACAAAATTTGCATTGTGTAGCCTCGATGCAATAGCAGTACTGTATACATAAACCTACATGAGTCGAAACAACATTCCTTACAAACACCCCCCATGATGTAAACTTCCTTTTCTGCTCATCATCAGGTGTGTGCAATGTGCAAATGCTTAATGTCACTTGTAAACAGCGCTACTGTTATTGCAGGGAAGTGGGTGACCACGAGTACAACGTTGCTTTTCCAACCGTTACCAGGGGTGTAAAATGGGCCAGAATGAGCTTGAACGCCATGGTGGGAGTGAATATTCTAACCCTACTGTCGTTCAGGAAAGAACCAGGGGGTCAAGTGCGGTGATCGGGTAGTCTACATATCCTATATAATTTCTATATAAAATTCGCAAATGTCCGTCCGGCACGATCCGGATCTTCGAAAAGATTCGTTGACGGAAAACTACATGCAAAGGTCTGCGAATATACTTTGTTATAAACTCAATGTGCTGAAACAAGCGAACTAAAAGTTAATGTATTCATGAATGCTGGTGTCCGCTGCCCTCCGCTCCCTTGCGTTCAGGCTCAGTTTGTAGATCCAGATCTTGGGGGAGGCTATAGTCCTGATGGGGGGGCGGGGGGTCCTGGTCTAGCGTGGTAAGGGCATTTATGAGTTCCCCCAATTATTTCTTCCCATTTCCGGCGATGACCATTACTTATCCGCCTTGACCAATTAAACCACCCAGACCCAGCGTATTGTATGTGCACGGTGCAACTGTCATTCTGTATTCTATAGATGTTCACATATCTGACCTTTTCACATGCCCGCCAATGTCTCAGTCACCAGTGAGCTGCATATCAGACGTTGTACTGTATTGGCGTGTACTTTCCCCTTGCGAACTGGGTGGGCAATAGAGAAATTCCTTTTTTTACATTTATGTCTTTTACAACAAATGCATAGCTAGTTTATTCCAAAATACAGAACAATCTGGAGCATTGGGCCTTGCAAAGAGTCCAATTAGTCATTAAGTGCTTTATATAGTATTCATCCCCGACGATGCTGATAGAATAGCTTTAACGCTTCTTTATTTAGCAGTCCTGGTCGTGCAGCCTTACAAAATGATCAACAGATTACTAAATGTACCGGACTCACCACATGATTCTGAATCAACATGCTGATTTTCTCACGCAGGTCAACTTTGGAATTCCCTCCCATTATCTCTCCTCCAAAGTTTTTCTAATCTTTCTCAAGTCAATTAACTCTTATCCACTACACCTTTAACAGTGCTGTTTGCGGCTGGCAGCTGAGCGTTTTGAGCATTTGGACCTGTGATCAGCAGTGCATAGCTGAATTAAACTTTCGAATGAAAATTTTAACGGTATTTTATAAAGGCTACATACTGCGAAGTAAACGAGTACTATCTCGGACGTGACATGCATACGAGCATAACAGGCTGTCGTGTACGATCAAAAAAGATTACTTCCATTGTGCCCATTGCAGTGTCAATATTTACAGCCATGGCTCTATCTCATGTTCAGCGTCCTGTATCACAGCCGGGGTGGGCAATATGAGAAACCGAAGAGTGATCGGCATGAAAACGTGAATAGACTCCTGTGTCTTCTTGGTTCTTTCGGTAAAGTCACGTAGAAGGGAAGTAATAAAATAATATTATTTTATTACTTCCCTTCTACGTGACTTTACCGAAAGAACCAAGAAGATGAATCCCTGCAGTCACGAAAGCTTTAAATCGAAAAGACTCCTGTGTCCTTGACATCCTGGGCAACTTGACCGAAGGGATGGCTCAGCGGGACAAGGTTCTGCCCCTGACCAACATAAGTCATACGTCAATATTTCTCAACAAGAACAGCGGTGGTGGAATAAAACATTGATTAGTCTGAAAGAACATCAAATATATGTAGTGCAGATATTATACTCCAAAGTGTAGCATTCACATTGAAATAGCCTGCTTAGTTTAGAGCAGGATTATAGATACTAGCCATGTAAGGATTTGCCCTCCTTACGATTCAATGAATTATTACTATTCACATCGCAATATATATTTGTCACATTGTGGTAGAGTTAAGGCAATTTGATTCTTGAAGTAATTGATTACTCAACTTATTGTCAGCCCGATTACTCAACTAATAATACGATACAAAAATAGTTGAAAAAGGCTTGCCCCTGTTCTCACGCGTTCTGCTATACAAGATATAATGGGTGGGGTTTGGTGACATTATGGGCATCGTCACGCTGGGTATGGCTTGTAGGGGGTTTCCAGCCTTCGCAGGCAGGATATTAGGGCGGCTGCCATTTTAAAGGGCTCAAGTGGCCAACAATGAAAAAAGTAGTCGGTTAAAGTAGTGGATTATTTGTCCCAGCTGTAGATTGTGGTGCGTGTCGTGCCTATTCTGGCGGCAGTCACACGAACAAACTACAGTACAGAAAACATGTACGGATCAAAAGGGTAAATTTTTACACCACAATTATAAGGATCTATCTGAATGGATGAATTAATGCTTAATTATGGTCCCCATTTAGTAAAGTTTATTTCGCAAAAATAGTCTGTGGCAAACACCTGACATGGAAGAGAAACGGCTGTATTGGAGTCTATACTTGTGCGAGAGTCCATGATCAAATCACCCAGAATGCACACTATCTCGTCAGATCTCGGAAGTTAAGCAGGTGGGAACCTGGACAGTTCTTGAATTGGCAACCACCTTGCATGAACATGTTTTTATAGTCTGCTGTGGGGAAAAAAGTTGTGGGAATTGGAGGGCAGTAAATGATAATCCATTGTGGTACTGTACTTCTATACTCCCACACGTGTTTCCCCACTTCACCAACCCACAATGAACACCATAGTGAAGTTTAGTCAAATAAACCCCACGATCTGAATGGCGTGAGGAGGCCCTCACCTATCACTCGACTGATAAACACGCGGTCCACAGCACAGGTGCTATATACAACAGACCTGGGGTCAATTGTAATTACTGTCATTATAGCAGCATTCGTAGCTGAAATTACAATAACATTGTGATTGTCATTTGTTATAACATTATTGTAATTGACCCCAGGTCTGGTACAGATCCACAACTGTGCTTGTCATCAAGTCTGTGCAAGTCCACTCATAATCTGCTGAGAAGACGCTACACGATTGTCCAGCAATAACAGCAAAACAACAGTGTCAAGATATATAGCAAATTAGAACTATAATATTTTAGTTTGTTTTATGTAAATCACCAAAAACTATTGTTTCTACTCGGCATGTACCACCAATTATGGCATGGTAGCCACCGTGAAAATGTAAAATATTTGAATTACCTTGGGCAACAAATGAGTCAGAGGTGTGAGTTACTGCCGAGCACGATTTGTTGCTTGAGCTCGGCTGCAGCTATCGGGTGTAATTCACTGGTCCAACACAAACTGCAATGAAATGCACAAACACCAAGTTACAGTATTTTAATTCATTTATTTCGATTACAGAAAAACACTTTTGTAGATGTGGCTGGGCACTTGGTTCTTAACACTGCAAACTTGCATCGGACAAACTATAAACGGAATTATTTAACGTGCTACAGTTCGTCCATTATCACAGAGCAATAACAACGGTCCCAGGTGTTGGTCCATCATCACTCAAGGTGTGAAATGACCCGTATAGTGAGCCCCCGATTGGATGTATTCGAATCTACTGCCAAACGCTGGAACAATCGGTGTACTCAGTCTGGGTGCACTGGAACGACAGCGAGTGAGGTGGGAAACGAATATGCTGTGCAGGCCTTTCATGGTTGTGTTGTATAGCTCCACATGCTGGGAGCTTTTTGAGGAACTGAAGTTCAAGAAGCTCTCAGCACGTGCAGAGAAATGTCGAACATCATTCCGAACAACATGCAGTGCAACTCGGAAACACGTCGGAAAGGGAAATGAAATATCTTCTTGGTTCTTTCGGTAAAGGCATGTAGAAGGGAAATAATAAAATAAATAAAAACATAATAAAAAACAAAATATGATGTGAAATTTTTATTATTTTATTATTTCCCTTCTACGTGACTTTACCGAAAGAACCAAGAAGATGAATCCCTGCAGTCACGAAAGCTTTAAATCGAAATGGAAATGAAAGTTACATTTGGTGGCTGCTCATGTAAAATAGGTTCATGATACACACCACCAGTGGTGAGTCGTGACTGTCTGGTGAGTGGCGAGTGTGGTGTGCAGCGAGTGCCTGGTGAGGATGTGGTGCATGGTGGGTAGTGAGTGTCTGGTGAATGTTGGAGGTCTTGTAAGTGTATGGTGCATGAGTGGTGAGTGGCATCAGGTGAGTGTCACATCCTCTTGCCCTCTTTAAAGTTTAACAGAGTACACTTCCAACGATGAAGCAGAAGGCAAATAATACAACTGGGCTTGTCTTTACGTCGTCATCGGCCTCATTACGAAAGACTGAGGCAGTTAGTGCCATGATGTAATCTAGTACAACATTAACATAAAACATCAGTTAACAAGTACATTGTGAAGGACGGCTGTTTGCAAATTTACCTAAAAAGCAGTGTGAATTCCTGCGTTAAGTCATAAGCAAATTACTGTGTGCACTTTTTTTTACAGATGTTATATTGTTATGGGTTTTCTGAAAGGAAACAACACCTTAATCACGTAGGTGTCATAAATTCTCACAAAAGGTGGTATTTTAAATGGCATTTTACATGACGCAAATGTCATGTGTTAAAGCAAAATCTGTTCCAACTTGAGAGAAAATAGCGCTCCCTGGTGTATGAACACAATTAAGATTTTCCAACAAAAAACCGAGTTAATTATAAGTATTACATGAGGTAAACTGTTATTTAGGGAAGACTTTTCTTCACCAGACAGAACTACATGCACACTTGGCGTGCTCATCTGCTCACACTTTCAATTCTCAGAGCTGGACAATTAAGTAAAAAAAAACCTGAATTTAATATTTGTTTCTATCTGGCCATTTGTCACTTGGAAAATATCATGAACCCACGGTACTACATCATCAACTACACTTGAGAATACAGTTTAATCGCACAAAAATCTTTGATGCTGCATTGGTATTGGTTCTTCAGCACTAACAAAATGCAACACATTTATCATTCGCGCTGCCCTAAAGAGGGAAAATTATATAAAACACATAATTTTGAGAAATGGCCCTTCATAACTTTTAAGAAGGGCCAATGCCACAAACACTGTCGCTGTTACATTACTAGTTAAGTGTTTAAGGCAGCGTTTTTGATTAATGTGGTGAGTTTCACTTTCATCACGGATTTAAACCAACGATCTCAGCAGCGACGGCTTAGCCCTCTGACCTCAGAGCCACCTTCTCGGCCTGATCAATATCAACGGGGTCCCCTCAGAGGTCGCAACCGGGTACCCGATACCCGTACCCTACCCGATACCCGGCTACCCGTACCCAGCCGGGTACGGGTACCCGTTTGCAACCCTGGTGCGGCCGGGTACGGGTACGGGTAGGCCGTGAGTCACTGGTGAGTAACAGTTTGTCACTCATTTCCCAACGTCTTGTCTCTTAGCACAATTCAAGTTCCTAGAATCAACCCACCCGCGCCTGCAACGTGGCTTCATCCCAGAGGTCGCAATCGGGTACCCGTACCCTACTTGATACCCGGCCGGGTACGGGTAGCCGGGTATCGGGTAGGGTACGGGTACCCGATTGCGACCCTGGTGCGGCCGGGTACGGGTATGGGTAAGGAATCAAAACCCGTTTGCGACCTCTGGGTCCCCCCTACAGTGCTTGGTTAGGCTTCTGATTGTTGACCTTAGTCAGAAGAGCGGCGAAGGCTCCGACCAGTGCCAAGCCCAGCAAGGCGATGCTCAGAATGGTGCCCCGGCCTCCTCTGCCGCCCTTGCTCATCTTCTTGCCTATTGCCCACTGGCACCAGGAGAGCTTCTTGTCGCTGTACGGCGGGTAACGAATGGTGTTGGCGCTCTCCATTGACTGGCCCCTCAGGCCAACGGCGCGCATGTGCGAGAAGCTGTTGAAACTGTGCCTGCCGTGGTAGGAGCCCATTCCGCTGTTGCCTGCGTGGTCAAACACAATTCGACTTTATTATTGCGCAGGTGTATGCAAAAAAGAGAGTTATATGTAAGATACTACGTAGATATTCGTGGTTGTGCTGTAGAGTAGGCACACGGCGGTTAGGTTTTTAAACCCCAACCCTAAACCTAACGTCAATAATATCGTCGAATATTATACATGTAATGCCCGCATCCATTCAATACTTACACCGCCACAATATATGCATCAGTAATTTATTATTTTCAATTCATGTATGTTGTACATGCTGGACGAAGACATCCCCCCCACACTGTGTCAGTGGTAGGGGTTGTTCGACCATACATCTCCAAACTGGTCAACGAGGGTTGGTAAAGGAGGCACTCAGGATTCATATATCATTCGACACTTAATGTTAGCCATGGGTGTGGATCACTGCACCGTTGATCCACCATTATTGACAATAATAGTTACATATAATAACTGTGATACTATCCATATGATGAAAAACAACTGCTGCTGCTCATGGGAGCAGGGAACTCACCCACGCCACCGAAGGGCATGCCCTCGACTGCGTAGTTGAACAGGGTGTCATTGGATGTGAAACCTCCACTGCTGGTCTCATCCACCAGACGTTTCACCACCTGCCAAAAAAAGGCATTACTTATCAGTAACAGCACTCTGTCAATTAACTGGTGGAAGAAGGTCTCTTCCGTGCTTTATCGGTCATTGGGTTTGTTTAACCATACTTCTTCATGATGGTAAAACTTCTTCATGATGGTCAGTGCAGGTTGGTGAAGGAAAGTCTAGGAACAGTTTTGATACCGCATGCCATTGATGTTAGCAGTGCCTAGAACTGAAACTCAAGTCGTTGGGTTCATAGTGTTAGTGAGCTACAGCTGTGACATTACTGCCCCTTTTATTTTAAGTTTATCTTACAAGCATTTATATTTTAAACTTGGCAACATTTTCAAGCTATGCCAGGCAAAATGGCATTCCTATTTACAAATCAAAACGACACCATGTCCCATCAATGAGGAGCACAACCACACTTTGGAAGTTGGGGGGAGTTCTACTAGTGCGTGGTGTCTGGTGGTTATTGTTTAGGCTACAAATAGGATCCGCAAAATTTGCTCCACACTTTGCCACAGATAATAAGAATCTTACTTTACGATAATAATTTTTTTTATCTTAGCCACTTCTGGTGACCGACTCAGTGATGAGCATACTGTCCACGAGGTAATTTGAATTTCAAAGTTCCACCATATGCAGAAAAAAGTATTTACGTCGCCTTGTTCGAGCAAGAAAAAAGCATCCTCAAAATACCGTGAATTTTATCCAAAATGTTGCGAGCCGTCTCATTGCCATATCTAACCATTCTGCGGGTGTCCAGACACCCAAAGTGGCTGTGCCTCTGCCATCAACTCCATTACATCTAGGGTGTGCATAACTTGGGCCGTGGGGGTGGGGGACGCGGGTTGGGGTGGGAGGGCCGGCACCTTCTTGTCGAGTGCGAACACGTAGATCGCTAGCGGCTTCTCGCGATTGTTGATGAAGGTGATGGCATCATCGACGCCATTCACGGTCATGATGGGCAGGATGGGGCCGAAGATTTCCTCCTGCATCGCCGCCGAGGACGCATCCACACCCGTGAGCACTGTTGGGGCTGAAAGCCGGCACCACCGCCGCAGCAGCAGGAGGAAGAGGAGGACTTAGCAAAAGCGATAAGAAAACAATTGTTTGAACTAACCTGAATTGTTCAGTTATGATAAATGTGTACGCACTCCATTTATTGCGAGTCAAAAAGCACAATGGATTTTTTGTTGGCACAGTGTAGTGGCGTAGGTATTGAGCATGCAGGTGGTACAATTACACCGGGGAGGGGCCCCCAGATTCTGGGCTATACAGAGGGGTGGGGGGGGGGGATATCCAAAAATGACTCCTATCCCTAAAATTATCCACACATGGGAATAGGATGAATTTGCTGCGTGATGTCTCTTGTCAACAAAAGAATGTAGTTAAGATCAACCGAGCACCCGCGCTGACCACTCGCAAATAACTAATCTTTATCATGGCTAAACATCATGGGAACCTCATTTGCCAGTAAAAATATGATAATTGGTTTTTTACCCTTCTATCTGGCAACAAAACTGACACCTTTTTACAAGGAGTCATGTTTGCACAGACCGCAATACCTGCAGTCATAATACAAACAAAAGACATAACTCGGATAATGTGCACATTAATGTGCACATTATCCGAATGTGCACATTATCCGAGTTATGTCTTTTGTTTGTATTATGACTGCAGGTATTGCGGTCTGTGCAAACATGACTCCTTGTAAAAAGGTGTCAGTTTTGTTGCCAGATAGAAGGGTAAAAAACCAATTATCATGGCTAAACATATTATGAATTTACTCCTTATTCATGAAAAATAATGTTAATCATAGGAAATATCCATTCTTCAGTAATAGATTTCATGGATCAGTTCCAAGCTGCAGATTATACGAGTTGTGGATAATGAGTGGTTACAATATGATTAAATTAAGTAAAAGCAGTGGATGGAACATGGCTGCTGCTGACGATGATTAAATCAACACAGAGTGGAACGATTTACAAATATACTGGCCAACCATTCTTATTGGGGCAAACTTGGGCAGAGTGCTGTGGGCCATATGTTCAAAAGATTGTGTCAACTTGCATTCCAGTCAAGCTGTAATCAGCTTGTCTGGCTGCATTTCTGCACATGTCATCGATTAAGCAGCCTCTCTGTATTCGGAAAGAATTGAGCAACGAAGACTGGTAAAGTATAGTCATGTCAGAAGAATACCGACAGGAATACAGCAAAAGCAATGGCAATGCTTGTGAAAAACAAAAGAGGACTGAGAAAAAATTTACCCGTAAAAACAAAGTTTTTCACTATAAATCCTTTATATGCGTGGCAAATAAATTACAGTACGTGTTCAATGGGCCACAACCCAGCCCACATTGGTCTTTGAAACGGGCGGCTAGAGTCCTCTCGTCCTCTGGCTTGAGATGGCTGCCAACTATGGGTCAGATGATTGCCTGCCACCATTAAGCAATTGGTAATTAAATATAAAAAAAAAATTCCTAAAATGTTGAAAATTTTTGAAAAAAATTTTCCACGAAAATAAATTGTCACGCACAACGAGTCTGTGTGCAAAATGTCAGCTCGATTGGATCACGGGAAGTGGGTTAAAAAACGACCGAAAGATTTGCACGGTCGTTAGCGCGCAAGCAAGCAAGTGAACTTAATATAAAGGATTTAAAAAGATGGATTGATGGAGTGAAAGAAGCACTAGAACAGAGAGTAATGAGATGGAAACAAATGGTATGATGATGATGGCGGCCAACAACAGTGGAGGACTACCGTCGGAGGTTCATGAAACTAGCAGCCTTCATTTCAAGGGGACTGGAGGAGTAGAGAGAAAGTATATTTCTAATGCCGTGTTTACTCCTACCGATGTACAATTCGGCCTCGTCAGTCTCTCCTCCGATAGCGACCTTTGCTCCGGCCATAAGGCCCTTCACTCGGTCAAAGTGCCTCTTGTTCACGATACGTCCATAGTCCAGTGACTTTTTGGGGTCCTCTCCGTAGTATTCCTACGCAGGTTCCACAGAAAATGAATCAGCTTATACATTGTATGTTTGTCAATTTTTACAGTAATTATCAAATTTTATGTAAAAGGGTGTGCACATATTAAAAATGTGTCTAAGTTTTTTTTATGCAACTTACGGACAAATACCAAACTGCTCATGAATGCTATGAGACATCTCCTTTACCAGTGGCAAAATATAGTAACAGGTTTTTACCCTTTCAACTGGTACAAAAACTGACACCTTTATACAAGGCATCATGTTTGCAATAACCACAACACAAGTAGTCAAAATGCATATTTTTGTTTGCATTTTGACTGCTTGTGTTGTGGTTATTGCAAACATGATGCCTTGTATAAAGGTGTCAGTTTTTGTACCAATTGAAAGGGTAAAAACCTGTTACTGCTGATGAATGGTTAATTTGCAGATTCACTGCATTTGCACAGACTACACTATGTTACACAATTTTTGTTCCTGGGTAGTAAGTGTTATTTCGTAATTGCTTATGCCTAAAGAGAATAGAAAACGGCTATTATTCCCCACAAACTTTGCTTTTGTGACCAGGACGATGATATTTTTTTATTTACCTATTTCCAATGATAATACGGGCAAATTTTTGTATTTACGTTCACATAAAGTCAGAAAAAAACAACATATGAATAAAAAATGACTACAAAAGATTTAGAAGTGAGTAGTTTTTCGAGATTTACGATTATACTGTAAATCACTTTCACGAATCAGCCCCCAATGTAGTCTCCCATCATGTTCTCGTTATACTGAGAGCATGATGGTGGAAGCGCTCGCCTTGCTCCTTCGAGTACGCTCCCATGTTCTCCTTGACTTTATCAAGATGAGCATCAAGGATATGGACTTTGAGGGACATCCCACAGCCTATTGTGCCGTAGTTCTTCACCAAAGTCTCAACCAGCTCCACATAGTTTTCGACCTTGTGATTGCCCAGGAAGCCATGAACCATTGCGACAAAGCTGTCCCAAGCCGCTTTCTCCATACTAGTGAGCTTATTGGGGAATTTATTGCACTCCAGGTTCTTCGTCATCTGTGGTCCGACGAAGATACCAGCTTTGACCTTTGCCTCAGACAGCTTAGGGAAAAAGTCTTGAAGGTACTTGAAGGCTGCCGACTCCTTATCTACAGCTCTGACACATTGTTTCAAAAGGCCTAATTTGATGTGCAGTGGTGGCATCAGCACCTTCCGGGGGTCCACCAGTGGCTCCCACTTAACGTTGTTCCTCCCCACAGAGAACTTACTCCGCTGTGGCCAGTCCCGCCTGTAGTAGTGCGCCTTGGTGTCCCTGCTATCCCTCAGGCAAAGATAGCAGGGAAACTTGGTAAAACCGCCTTGGAGACCCATCAGGAATGCCACCATTTTGAAGTCTCCGATGACCTCCCAGCCGTACTCATCATACTTCAAGGCATCCAGCAAGGTCTTGATGCTCTTGTAATCCTATTTGAGCTGCACTGAGTGAGCCAGGGAAAGAGACGGGTACTTGTTACCATTATGGGGCAGCATGGCTTTGAGGCTCCTGGATGAACTGTCAATGAAGAGACGCCACTCATTCTGGTGACAGGTGATTCCAATTGCCTTGAACAGACTGGTCACATTGTGGCAGAAGCAGAGCCCATCTTGACGAGTGAAGAAGCTGCAAAAAGGTTGGTGACGCTTCCTCTGATCTGTGACTTGCACACTTGTATCCAACAAGTTCCACTGCTTGAGCCTAGACGTCAAAAGCTTGGCATTGGACTAGGTGAGACCAAGATATCTGATCAAGTCGTTGAGGTCTTTTTGGTTGGGGTAGTATGGGTTTCTCTCCTCAGCTCCACCTCTGAAATTGGCATCTGGATCTCCAATGTCTTCCTCGCTCTGTGACTTGCTGCTCTGTTTTAAAGACGGCTGCTCTCTCTCCGGAGGAGTGGGTACGGGGAGCACATGGCAGTGTAGCACCAGGGTGATGGATGAACGAAGCTCCGGATACGTGATAGCAGGTGCATTCTTGGCAGTCCGACGTTTGGAAGGGTCCACCATGCAGAAGTAGCAATTGCTTGAGTGGTCAGTGGGTTCCCGCCAAATTTTTGGGATAGGCCTTCTTTTCCCCCCTGTACCATCCTACAAAAATAAATTAATTTTACCCATGACTAATGTGTAAGAGATTCTTGCAACATTTTTCATGATATATTTTTTCAATAACATTGAAAATTGTAAAACATTTTAAAATTTAAAACCTTTACGATTTTAAGAATGTTAACAAATTTTATAACATAATATTCCGAGCTACAATTTTGTCCATCTTACCTTCCAGAGTTTTTTTTGCATTGCTCGCAGGTGAAATGAGGTGCCCAGGGTTTTTCTTGATCCCCAACAGGCATGCCGAAATATGCCTTGTAGGCCTCACACATCTTAGCAGATGCTTCCACAGAGTACTTTTTCGCTCTTGACTTGATAAATTGGCCGCAGACATAGCAAAATGCATCTGTCAGATGCTTGCAGCCTCTTAATGCCATCTAAACTGAACTTGTGGGCTTAAGGCCCCTTATTTATACTACTATTTACATTACTGGAAAGTTCTAGAATGCTCAAGTTTACTCAGGACTGAATCTATCTGGAATGTTCTGGAAAATAGGTAAATTTCTAAATATCACAGTCCTGGTCAAAAAAGTTAAGTTTGTGGGGAATAATAGCCATTTTCTGTACTTTTGAAGCATAAGCAATTAGGAAATAACACTTAGTACCCAGGAGCAAAAAAAAATGTTACACAGTGCTATCACCACACCACATAAATTCTTCTACCTTAAAAATAGATTAGCTTGTTGAAAAATATCGTTTTATCTATCACACTTGTTGAACAGCTATACAACATACAAATAGTATACAATTTCAGCCCCTTTATCAATGCACTGCTGGATGAAGGCATCCCCATGTCAGTCATGGGGGTTGCTTGACCATACTTCTCGACACTCGCCAGTGCAGGTTGGTGAAGAGAGTGCCCAGGACCGGTTCAGATATCACTCCCCACCGATTTTAGCCATGGCCAGGAAACAAACTCAGATCTCAGTGATCTCATCACTTGCCTTGAGAGTGACACGAATGGCTTCCACAAGGGGTTCCTGCACCGACGGTTCACACAGCACGTAATCGGGCGCAATGCACGTCTGTCCAGAATTGATGAATCGGCCCCATGTGATGCGGCTGAATGGAAGAGATAAAATAAACTTAACAAACAAGATTTGTTTTAAGGTTACACAAGCGACATTACATTGTGAACTAATGTGTAATATATGCCGACCAGCCAATACGAATATAATTGTTTTAATCACAAGACTAAATCCACATTATCGAGAACCAATCACAAAATCAACTCAAAACACCAACTTTCGACGCGCAAACAGAACGGTCCCACACGTTGACCGACTTGACGCCCTATCAACAACGGCCACAAAACCGCCATTGGCTTGGTGGGAGGGCCCACCGTCGCCGCACGCCTACCGTGCGGCCAGTTGGAGGTTGGAGTCGCGGTGCACGAAGCAGGGGCTCTTGCCGCCGAGCTCCAGCAGGACAGGGGTGAGGTGCGGGACGGCTGCCGCCATCACGATGCGCGCCACCGCCGGGCCGCCCGTGTAGAAGATGTGGTCGAAGCGCTGCTTCAGGAGCTCCGTCGTCTCGGCGGGCCCGCCCAACACCACCTGGTACATGTCCTGTAACCGGCGAGCCAACGAGAGGGAGTGGACAATCCGGACGCGGTTGACCGTGTACACGAACGCAGTCGGTTCTGCAGAAGTGCATAAGGTGGATGTCTTTTGTCCCATCCATTCAGCCCCTTTACAGACGCCGCTGGGTCCACAAACTTCCAGCCACAGTCTTCCACTATTATGTAACCATCAGTTGTTATTCCCCTGCCATTCCTCTGCATTCTCGTGCCCTTTCCACTCCAGCAGACAATATTCTTCTCGTTTGTCCTCTGCCACCCGTTTTCTTCCACCACTCTTTGCCTTCTATGTTTCATGTTTGTTACTATGTTATAAGATCTATGTTTCTAGGTCAAGTTTTTTTCTGCGTGGCTGTACACATCTCTTGCATCTATCCATGTGGGGAAGGCAGAGGTATGACAGAGTAAATGCCCATGACCAAATCACCCGAAATGTGCTCGTTCTCATCAGACCTCGGGAGATAAGGCAGGATTGCGCCCAATTAGTACATGAATGCGTTACCGCCACCATCCAGAAACAACAATGTAACAGGGATTGTGGGCAGTGCAATAACATTTATTCTGAATTTCTCTCACCTTCAACCAGCATATTTAAGTATAGTAAAAATAATCCTTCATGGCCTACATGACCCTCATCCAGTAGTTGATTGACAAAAACGGGCTGTATGTGTAATAGCTATAACGTTGTTAACAAGCAACCGTTTCCCATGTTAACGTGCAACTGCTATCAGTACGGTGGATTTTGCAAGATCGACAGCACCACTCACTCCAATCTCACCTTGTCCAGGTAGCGAGGAAACAGCTCCGCCAACAGCTTGGCCGTGTTCTCAGACAGCTCAGACGGCTTTATCACGGCTGCATTTCCTACAATCCGCACAATCAGTGGCATTTGCTATCGAGTGTGCAGGCAGTGCAACTGCATAGGGGCCCACAGGCTGTAGGGGCCCAGATGCCAGCTATGGAGAGAAGGGGAAAATTAATGGGGAACCCCCATATAATTTCTTACAGCAGGGTCCATGCCAACCATGTTACGTCTCTGCTCACAATCTCTACCAATCTGCATAGCACAGCTCCCACAACTATAATCGCAGCACATTAATATTCAAAGATGGGAGAGCAGCCTGCGATGCTCAAGCTTTTAGAATGAAGCAATTGAAATTATTAGACGTAAAACTGTTCAGCACCACTATCCCACCCCTTCCCCCAAGGCCCCAGAAATGCGATGAATTGTCAAGTTTTTGGATTGTCATTTTGTCACATTTGTGGACCCTAAATGTAATGTGCGCATATTATTAGCATAATTGAATCTGAAATAATTGATTCTTCCACACATTATTCAAGAGGTATTGTGAGGTGAAAGATGGATGTCGTGCAATGAATGAATGTATCATTACATGTTGAGCAATTATCAAACAATGTTCTTACTTAAGTTTGTAAATCAGTTGTTCAACTGAGCTACGTGCAAATCATTTGGATCTCCCTTGACTTCGATCTCAATGGGCTCTTGTTAAAAAAAAAGATTATTTGTAAGGAGACTGTATCCGTTGGACAAGTTTAGAATGGGGCAATTCCGCATGCAAAGTTGCACTCCCAGGGCAATGGCACAATGCACCTTGAATCAGGGCAGCCGCCTAATAAGTGGATGGACTGCACAAAAAGTCTATTTTATTCAGGTTAAAGTTTTTTTTTTTACGAGTAAATTCCTTCACGTAATCACCACTGTTCTACCATCATTCGCTTATATAAGTACACGTAAAATCTTTTGACCAAAAAAGCACTGGCCTCAGCAAAGAGAATCTGACTTAAATGGTGAAAACCAGGGAGTGAGTCTGAAAATTAAAAAGCCCATGACAAAGCAGTCCATGCATTGCGCAATGGTTGTGGGACACAAACTGGCACTAAAAGTGTATCTGTAGTGCATGCAGTCTCCCACCAAAAGACACGATAAGCCCTGCTTGTAAAGGAGTTGATTGCCACTCTGTGCCATTATCTTCACAATGAATGGGTAGGATCACACCAAAGGCAGGTAAAACAATCAATAAATAAATCCAAAGGACAACAGGTTCTCGAGCCTGGGTATGGTAGGGGTGGACGGACCAGCCCGTTGTATGTGTGCTAAGCAAGTAACGATCCATTAATTAATCAGTTTAATTATTTCACTCACCATACGGGCATGAAATCTGGCATATAAGAATCAAATGTTTATAATTTATGAAAACTACTGTATATGTAAATGTGACGTTTGGGCTAACGGGGTGAACAGAATGAAAATACAAACGTGGCACACACACATCAGTTATACGATAGACAATGCATCAAGCGACAATACAAACAAGCCAGGCATCACAAACGAGACACACATTACATTCATACGAGAGAAACACAAATGAGACAAACACGATACAAATGAGACGGACAATATGAGCCGAACAGCAAACGAGTCACAAACACCAAATACAAGAGACATCTGATACAAGAGACACAATACAAATAAAACACACACAATGCAAACCACACAAACAATATACCGGAGAACAACAAAACAACGCGTCCCTTCTCGAATCGAGTCATGACCTCGAATCACAAATCATGGGTGGCAGCAAAAACTCCCTCGCCTGCCCTGCGTCCGCACCTGCAGCGATGGCTCCGGCGAGAGGTTGAAACACAAGTCCACCTGGGTAGTTCCAGGCCCCCATGATGAGGCACACGCCCAGGGGCTGAGGCTCAATGTACACAGTGTCGGCCAGGGTAATCAGGGAGCGTGACACCGGTTGTGGCTTCGCCCACTCGCGCAGATGGCTCGCAATCAACGCCATGTCGTTCTTGGCGGGCATCAACTCATGCAAAATCACTTCAAACTTGCACTGCCGGGCACCAGATAGGGAGAGAAAAAGGAAGATGGAGAGAGTGTGTTTGATACAAAATGTATTATCTGCATCATGAGCAGGTAATTTGTCAGGAGATATCATGTATGTATCAGAAACACGTACATTGACAAAGAAAATGCTGAAAAGTGTGCAAAGAAGACTGGAACTATGCATGATGGGAATTATGAGAGAGGAACCCATAGATCAAAATTGATAGACATCGTAACGACTGCTAAGGAAAGTAAGTGGGCTTGGCCAGGACACGTTACTAGGGAAGGCAGCCAATGTCCAAGACTGGTAACAAAGCGGCAGCCAAATGAATGAACACACCCCAGAGGGCAGCGAACATGAAGGCAACGCGTGATCAGGTCATGCGAATTGAACATGCCAGATCGCGGCATTGTGAGACAGCGAGAATTTGATCAGACTGTGGCTCACAGTAATCACGATGATGACCAGTGCAAGGCATAACAGGGTATAAAGCAGGATCCAAAAAGAGGGTATTCAAACCCACAATATGTGAAGGTGGTTGTAGCTCAGTGCAAGCCAGCTGACCTTGTGCAGGTCCTTGTACAAACTCTGACACAGCTCCTTCTCGTTCTCCTCCATGAGCTGGTTGAGAGCCCGAAGCTGCTCCTCGCGGAATGCTATGTCGCGGCTGCGACCCATTCGGAACGCTTGCCGGGCCCGCGACACCACCTCCTGGAAGTCTGCCATTGTTGTTGGATGGCCTTGATCAACACTGAAAGAGCGAAAGATCGAAATTAAAATGTGACCACGGCCAAAAGCGTTGATGCCCCCACACGTCACCAACACTTTCTACCTTCTACCAGAGGTCGCAACCGGGTACCCGATACCAGTACCCTACCCGATACCCAGCTACCCGTACCCGGTCAGGTACGGGTACGGGTACCCGTTTGCGACCCTGGTGCGGCCGGGTACGGGTACGGGTAGGCCGTGAGTCACTGGTGAGTCACCGTTTGTCACTCATTTCGGGTAGGGTACCCGTACCCGGCCTGTACGGGTACCCATTTGCGACCCTGGTGCGGCCGGGTACGGGTACTGGTAAGGAATCAAAACCCGTTTGCGACCTCTGCCTTCTACTGCTGCACATGACCTCCAAGATCTGCCCTAACGATATCCTATACCATCAGATCTTCGTTGCGGGCCTCATGGAAACCATTCCAATGTCTGTTTAAATAACTGTCTCTCCTTCCTATGCACATGTCCTTTGCAGTGCAACCTTCTTTGCCTCATCACATTTTCATCACTTCCACAATCCTTATTCTATCTTTCCCAGCATCCGTCTCAGCCACCTTTGCTTAAATGGCAATCCTTTTTTTGTATTGCTTTGAGTCCACAGGCCTGAGTATAGAAAGCGCTCGGAAAAAAACAACAGGCAAGAGATTGTAGCAAGTTCCAGAATGCTATTTGAGAAAACCTACAAAAATGCTGTAATACCAGCATTTCCTCGTGATATTGCAACACTGTGGGCATGGCAGCAGTTGCTAGGAATTATATTATATCAATCCCACCACACCAGCTAATCAGCTGCCAGGAAGGCAACTCCCATCCGACATGACCACCACCAAGTCACCCATGCAACACTGCCAGAGCAGAACACCATCGCTCTGTGCGTTGTTCCAGTCGGGCTGTGGCTCATGGAAAAATATTTGTTTTTAATGTTGGTTATTAGTGCTAGTATTAAAGTTTGTAATTACTATTCGTGTTATTAATATCAATGTCATTCATGACTTTATTAATTATTGGATACACTTTTTTTTTACTTTGACAATTGACGTACGAGTGGTATTGACCAACCCGAGGTTCTCTCCAAACTTCGCTTCACCTGCCCAAGCCGATATGCGCCGCAGGGAGGTATGTTTGCCATATTTTCAATACCTCACGTGAAAAAAGTTGTTGTCGTTATGATTTTCAGTTATTTATTTCTCATTTGTCATTTCGGTGACCCATGTAACTCTTGCAGACTATCCTCTGGTCTCTTTTGAGTTCTCACCAGGGTTAAACAACATAAACTTGAAACTACGATGCTTTATTGTGTTAACTTCATTATACATATAGAGCCAAGGCAGTTTTGCCTTATGCAATTTCTATGAAAAGCTTAAGTCGTTCTATAATCAGGACCCATCTCTCTCATCCATACACGTACGTAGTACACCAACATCACTCCGATGTTAGATGTGCTTTCCTTTACACCCAGGCTAGTCTCTCTTTTCTCTTACAAAGTGGTATCCACAAATAGTGAAGGCGCAGTCAATAACATGGAAATACAGGGAAAGGGCTTGACAACTTTGGACTGGGTCATCAAACCGTAGCCTCAGTGTCAGACCCTTAACCAACTTGTCAACCAGAGGATTTGCACTGCCTTTGACACGAGCCATGAGCCCCATTCACTGTTCATTCTCACTCCACCCTCAAAAGAAATCAGTTACATTTTCACTTTCTGTATTCAGAGGCTACACTGCTCCAGTAGAAGGATGCTTATCAGTAAGAGCAATAATAATATTTACAAGTACAACATTTACCCCCACCGTGGCAACTTAGATTTTTGATTGATTGTATTTGTTTATGCGGGGTAGGATACATTCAGCTTATTAAACCGATCCGCAAAAATGACCAGCCGAGTACCTTTGTGAAAACATAGGAAGTTAGGGCAGCAAATAGACCGTAACATTGCAGAAAATGAGGAGCAAACACAACATTCATAGTCACGCAACCATTCAAGTCACACTGGCGGGTAACTTGAAAATAACGCAAAACTATCTTCAATCAAGGAAGGAATTAAAAAAGAAATGCAACTTTGCTTTAATAGCAACGACATAACAGCACTTGTTACAGCAGCTGCAAGTGCATCAGCGCTTACAAGCAGCGCATGCGGTTGCTGATTCTAGCAGCCGCAAGACGTTCTCTATCCACCGCTGGATGGAAGCGCCCGTCAGCGAAAATATTTCGGGGCCGTCCATAAATGACGTCACGCGATTTTGGACGATTTTTGACCTCCCCCCTCCTCGTCACACGGCGTCACAAAAAGTCAGACCCCCCCCCCCTCAAATATGACGTCACAAAGCTTTGCCCCACCCCCAAAAAATAAAACATGCTTTAAACTATTTCCATTGTAGTGCGTATTTAATGTGGCGCTGAACTCTGATGTTGTAGGAGAAAACATTTATCAAAACGTCGATTTAATAAAGTAGAACGTGTTGTCTATATTTTAGGTTTTTTTCGGTAAAGTCCTGTAGGTAAAAAATAAAAAAAAGTAATAAATGAATAGAAATATATTTATTATTATTTTTTACCTACGTGTACTTTACCGAAAAAAACCTAAGAGTATGAATCCTTGCAGTCACGAAAGCTTCAAATCTAGAATTGTCTATCTATATATATAAAATCGTGAATCTGTCTGTCTGTCTGTGTGTCTGTGTGTCTCCGGACCATACGCACTTTCATTGGACGGCGGTTGCCCCTGGCAACGGCTAGCGACGCCTTCGCCGCTTTCATTGGACCTGGCAACGGCTAGCGACGCCTTCGCCAAGGGCTGCAATTTCATTGGACGGCGGTTGGCCCTGCCAACCGCTAGCCACGCCTTCGCCACTTTCATAAGCTCCGTAATTAATTAAATAATAGCCATTACACAGTATTGTTGGAGCGCTAGGGGGGGGGGAAGGAACGCCACCCGTACCCTGCCTCTTCCAAGTCGACAATTTTAGGCGAGGCCGCAGGCTTTGCACGCTACTAGGCCTCGACACCCACCACGCCACTCTGAGGTAAATTCATCAAAGTTTTTCCTACTCTTCACTACACCCCCACCACAATGTGTGCTATTAATATTACTTTTAAACCCAACGCGCCAACAATCGATTACTTTAATGTTCACTGTACAAATACTCATTAAGCTGGGTGAGCGTACTGACAGTCTATTATGTACACTGTAGCCTGCTTATTAAGCTCTGTGAGCGTACTGCCACTCTATCATGTACACTCTAGCCTGCTTATGAAGCTGAGTGGGTGTACTGGCAGTCTATAATGTAGACTGTAGCCTGGTTATTATAATCGATTCTTTAAATGTTCTTTGTACAAATAGTCATTAAGCTGCTTTAGCGTACTGCCCGTCTATTATGTAGACTGCAGCCTGCTTATTCAGCTGCCTGGGTGTACTGCCAGTCTATCTATATATATAAAATCGTGAATGTCTGTCTGTCCGTCTGTGTGTGTGTGTGGATTTCGGACCATACGCACTTTCATTGGACGGCGGTTGCCCCTGGCAACGGCTAGCGACGCCTTCGCCGCTTTCATTGGACCTTGCAAAGGCTAGCGACGCCTTCGCCAAGGGCTGCAGTTTCATTGGACGGCGGTTGCCCCTGCCAACGGCTAGCCACGCCTTCGCCACTTTCATAGGCTCCGTAAATAATTAAATAATAGCCATTACACAGTATTGTTCGAGCGCTAGGGGGGGGGGGGGAAGGCACGCCACCCGTACCCTGCCTCTGCCGGTGGACAATTTTGGCGAGGCCGCAGGCTCTGCACGCTACTAGGCCTCGACACCCACCACGCCACTCTGAGGTAAATTCATCAAAGTTTGACCTACTCTTCACTCCACCCCCAACAAAATGTGTGCAATTAATATTACTTTTAAACCCAACGCGCCAAACATCGATTACTTAAATGTTCACTGTACAAATAGTCATTAGGCTGGGTCAACGTACTGCCAGTCTATCATGTAGACTGTAGCCTGCTTATTAAGCTCGGTGAGCGTACTGGCACTCTATCATGTACACTCTAGCCTGCTTATGAAGCTGACTGCGTGTACTGTCAGTCTATTATGTGGACTGTAGCCTGGTTATTATAATCTATTCTTTATATGTTCTTTGTACAAATAGTCATTAAGCTGGTTGAGCGACCCCAGTTCGATTCCAACTCACGCCCACCACCGCTGACGATTATTTGAAACGGACCTGGCCCTCCCCTAGGTCCACTCAGCCTCAAACGCGTAACTGCTGTCGTGTGTGAACATCGTCACTGGGGAGACAAAGGCGGCCGGGCATCGTGGATCCAAGTCCCGGGCGAAGCCGGGTCATGTGTATGTGTGTATGTATGTGTTTATGTGTATGTCTGTGTATCTGTATGTATGTGTGTATGTATGTGTGTGTATGTATGTGTGTTATGTGTCTGTCTGTGTGTCTGCATGTATGTGTGTGTGTATTGTGTATGTGTTTGTATGTGTTTGTGTGTTTACGCTCGCATTACACAAATGTGTTGCAGGTCTAAGGCGTTCCTTGCGCAGCATTGCCGCTTTATTATTTCAGTCGTTTACTGCCGTACGCACCCTCAAAGTCGTGTGTGTCTGCAGCAAGCGCGTGTATGTGTACCTATGGACGCGCGCGCGTGTGTTGTGTAGGGGGAACGGTAGTGTAGTGGTTAGCGTGCTGTCTGTGTCTGTGTGTGTGTCTGTGTGTGTGTGTCTGTGTGTGTGTGTCTGTGTGTGTCTGTGTGTGTGCGTGTGTGGTGTGTGGGGAGCGGTAGTGTAGTGGTTAGCGTGCTGTCTGTGTGTCTGTGTGTGTGTCTGTGCGTGTGTGGTGTGTGAGGAGCGGTGGGTGTAGTGCTTAACGCTACGCTGCGCTACCAACCCGGCGAACCCAGTTCGATTCCCGCTCACGGCCACCACCGGTGACGACTATTTGAACCTCCCCTAGGTCGACTCTGCCTCAAACGAGTAACTGCTGTGGCGTATTAACATCGCCACTGGGGAGACAAAGGCGGCCGGCCGTGGTGGATACAAGTCCCGGGCGAAGCCGGGTAGTACAGCTAGTATTTATTTAAAGTTGCTCATTTTGATGTGACGTCACATTTCTAAACCCCCCCCCCTAGGTGCGTGACGTCATTTATGGACGGCCCCTTTTATAGTACTGCAACCGTGTTACCAAATTGCGATGTGGTTTCGTTACTTTAATACCAGGAAATGGCGTCAAAGCAGCTTGTAGCACACACAAAAAGGTTCCCGAGATCGGAGAGTGCCTGCCATGCTGTACTGGACGTGCATTGTTAGCGAGCACCTATTCAAGTTCAAGTTCATGTATTAGGTCTAGCCCTGTGAGTCATTCGGCTCTTGAATCGGGTGCAACCGCAACAAACAAAAAACTAAAAACAAAAACATGAACAAGAAAACATCTTAAAGTGAATATGTGACTAAGTGCAAACAGAAAATCCAAGAAAAGACAGCAAAATATTGCAGAAAAAGCACCGTACACCAACGCTGTGTGCAAAAACCCCAGTGAGATGCAAGTCAAACAACAACAACCACAAGATAACTTAGATTAAGGCCATCATTCTAACTCCGTACTACAACAAACAAACATGGCAAAACCAAAAAACTTTTCGAAATCACCAAATTAAAGCCATGAAAGCAATAAAACAGTGATCATAGGAACTGACGGAATTTTCACAATAAACGACATAAACAACATGTACCACCAAACCCTACAGCCATAGCTGGCTGCATGAGTCTGAGTATCAACAATTTTCAATGCACCTTTAAATATCAGGTTTTTTCGGTAAAGTCACGTAGGTAAAAAAAATAGAAATAATATTTAATAATAATATTATTTTTTATTTTTACCTACGTGACTTTACCGAAAAAACCTAAGAGTATGAATCCTTGCAGTCACGAAAGCTTCAAATCTAGAATTTAAATACCAGCCAGAACAGCAACGCACGTGGCAATAATGCGTGTCACACAACCCCGGCAGCGACAACCCCCTGCACAGAACACTACAGACAACAACAACAACAGCCACTAAGTGGCGGTGACGTCACCACGACGCTTGTGCCAGGCTAGGTGCACCTTGAAGCCACGTGAAGGAGGTCACGGGGCAGACCCAGTAGGTGCCACGTGTCGACTGACTGAGATGACCGAGATGAGTGGCTGATTGCACCACCTGTGCCCCCTACACAGTAGTTGGCACACTACAGACACACACACACAGACACACAGATACACACTACAGACACACACACAGACACACACAGACACAGCCTCTAACAACAGACTGTAGGGGCAAGCGCTGTTAGCGAGCACCTATGAAGGCCGGAACGGTACACGAGGGGGTGGGATGGATAGCACCACGCCCGACCGCCTTTGTCTCCCCAGCGGCGTTGTGTTTTTGCTGTTACGCAACGCACCGGGTACACATTTGAGGCCGAGTCGACCTAGGGGAGGCCCAGGGACCGCTTCAGACAAATCTTCGAGCTCGGACCGCTCCACCCCAACCCGCACGATACAATCCATGTTCACCACGACACGGCTTGTGTGTAACACGAGTACACACACATCACGCACTGTGTGTGTGTCACACAGTAGTGTTACACACACACCACGCACACGGCGTGTGTGTGTAACACGAGTACACACACACACCACGCACACGGCGTGTGTCACACTACAGAGTACACACACACCACGCACATGGCGTGTGTGTAACACAAGTACACACACCACGCACTCTGTGTGTGTGTTACACAGTAGTGTAACACACACACACACCACGCACTCTGTGTGTGTGTAACACAAGTACACACACACCACGCACAATGCGTGTGTGTAACACGGTAGAGTACACACACACAGGACGACACACACGGCGTGTGTGTAACACGAGTACACACACACCACGCACTCTGTGTGTGTGTTACACAGTAGTGTTACACACACACCACGCACAATGCGTGTGTGTAACACGGTAGAGTACACACACACAGGACGACACACACGGCGTGTGTGTAACACGAGTACACACACACCACGCACTCTGTGTGTGTGTAACACAAGTACACACACACCACGCACACGACGTGTGTATAGCACGAGTACACACACACCACGCACTCCGCTTGTGTCACACGACAGAGTACACACACACACCACGCACTCTGTGTGTAACACGAGTACACACACACACCACACACTCTGTGTGTGTGTCACACTACAGAGTACACACACACACCACGCACTCTGTGTGTGTAACACGAGTACGCACATACACACCACGCACACGGCGTGTGTGTAACACAACAGAGTACACACACACACAGGACGACACACACACAGGACGACACACACACAAGACACATCGACAAGATGTTGACGTGGGAGGGGTGCTAAGCTCACCAACCACAAGGAGAAACGAAGCTTTCGCGATGGATCCCCTGGCACGCACTCCACCCCCGCAAGCTGCTCGACGAGACGATGAAGGAGGAGTGGTGATAGTGGAGGAGGAGATTGGTGGTGTTTGTGGGGGTGGTTCAGAGGTTTCGAGAGCGCCTTTCAAATTAAAAGCCCCCTAGGCAGCAGCATCATCAGCAGCATCAGCATCACGGCCACGCGTGAGCACTGCCCCTGGTGGCGGGTCACGTGGCACTGCGGGTCAATCGACGCACACAACGTGATGGGTGTGGGACGCATGGACAACCTCCAATACAACATTTTTGATTTAAAGCTTTCGTGACTGCAGGGATTCATATTCTTGGTTCTTTAGGTAAAGTCACGTAGAAGGGAAGTAATAAAATAATAAAAATCTAAAACGATAAATTTATTGTTTTGAAAACAATTAAATAAAACAATAAAAATTTTTTAAACAATAACATTATTTTTGTATTAATATTATTTTATTATTTCCCTTCTACGTGACTTTACCGAAAAAACCAAGAATATAAAATTATTGTTTTTAAAACAATAAAATTCTAGTTTATATTTATATTATTTTATTATTTCCCTTCTACGTGATTTTACCGAAAGAACCAAGAATATAAAATTATTATTGTTTTTAAAACAATAAAATAATTGGTTTATTATTTTATTATTTCCCTTCTACGTGACTTTACCGAAAGAACAAAGAATATAACCTCCAATACCTTCGTAATTGGGGGAATTAAAATATAAACTCCTTTTAAAACAACGGTTTTATTAAGAACTTCGAGAAGTACGTCAATGATGCGGCGCTTGCTCCCACATCAATGCTTACTTGAATTAATTGATTACTTTATAAATTAATCTTCAATGTACAACTTTTGTGACTGAGATACGTGGCGAGGCGATTCGAGAGTTTAGGGACCGCGTAGTTTTTGACCTACACACACAATGATATATAAATAATAAGGCGTCCATACAAAATGTAAATTGCTTTAAATTATCGAATTAATTGAATAATTGATGCCGCTTTTGATACAGGCATGCATTGTCACTTGATCTGAGTACGTGTGCAAATTTTAGAATTGATTGGACAACGGGAAGTGGACGAAATTTTGATGACAAGATTCGACCACGACAAACACAGAGAGGAGTCAAGTTAAGTAAAAATCGATGAATAAAGAAGAGACGCCCACGAGACGAAGCCCACAGAGTGCGGTCGTGGCCATGGATCGACGACGATAAACCACCGTGGCGGTCCGCTACCTTCACACGGAGCGAGGAGCGGAGAGCTACACCGACTGTCACGACCGAAGAAGGGCTCTCTCCTCCTCTCGTTGGTCCACGGACCTCGAAACACATTCCTGCGGAGGGAGCTGGTAGGAACGTTGGGTTGCTCGGTCAATGGCCAGGGTCAACGGCGACGTGGTGTATTCCGCAAATATGCCCGACTGTGAGGGTGGGCACAAGCCGGCGTGAGTAGGTTAAATGTTGAGTTTTATAAGGGCACCACGGGGTGACCAGCCCCTCCCCACCCAGCCCCACCCCCCACCCCCCACCCAGCCCTAGCCCCTCCCCACCCAGCCCCTCCCCTCCCTCCTCTCCCCACCCAGCCCCTCCCCACCCAGCCCCTCCCTACCCTCCCCTCCCCACCCAGCCCCTCCCTACCCTCCCCACCCTCCCCACCCAGCCCCTCCCCACCCAGCCCCTCCCTCCCCTCCCCACCCAGCCCCACCCTCCCCACCCAGCCCCTCCCCACCCTCTCCTCCCCACCCAGCCCCTCCCTGCACGACGGACACAATAATCCCCTGTGGGCAGGTGTAACCAGGAGGTTCCTACCAGTATATTGGTTCATTTAGTTTCTGAACTTATTGCTTGCCCCCCATACCGTACGCGAGACTAGAAAAAAATGCTAAGTTGTGCCTCTGGTGGGTTGCAGGGCTGATGCGAAGTCGTGTTACAGCACTACATCAAAAACAACAGCAGCAGTAGCCGTAGCCACCACCATCATCTTATCTATCCACTGCTGGATGAAGGCCTCCCCAAGTCGTGTCTGTCATCCATTCCAGTTTGTTTAAAATGAGCACCTCAAAATAATCACTGGCATTGTTGTGGAGAATAGAAGCAAAAATTGACGAGCAGCCAATACATCTCCATATCGGTGTCATTACACATACAGGTTTCCCTTCTACAGTACTCCCCAAATGAGTGCTCATGTGGTTTGGGAATTCACACGTACTGTAGTTGTAAATCATGCACATGTACAACCCTTTTCTTCTTTAAAATCCGCTACTGAATAAGAGCTTCCCCAGGCCCTGTGGGTGTTGGTGGGGGATTGTTTGGACCTTTCTTAAAGCTGGCCAGTGCAGCTTGGTGAAAGTACACCAACCATGCCTGGTGCTCGATTTAGACCTGTGATTGCAGTTCAAACTAGATGTGATATCGCACACACGGACAGTGCAGTGCACGCTCTGCAAAGTTCAGACTTTCGACCTTAAACGGTGAAAAGTCAGATTGGATAACTGTTAAAGGGACTGGCATTGGCAGTGGTGCACGAGTACAGATGTAAACAACAAACCACATTCATCGCTATATAAATCGGTTAAAGCTGCCGGCAGTGGTCTTTCAGGGCAGAGACATTGACTGAGTTTGTAGTTGGAGGTCGCACTTTACCAGGAGCATTAAAATACAGTCGTTTTGAATTTGACACATTAACAATGTTGAACCGACTCAAAGGTTCTTTGAGAATTGAGAATGTGAGAGGTTGACCTTGAAAGTTATACTGTATGGGTAAATGTAGATAAGGATGCGCGATAAAGCAAACTTGAGTTGGAATCTGCTCTTAGGCAGAGAACTGCTGTATAAGTAAAACACCAAGACATAGACTGCACAAGTTCTATATGTGATTGACTAGAAGTATAGCTATTGCAAAGTGGAACAGTGATGCAGTGGTCAGTGCACTGCGCTTTTGAACCTGATTAAAACATCAGCAGCGAGTGATAGCTGAACTAGTCATTGGAGTCCCCAGAAACCCCCTATCCACCACACCCTTTGGCCAGTGTGGTGAAGTATAGTCAAACAAATACCCCATGGCTAACATTGTGGGGTTGCCTTCATCCAGCAGTAGATTGAAACATATATTGCAGGTTATTGTTATTAATTTTTAAAGCTATTTCAACCAAGACGGTAAATAAATTGTATTTTTTTTATTACCTTCCTATAAAAGTTAAAGGAGCTGTAAAATATTTTGTAAAGGTTACTTGGGCTGGTAATGGCCATACTTGTGCAATGAACTCTGGAAAGCGAGAAAACAGGACTGTATTTGGTTTGTAGTGGATAAAAGAGTTGCTGAAATTTAGACGTCTATATATATAAAATCGTGAATCTGTCTGTCTGTCTGTGTGTCTGTGTGTCTCCGGACCATACGCACTTTCATTGGACGGCGGTTGCCCCTGGCAACGGCTAGCGACGCCTTCGCCGCTTTCATTGGACCTGGCAACGGCTAGCGACGCCTTCGCCAAGGGCTGCAGTTTCATTGGACGGCGGTTGGCCCTGCCAACCGCTAGCCACGCCTTCGCCACTTTCATAAGCTCCGTAATTAATTAAATAATAGCCATTACACAGTGTTGTTGGCGCGCTAGGGGGGGGGGGAGGAACGCCACCCGTACCCTGCCTCTTCCAAGTCGACAATTTTAGGCGAGGCCGCAGGCTTTGCACGCTACTAGGCCTCGACACCCACCACGCCACTCTGAGGTAAATTCATCAAAGTTTTTCCTACTCTTCACTACACCCCCACCACAATGTGTGCTATTAATATTACTTTTAAACCCAACGCGCCAACAATCGATTACTTTAATGTTCACTGTACAAATACTCATTAAGCTGGGTGAGCGTACTGACAGTCTATTATGTACACTGTAGCCTGCTTATTAAGCTCTGTGAGCGTACTGCCACTCTATCATGTACACTCTAGCCTGCTTATGAAGCTGAGTGGGTGTACTGGCAGTCTATAATGTAGACTGTAGCCTGGTTATTATAATCGATTCTTTAAATGTTCTTTGTACAAATAGTCATTAAGCTGCTTTAGCTTACTGCCCGTCTATTATGTAGACTGCAGCCTGCTTATTCAGCTGCCTGGGTGTACTGCCAGTCTATCATGTACACATTAGCCTGGTTAGGAAGTAAAGTTAGTCAATTTGTAACACATACGCTTTCGCAAACATTATTAATAAACAACGTTATTGCGTTTAGATCGCCTTATTTATTAAGGTGTTGTCACCCTTATCCACCACCCGACACGCCCAATCTGCACAAAATTGTCACGTTCATAAAAGACTAAGACTTGACTGCTTTAGCCCACCGGTGTGTTCAAGCGGAAAACCACAACAATTACCATTTCTCATGAAAAAACTACTGTATAATTATGTTTAAACCCCACGCGCCAATAATGGATTTGTTTAAATGTTCACTCAACAAATACTCATTAAGCTGGCTGAGCGTACTGCCACTCTAGAATGTACAGTGTAGCCTGGTTATATTTCTGGGTGGCTGTACTGACAGTCTATCATGTACACATTAGCCTGCTTCTTAAGTAAAGTGAGTCTTTTTGTAACACGTACGCTTTCGCAACCATTCTTCAAAAATAACTTTATTGCCTTTCGCTCGCCTTAATTATTAATGTGTTGTAACCCTCCACCACCCCACACGGCCAATCAGTCAAAAAGTGTCCCGTTGATAAAACACTCATAAGTCTCTGCTTTGGCCCACCGGTGTGTACAAGCGTAAAACCACAACAATTCCCATTTCAGAGTACGTCCTTTCGCTGATGCTGGATGCAATTACCAGCCAAACGTCGTACTGTTCAGTTGTCTGTCCATCTGTGTACGATCGCTTGCGAGGGATTTGCCGGGAGGCACGTCCCGTGCCCCGCGATGGGAATACGCATGTCACTGTGTATGTGTTTGTGTGTATGTATGTGTATTTGTGTGTATGTGCGTGTCTGCGTGTATGTATGTGTGTGTATGTGTGTGTCTGCAGCAAGCGCGTGTATGTGTACCTATGGACGCGCGCGCGTGTGTTGTGTAGGGGGAACGGTAGTGTAGTGCTTAGCGTGCTGTCTGTGTGTGTGTGTCTGTGTGTGTGCGTGTATGGTGTGTGGGGAGCGGTAGTGTAGTGGTTAGCGTGCTGTCTGTGTGTGTGTCTGTGTGTGTCTGTGCGTGTGTGGTGTGTGAGGAGCGGTGGGTGTAGTGGTTAACGCTACGCTGCGCTACCAACCCGGCGAACCCAGTTCGATTCCCGCTCACGGCCACCACCGGTGACGATTATTTGAACCTCCCCTAGGTCGACTCTGCCTCAAACGAGTAACTGCTGTGGCGTATTAACATCGCCACTGGGGAGACAAAGGCGGCCGGCCGTGGTGGATACAAGTCCCGGGCGAAGCCGGGTAGTACAGCTAGTATTTTATATTTACGGAGTAACCTATATCCTATGGAATAATCACTAAGAGAGATGAATGACTGCTATTTACAACCAGGTAAGAGCCCACTATTACATTATATGATTGGGAGAGATGCCAACGGCCAGAGGAGTTCTTCATGGCTAATAATGAAGAGTCCACTGAGACCAGATTTTTTTTTCAATGAGGACCTGGAGATTCATAGAAACATTAATTCTCGTTTAATTAATTCTGCTTAATGCCTTTAGGTGCTGGGGTTTTATTTTTCCTCCATACTTCACCACTCTGAGCAGCGTACACTGGTGAAGGGGGAGGTCCTAGACTGGTTCAGATGTTCCTCGCAAAATATGTTATTCATGATCGGGAATCAATCTCAGGTAACCGGGTGCAGAGTGCAGTGTGTGAACTGCTGCGTCACCGCACCACCAGAGACTTTTATTTTGGCAACGCAAGTTCTTTTTGTAGATGAAAAGTCAATGTGTGTTGTTTGCTGCTAAGTGGACTTTGAAAACGCATTCGTGCCAACCTCTGCAAGGTTGACAAATTGCACAATGGAATACAAGCACACTCAACTCTCCCAGGAGGTGGCATCCAAAGATATGCACGCCACAAACAAAAGCGAGGCATGAGAGATTGCAACAGGTTGGAGAAGCCTTCATCCAGCAGTGGAGTTATGATGGCTAATGATGATGATGATGGATGAGGACCCTTAGCACCTTTGGCCGTACCAGGTGATTTACTGTACAGTATATGGTTTGAAAAGGCGGTAATATGGTAAATAGGTTTGTTTTCCTGATGACGACCGCTTGTGTTGCGATCGAAACGTCGTAGTTTGTTTTGTTCTTTTCTTTGAACCTATCTACGTGACTTTACCGAAAGACACAAAGAATATGAATTCCCTGTAGTCACGAAAGCTTTGTTGCAATGTGTTTGAGTTATGCAACCAAGGGGTGTGGTCATAGACCGTGGTTACGTCCTTACGACCAAATTTAATTACACAAATGCACGGAACGCAATGTATTAAGTTGCAAAAAAGGCAATAAACCTGTATGTGGGCTTTTGCTGTCGTTCTCTATACCTCCAGCACTGTGTCAAGTTCCAGGGCAATTCATTTTTAAATCCTTTATATTAAGTTCACTTGCTTGCTTGCTTAGGACCGTGCAAATCTTTCGGTCGTTTCTTAACCCACTTCCCGTGATCCAGTCGAGCTGACATTTTTCACACAGACTCGTTGTGCGTGACAATTTATGTTCGTGAAAATTTTTTTTAACAAAATTTTACACTTTTTAGGACAAAAATATTATATTTAATTATCAATTGTTTAATGCTGCCATGCAATCATCTGACCCATAGGTGGCAGCCATCTCAAGCCAGAGGACGAGAGCACTCTAGCCGCCACGCATATAAAGGATATATAGTGAAAAACTTTGTTTTTACGGGTTATACTTGTTATTATTGACGTAGGACGCTCAGCTGAGGGCAGTGGGAGACTACGTTATGGGCTGGAGTGGGAATTTCAGGAACACCCATTATGGAACTGTACTTCTATATCCCCATGCGAATTCTCCACAGCTTCACCAACCTGCACTTAAGTAGCAATGCATATCATATAACCCTCGTGACCCAACTATATGGGGAGACCCTTATCCAGTAGAAGATCTTTCCTTGAGTTCCTGATCCTAAAGCTTACATTAATTACTTGACCACTTATCAGAAACTAGCAGGCTATAATTTTGCGTAAAATGCTCTCTTTCTGCTCTAAAGGGTCATTGCCTGAAACGTTAACCTGTTATATAGTCTGCGAAAGGCGAGAATTGAGAAGGCCTTCATCCAGCAGGCGTGTGATTATGGCTGATGATGAACACATCATTACTAATTAAAAAGGTAGTAAGGTACTGTACATTGATGTTTGCTTGTCCACCACCGCCAAGATACGCGTTTGGAGATTTCCCTGCTAACCCCACAATGGGCTGCTGTTCCTTGAGACCCCTGGTATCACTCGTTTCACGTTGTGAGTTCATGTGACATTTGGTAAGTCAACAGTGGTCGTCCAACAGAGAGAATGCCATTGGAATGTGGATTTCCATCACCGTCTCGGGAACTTTCAAGGGAGAGACAATTTCCCCTAACTCGGATATTAATCTTGATTTGAAGCAGTCGTGACATTAGTATTAACAACAATAATAATAACAACGAAACTAATTACGGTAATAATATTTATTTTGTATAGCGCCTTTCACAAAAAAATATATCCCAAAGCGCCGCACAATCGAATTAAAAATGAAAGCATACTAAAAATACATGAGAAAAAAGTTTTAAATCTTGACTAAAGTTTTGCTCACTGGCTGACCAGCCAGCCGCGCGTGGCAGGTGGAGGGCTGCCCCACCCCCAAACACAAAGCCACGCCCCCACAACAACTTTCGGTCCAAACAGGCAACTGGACCAGGTTTGTTCGTATCTCTGAACGTGCGTAAGTGCGTTCGTAAGTAGAGGAGTCTCTGGACTGACATAGAAGCCCCGCCCACCCACGAGGGAGCCCCGCCCACCCACGAGGGAGCCCCGCCCACCCACGAGGAAGCCCCGCCCACTCACAAGAAGCCCCGCCTACCCACGAGGGAGCCCCGCCCACCCACGAGGGAGCCCCGCCCACCCACAAGAAGCCCCGCCCACCCACGAGAAAGCCCCGCCCCCCCCCCGACCGCGTGACCCGCGCGCGGCGATGGCGGCTGCCGCGGCGCGTTTGTGCTCGGGATACCTCGGAGGTCGCGGCTCTCGGCTGCTCGCTTCTTCGCTCTCCCCGCTCTCCTCCTCGCTCTCACCTCTCTCCCCGCTCGCCTCGGCGTCGGCGCCGCTCCGCTGGCCGGGCCCCCCGAGCGGCGCGGCCCTCCCGCGAGTGCGGCACGCATCGTCCAGGTGAGGCCGAGGCCTGCCGTTTGATTTCCCACCGCGGATAGGCGCGGCCCCCGTCAAGGACGCGGGCGCCGATTGGTCCGTGCGGGGTGGCGTTGCGCAGCGAGGTGGCCAATGGGGTGGCGAGTTGAGCGCACGTGCCGCGTATTCGAAGGGTGAAATGTAAAGCGAGGGTCACCGGGTCGCAATGCTGACACGGCGCGTGCGTCTGGAGTTGTCTTCAGGCTGAGCCATGGAGCCCGCAAGCACAAACACCGCATGTCACAGACACCGCATGTCACAGACACCGCATGTCACAGACACCGCATGTCACAGACACCGCATGTCACAGACACATGTCACAGACACCGCACACACAGACACACCGCATGTCACAGACACCGCATGTCACAGACACATGTCACAGACACCGCATGTCACAGACACCGCATGTCACAGACACCGCACACAGACACACCGCATGTCACAGACATGTCACAGACACCGCATGTCACAGACACCGCATGTCACAGACACTGCATGTCACAGACACCTCATGTCACAGACACATGTCACAGACACCGCACACACAGACACACCGCATGTCACAGACACCGCATGTCACAGAGACACCGCATGTCACAGAGACACCGCATGTCACAGACACATGTCACAGACACCGCATGTCACAGACACCGCATGTCACAGACACCTCATGTCACAGACACCTCATGTCACAGACACATGTCACAGACACCGCACACACAGACACACCGCATGTCACAGAGACACCGCATGTCACAGACACATGTCACAGACACCGCATGTCACAGACACCGCATGTCACAGACACATGTCACAGACACCGCACACACAGACACCGCATGTCACAAACACCGCATGTCACAGACACATGTCACAGACACCGCATACACAGACACCGCATGTCACAGACACATGTACAGACACCGCAAGCACAGACACCGCATGTCACAGACACATGTCACAGACACCGCATGTCACAGACACATGTCACAGACACCGCAAGCACAGACACCGCATGTCACAGACACCGCATGTCACAGATACCGCATGTCACAGACACAAACACCGCATACACAGACACCGCATACACAGACACCGCATACACAGACACCGCATGTCACAGACACATATCACAGACACCGCATGTCACAGATACCGCATGTCACAGACACAGACACTGCATACACAGACACCGCATGTCACAGACACATGTCACAGACACCGCATGTCACAGACACCGCATACACAGACACCACAAGCACAGACACCGCATACACAGACACAGACACCGCATACACAGACACCGCATGTCACAGACACACACCGCATACACAGACACCACAAGCACAGACACCGCATACACAGACACCGCACTCACAGACACCGCAAGCACAGACACCACACGCACAGACACCGCATGTCACAGACACCGCATGTCGCAGACACACCGCATGTCACAGACACCGCATGTCACAGACACACTGCATGTCACAGACACACCGCATGTCACAGACACACCGCATGTCACAGACACACCGCATGCACAGACACACCGCATGTCACAGACACACCGCATGTCACAGACACACCGCATGTCACAGACACACCGCATGTCACAGACACACCGCATGTCACAGACACTGCATGCACAGACACCGCATGTCACAGACACCGCATGTCACAGACACCGCATGTCACAGACACATGTCACAGACACCGCATACACAGACACCGCATGTCACAGACACATGTCACAGACACCGCAAGCACAGACACCGCATGTCACAGACACATGTCACAGACACCGCATGTCACAGATACCGCATGTCACAGACACAGACACCGCATACACAGACACCGCATACACAGACACCGCATGTCACAGACACATGTCACAGACACCGCATGTCACAGATACCGCATGTCACAGACACAGACACCGCATACACAGACACCGCATGTCACAGACACATGTCACAGACACCGCATGTCACAGACACCGCATACACAGACACCACAAGCACAGACACCGCATACACAGACACAGACACCGCATACACAGACACCGCATGTCACAGACACAGACACCGCATACACAGACACCACAAGCACAGACACCGCATACACAGACACCGCACTCACAGACACCGCATGTCACAGACACACTGAAAGCACAGACACTGCACACACAGACACCGCACGCACAGACACCGCAAGCACAGACACCACACGCACAGACACCGCATGTCACAGACACCGCATGTTGCAGACACACCGCATGTCACAGACACACCGCATGTCACAGACACACCGCATGTCACAGACACACCGCATGTCACAGACACCGCAAGCACAGACACACCGCATGTCACAGACACACCGCATGTCACAGACACACCGCATGTCACAGACACTGCATACACAGACACCGCATGTCACAGACACCGTATGTCACAGGCACTGTATGCCACAGACACCGCATGTCACAGACACCACAAGCACAGACACCACAAGCACAGACACCACAAGCACAGACACCACAAGCACAGACACCGCATGTCACAGACACACCGCAAGCACAGACACCGCAAGCACAGACACCGCATGTCACAGACACCGCATGTCACAGACACCGCATGTCACAGACACCGCATGTCACAGACACCGCAAGCACAGACACCGCACGCACAGACACAGACACCGCATGTCACAGACACCGCATGTCACAGACACCGCATGTCACAGACACCGCATGTCACAGACACCACAAGCACAGACACCGCATGTCACAGACACACCGCACACACAGACACACCGTACGCACAGACACCGCAAGCACAGACACCACAAGCACAGACACCGCATGTCACAGACACCGCAAGCACAGACACCGCAAGCACAGACACCGCATGTCACAGACACCACAAGCACAGACATCGCATGTCACAGACACCGCAAGCACAGACACTGCATGTCACAGACACACAGACACCGCACACACAGACACCGCACACACAGACACCGCACACACAGACACCGCACACACAGACACCGCACACACAGACACCGCACACACAGACACCGCACGTCACAGACACCGCATGTCACAGACACACCGCACACACAGACCCTGCATGTCACAGACACACCGCACACACAGACACCGCATGTCACAGACACACCGCACACACAGACACCGCACACACAGACACCGCATGTCACAGACACCGCATGTCACAGACACACCGCACACAGACACCGCACGTCACAGACACCGCATGTCACAGACACACCGCACACACAGACACCGCACACACAGACCCTGCATGTCACAGACACACCGCACACACAGACACCGCACGTCACAGACACCGCATGTCACAGACACACCGCACACACAGACACCGCATGTCACAGACACACCGCACACACAGACACCGCACACACAGACACACCGCACACACAGACACCGCACACACAGACACCGCATGTCACAGACACACCGCACACACAGACACCGCACACACAGACACCGCATGTCACAGAAACACCGCAAGTGATGTGGTACAGGAGGACGTGGAGCTGAGTGGACTTGCCGATGACTGATACCAGCGGTGTCAAGATCGGCCTCAGTGGAGGAGGCTCGTGAAGGACGCTACTGGGCAGTTGGAGGCAGTCGCCCTCCAACAACAACGGAGGGTGGAGGAGCGACGCTCACAACAATGAGCGGAGTGCCGGGCGGCTAAAACGCAGCAAGTTGGCACAGTAGGGGGCACAGGTGGTGCATCGGCTAGTCATCTCAATCATTTCAGTCAGTTGAACCGTGGCACCTGGGTCTGCCCCGTGACCTGCCAGCGGGCATTCGACACTTCACGTGGCCTCAACAAGCACATAGCCTGGCACAAGTGCCGTGGTGACGTCACCTTCACTTCGTGGGGAATGGTGGTTGTTGTGTCTTAAGTTATGGGCATGTCAGAGTCACGGTCACCCCTCGGGTTCTTTCTTGACACAGAGGAACACCACCGGCAGTGGAGAACAGCTATGAATACACTCTCAAACAGATTTCAATGACCGTGAGATATTTGAGAGTGCGACTGTTAGACTGGGACACCGTGACTGTAACACGTAGACAACACGACTGTCAGACAAGCACCATGACTATCGGAGACACCACGATTGTCAGACTTTGACTATCAGACAGAGACACGACTGTCAGACACCACGCTACACCAAAACTGTGTCCCAGACTGCCCTGCATCGGCCTGAAATTTCGTCCTTGAGAAAATTAATTTCAAGCGTGTTCACCTATGGGATGATATTTTTTTGTTTATTTGATTTTCGCCAATGTAATCAACAGGTTAATCAGTTTATCCTCAATTGTTAACATTTACATATTTTTTTTATGTATCCACATTTTTCGGCAACATAGGAGATCATAAAATAAAGAGGTATTAAAATGGTAATTTATTAAACATGTAACAATGCAGCATTTTAAGATGTAGATTTTCTGCTGCTTGTGACTATTGAATCGACAGTACTGTATATAAGAAATGTTCCATTCTGGTTAGTGTGTGCGTTCGATTGCTCCGGTATTGCGGCCACAAGACAACGTGCAGCTTAACATCGCATGCGCCTCGTTGCTGTGTGTGATTTTAGCTATATACGGTTAGTGTTATTTAGTGTGTTATGGTTCAACAAAAAGGGAAGCATTGTCAAACTCATAAATAAGAAATATTGTACATTTTCACGGAATACAATAATACATACTGTAGTAAATAAAACATAGCATAACATAGAGTAACATGAAAATAAAAAATGTACATTGAGTTCTGATGCTGGCTTGCTTGTCGGAAGCGGCATTTTTAGGAGGATATTGGGACTCGTTACATTTCGCCGAACAAATTAGTTACGTGTTTTGGTTCCTAAGTACGACCGAACGTTGACAAGTTTGATGGTTAAAAATAATACCATCTTCTGGCGGTGTGTTCACAAGGACACGCGTTCGTATCTCAAGGACTGTCTGTACTGGATATGCTTCCATGGTCTTGCTTCCTGCCTTCACCAACTTGCACTGACTAGCAAGGCGCAGTGTGGTAAAATAACTCCTACGACCTGTACAAACACAAAACATTATTACCAGTCGCCAATAACTGCATGAAAATTCCATCACATATTTGGCTTTTCACATAAGTTAGCTAATTTATAGAACATACTGTAAATTTAAAATATCGGCTTAACAGCAAACATATCTCTAGCAGTAGGAAAATATATCCCTGCCTAGGATGTGAGTTTTTAAAAGGTCAGTTGAAGGGATGTCAGAAGTAGTTCTCTGATATTCCTTTTTCGGAGGCTGTCTTCCAACATGCACTCATTTAAATTAAAACAAAGGTTTGACGAACACTAAATTTACATGGCATAAATAAAGGTACATAATGTCTTTTATTGGACAATACTGTAATGTTTTTGGTGTCCTATTTTTTCAAATTGACTTTGAAACGTTTTTGGATGTGATATAATTTATAATTTTGTTGATTTTGTCATTTTATTAATATTTTCCTAATGTGCTGAGCCAGAAGATAATGTTACTGATTGGGTTAAGCGGGTTTTTTGGACGACTGGGGGGTTGACATTACCTTGTGGTCGCGCGGTCGCCGCTTGTTGAAGAGGTTCGTGGTTCGAATCCAGCGGGCCACCATGATCAATACTTCGGGTGCGTTTATAAAAGCACTTGTCGTCAACTCCAAAGTGGCCATTCAAGATCCAGCAATGTAATTCGCAAGGGTCGCCCATTGTGCCAGCATCATGGTCCCAATTTGCTGAAAATTAATTACAAACTGCTCTATTGAGATCACACATGCCAATCATCACCCCCTACTGGGAGTCTCATGCATGATTGCAGGCCAAGGGCTGTGTCATCCTTATGGCCACATGGAGAGCTGCCACTAAAGAAACCCTTTCAAATGATTGCAATGAGATGTGATGCAAAGCGCTCTTTGATGTAGGGCGCTACATCAAAAACAAATCATTATCCCTTTGCGATACTATAAGCACACGTAGAGCCATTTAGTCGGTCCGCTACTGGAAGAGGGGCCTCTCCATGACGTGTAGTTGTGGGAATTATTTGACCGTATTGCACCGTTCTGGTCAATTTGGGTTGTTGAAGTTGGGGAGTGTAGACATGAACATAGAGTACAGTACATAGAGCAGTGGATTTTTCTGCACTGTCCTCTGTTTCCCACCACATTGCTCCATAGCCGAGAAAAGCCTGCTGTGCTTGGTGATTGCCCATCTAAGATAATGCGATTGGGCACATTTTATGTTCTTTGGTTATAGGCATGATACTTTATATCATATGGGCAACATATTTATCTTGATGAATTTAAATCTGCAGGATTGAATAATGACCATTGTACTCCATTTATCCTCTCATTACTACAAAGATATATGGCAAAAAAAAGGTTTGATAACCTATCTTGTATTTTGTATGGTTTGAGAGACAATAAGTATCATTCTTTCCTTTTACAGAAACAGGCCAGAGGGAAAGGTGCTGGAGCCAGTGGGGGTGTTTGAAACACCAAAGCTGCAAGGAAGATATGAGACGGGACAGGTGAGAACATCAGTATACTTTTAAAGGGGTCCTGGTATGTGGAACAGAGTTGAAAGGCGGCCACATGCTGATCATTGCACAGGGCTTTGTTTGCATTAGATCTGTGCCTTTTTAAATCCTTTATATTAAGTTCACTTGCTTGCTTGCGCGCTTACGACCGTGCAAATCTTTCAGTCGTTTTTTAACCTACTTCCCGTGATCCAATCGAGCTGACATTTTCCACACAGACTCGTTGTGCGTGACAATTTATTTTCGTGAAAAAACTTTTCCATAACTTTACACTTTTTATGAAAAAAAAAATTATATTTAATTACCAATTGCTTAATGGTGGCAGGCAATCATCTGACCCATCGGTGGCAGCCATCTCAAGCCAGAGGACGAGAGGACTCTAGCCGCCACGCATATAAAGGATTTAGAGTGAAAAACTTAGTTTTACGGGTTAATTTTTTACTTGTGTAACCTCCATTGCTCATGTACATGTGTGTGTGCACATACATAGCCCTTTTGTAAAGTTGCTACTGGATGAGATTCTCCCTGTGCCGTGTGAGTCGTGGGTTTAATTTGTTACTATACTTCAACACTCTAATGCAGAATGGTGAAGGCAGGAGAGCATATACATGGTGTAACCTCCGCTTAGCACGGTTGGCTCTGTACGGTGCGATCGAAGTTCAACATACATTCATAAAAGTACATTACAAAAACAGACTTTGCTGCCCTGCACATTCCAGCTCACAACGAGGACTCCTAGCAGCCATAAGACCCACTCATGGCAGTAACCCATCCACGCACTTTGCAGGCTCGCTCAAGTTTAGCTTCTGTGATCACGTGAGATTGGGGCATTCTGGGTGATTTGGTCAAAGAAGCCCCATTACTTAAGTGCTTAGCTGCAAGGAGATAACCGCATAACGGAATATCACTGATGCAGCCAATATTGTCCGTTGGATGCGGGGCATTTCAACACACTTTATTTGCCACTTGTTAAGGCTATGCATATGGCCAAAAGTACAATGTATATATTTTCTCAATAAAACAAATCTTACAGTCCATTTAATACATGACAAAAGTTGAATATTTCTCATGGGTACATGTTTTCAGTTGGTTAATGCTCGGCGTGTAACAGTGCGTAATTTTTATTGATTAATATTGATTGTTAACCCCCATGGTCATGCATGCAATATCATGCATAATACATTATGTTTTTCAATGCCTACATTTATGTGATGAGCTCACGTGGCCTTACCAGCCATTGTTAGTACGAAGCTTGTTTACCCAGGAAAGCCTCACTGGAGTGCCATGACCGTTTTTCAGGAAAGTCCTGTCACGTTTTACAGAGTACACAGCAATGGTTGCCACGTTTAATCCCTGTTGAATAATAATAATTGTTAGCGATCATTACACGCACCACAGCGTAACAAAAAAACATTCATACTTGTGTTGTGCAGAACGACCGAATTCACTGTAAGGGCTGATGCCGTTTATTAACACTGTTCACACGACACTGTAACTCACACCAGAGGTAGGTGCTCTCTGTTCTTGGTCCTTACCCTGGACCCCCAAACTCTATATTATCCTACCCTCGGCTATCCCTTGGGGCTCTCTCGCTCGTCTGCACGGGACGGGGGTTCATCCAACACCGCCCGGCGACGAGGAGAGAGAAACCCTCTCTCTCAGCCGGTTCTTACTCAATACTCGTTAGCCCTGCTCTCGGCTATCCCCTTCGCTCTCCCACAGTGTACGGTGTTTTTTTTTCTGCAATATTTAGCTGTCTTTTCTTGGATTTTCTGTTTGCACTCTGTCACATAGTCACTTAAAGATGTTTTTTTGTTCATGTTTTAGTTTTTTGTTTGTTGCGGTTGCACCCAATTCAAGAGCCGAATGGCTCACAGGGCTATACCTAATCAATGAACTTGAACTCGTCTGCACGGGACGAGGGTTCATCCAACACCGCCCGGCGACGAGGAGGGAGAGACCTCTTCCAGCCGATCCTTGCCCCATCTCCCCACAACTACCACGCCTTCGTCACGGGAGTCACCCTTAAGTACCCCCCTTGGCAGCTCCTCCCCCTAGCTCGCACCCGCCTTTGTTCCCGAAGGTGTACCCCCTTACCGCACCCGTGACTTGACGTCATCCTCGGCTGTCAACTCGCTCGCACCTCCCTCTGTTCGCTCCCTCATGGTTGCTCACACTACTCCTCTACACTTGCAACAAATCATGATCCTGAATCATGATACTTCATGGAATTTTCACGGGGATTTTCACGGGGAGTTTTTCCAAAACCACCACAAGCACTTTTCACCTGAACATTCATGCAGCAGATAACACTCTTACAGTATCCTGGAGTCTATAAATTGAGTTGCATTTGTGGTGATTGCTACATTGGAGAAACGAAACGTCATGTTTCTGATCGTGTCCGCGAGCACAAGTCAGATCTGAAACACGGCAGAACTGATTCTTCGGCCGTTGCCGATCATTGCTACAACTCGGCGGGCTCTCATGAAATTGTCTTTTCCGAGACCAAGGTTCTCTGCAAACCTCCTGGCTACCATCAAAGGTTTGTACACGAGGCCATACAAATATACAAACACAGACATAATTTCAACCGTGATGATGGGTACAAACTTAGTAATCATTGGAAAGATGTTATCAACCACGCAAAAAAGACTTAATTACACATTTTTGGACCATCTTATCTGACAGGCACTATTTTACTTTACTTTACCGAGTGTTAACATCCCCAGTGTTTAACAGTACTCTCTTCATTGTTCAGCCAGCACTGGTATAAACATGGGCATTTTCGTTCTTTTCTATCATGTGTATCAACAGGTGCTTGTACACACACATGTCCACGTACACTTACACCCCAAACTCTCTTTTGGCCTCCCCTCCCCCTCTCTGTCCAATGCGTTGGCGTGTGCAGCAGTAGTTGCTTGCGCACAACCACACTCTCTTGCACCACGTCGTGCATTCTTTTGGCCCCGCCCCCCCCGCCCCCTCCCGATGCGTTCTACTTGGCACTTCGTACCGTCTTTGAGCCCCGCCCCCCTCCCTCCCGATACGTTCCATTCATTGGCTACCACATTCTGATGAGCTCCCCCCCCCCTCTCCTCCCCCCTCAACTTGCTTTTAAGGGATTACATCTTGAATCATTGCCTCACTTGATGCCGCAAATCTGGCTGTGACGGTTCCACCTGATGACGGAGACTTGTGTTGCCTCCGAAACGTCGTGATTTTTATTTTTATTTTATTTTACTTTTATTAATTTTAATGTTTTACCTACGTGACTTTACCGAAAACACCTAAGAATATGAATCCTTGCAGTCACGAAAGCTTCAAATCTAGAATTAATACTCTTGGTGTGTCCTTCTGTGGTGGCACAGTGCACTTTGACCCAACACCCAATATATATAGGGGCTGTCATGGAAAGAAGCCGGACCTTTGAGCCCCACACAAACAGATCTATGAAAAGACAAAACTAAGAATCGCCCTGCTCCAGAAACTTGCAGGAACAACCTGGGGTGCCTCGGGCGATGTGCTGCAAACCAACACCCTCTCATTTTGCTTCAGCCTGATCCAGGAGCTCAGACAGAAGACGGCTAGATGCACAATTAAATCATGCAATGCGCATCATAACCGGGACACTGAAGCCCCTGGCTTTCTGTTGGGGTAAACATTCTGCCACCAAATATGCTCAGAGACATGCAAACTGAAAGGGTGTTTACCTACCCATCAAACAACACCTCAACAATGTACCTCACCGTCCACTGAAGTCCACCAATTCTCCTCCTGGGATCACACTGTTGCCATCCTAGAATATTACCCAGATCTGGAAGAATGCTGGCGAACAGTGGAACAACGCGGACGTCCACAATAAATAACTCATTTGGGACTAGATTTTAAGCTTTCGTGACTGCAAGGATTCATATTCTTAGGTTTTTTCGGTAAAGTCACGTAGGTAAAAAAAATATATTTTTATTTTACTTTTATAAATTTTAATTTTTTACCTACGTGACTTTACCGAAAAAACCTAAGAATATAACTCATTTGGGACCCAAAACATCGCACATTCCCTGACTTTGACATTCATTGAACACACTGGTGGAACCATCAACCATATCAGCACATTAACACGCCCTTGGGCGCATCTCCTTTTGATTGGAAATTTAAAGACAAGGCACAGTTGTGATTGTGACCATGCAACACAAGCTATGGATCAGAGCAAAAAACCACTGTTGTCTGCTCCTCAAACGGAGGAGAACTAACTAAAGTTTACAAACTCTGTCGCTATGCCCTCTCGTGGCTTAACTTTGGCATTTAGCTCCTGAACATGATTCTGACAAGGAAGGATAGAATGTGCATAAGTATCCACATGTGCATGTTATGCATTTTCAGAAAACATTTTGGGTGGTGAATGGCGTTTTCTCAACTCGACGAGTTTGGTTTTAGGTTGTATCGGTTTTTACGCTGAACTTTTTCCAGCTTTACTGGTAACTAGTTTGATGAATTCATTTCCATTACTCTAACGTGGTAGTGTTGTGCACTGTACTTCACAGGCGTTCATCTGTTGCCACATCTTACCTCCCCAGGAAACTGGAAAAACAGGACTGGTTCACGTCTGTCAGTGATCTTCAGATTTTTGTCACATCACAGTTTCAGAAAGTATGACAAATATTCCATACCTTTCCACGTGCAAAACTCGCAAAGCTCATTGGCAGTGCTTGTTAGTTGATATACACGATAAGATAATCATTAGGCGTCATAGGGCTTGGAGTTGAAAAGCATCGCTAATGTTGCTTACATCTTAACGACTCATTTCCATGGGTTTCCCTATTCGTCTGTCGCTCAGCTGTTCCTTCACCGCGTGTTTGGATATCGCGGCGTCATCCTGTTCCCGTGGTTGGCTCGTCTCTACGATCGTGATGTCCCTTCCAGCATGGGCATCAGGTGAGGAATCGCACACGGTGAGATGCTAAAGTCACAAAGGTTGCAGGGACAAAGATGAACGAGTGACTCAGAAGTGAGATTCTCGATTTCGATCCAAGCAGTTGCCTGAGATTAAACTGGGTACCCAAGTGGAGGGAATGGATGGTCTCAGCCTCTTAACCTCGAACTTAAAAAAATAAGTCACAGTAAAGTTGGATTTTATTTAATTGGGGCTAAATTCTGACTGAAAATTTTTTGATTACAGTTTTACTGGTATTCGATGGACATTGTTCTAATTAGCTTAGTGGGTGTGGAAATTGCTGCTCCCTGCTGTGTGGAACAGAGGTTATTTCAAAGGATCTCGGATACAGTTGTGTGATGGACACTTTTGTGGGCCATTCTCGAGCATGAAGATATGCATTCTCTGTGAGAGATCTGCATGGATACTATTTCATGATGAGGCTGATAACACAATTAGGACAACATTGGGGATAAGATTAAAACTGTTTTTTTTAAAGAAGTTTCAAGGACAGGAGGCGAGAGGTGATATGAAATTTCCGCAACACTCGGGCAAGGAAATTGTGGAACGCTTTGGTTATATGAGCTCAAGAGCAGCTCAACGAATGCCAGTAGATGGCACCCAAGGGGCAGCCTATTCAGTGGTGGATAGACTACAATTATGTTGTGTATAACAAACCGATACCAGCCTATCCTATGAATGGCACAACTCCAACAATTAAAGGAGTGGGAAGACAGTTTAGACATTTCTAAATCCTTGCCAGATTTGGCAAGGTAACGGATTTCGTTTTTTATTACCTAAATCAAAAGATTATCGATTGTACATATAGGCCGTCATTATTACCACGAGTTCCTGCTTCGTTCTGCTCATAATGAGCTCTGAGTCAACCGAGCATCATCAAAAAGACTCAAGATAATGCTGTGACTGTCAGACTAGCTCACGGACGGACAAAAAACTACATTTCCTACATGTAGATTTTAAAATTGCAGCGGTACCTATTCTGTTCTTTCCCTTCGTACCTAACAAATGTTCATCCAGTAAAATAGTTGTCACGCCTTCTGTACGATTTGTTTAATCATGCATTAATTCTCCGACCCTCTGAGTTGCTAGACTGACCTGCGTATGTTCGCTCTGTTACAGTAAGAAGGAGGAGGTCGACACTCCTAGCGCAAAGGTGGTGTCAGGAAAAACCCAGACGTACTACCAGGTCCTCATCGACTCCAGAGACTGCCCCCACATTGTGAGTTCACGCGCTACGTACAAACTTCCCCATTGTAGAACTGCCTTATTGTTTGTTTTTCTGTCTCTTGTGCTTATTTGTTCGATGGCATAGAAATATAGTTTTTCATAAATCATACAAAAAAAAATACTTACACGCGCAATTTTACGCATGTGTCGTGAGCGTAATAATTGATTTTAATCAATGAATCTATTAAAAATTAATGACTCCTTAGACATTTTTCACTTTGTTCAGTTCTCTCTGGCATCTCCAAGCCAGTCAGCTGTTTTGTAGTTTTTTTGCTCTATCGTTGAGTGTCCATCTGTGTAAATTATTGAAGTCCTTTGCCAAGTTGCTGCATTTAGACGCATTGTCCCTCCACGCTAATGGGCCGCCACGAGAGAGACAACTCTCCCGTTCCCTTCTGTCTCATGTTCGTGCGTGTTTTCGCCACGGTGTTCCTGGAAACAGCGTGAGCTCACATGACACCGAGTTCTTTACAGTTGTTTCCTTTAAAACATAAGTAAGGTCAAGTAAAGTGCTTAACGCAGCTTGGGTGGCTGGCTGGCCGGCCTCTGTGTTTTTTTTTTACAAGTTGGAGCATTTCTCTCTGGGTTCACGGTTTGCCTCTTTGAGGCCACTTTCCACCCATTGATAATGTTCTGATGGGACATTGACTCGTAAATACGCTCCATGAGACATTAAACTTTGCTTGACACTCACTGATTTGGCAATAGTAAGTAGAAGAAATAACTGAACTCATGTATGATCATGTGTGAATCCATTACTGGATGAGCGGGAGTGTAGCGGTTAGCGCGCTGTGCTATGAACCTGGCGACCCGGGTTCGATTCCCGCTCATGGCCAAAACATCACCACTGGGGAGACAAAGGTGGTCGGGCGTGGTGCTGGCCACCCACCCCCTCGTGTACCGTTCCGGCCTTCATAGGTGCTCGCTAACAGCACTTACCCCTACAGTCTGTTAAGGCTATATGGGGGATCTTTGTCTTTTGTCTTTGGATGAATTGTTTAATCACATCGTGTCGGTTATGGGGGTCGTTTTTACTGTACTTCACCACTCTGGTCAATATGGGTGGGTGAAGGGGAACCCAGGGACCAGTTCAGCTATTGCTTGCCAGATGTTAGCCATGGCTGGGACTTGAACTTGGATAGCTGGGTTCATAATGCAGTGCGCTGATCACCGATAGGTTATTTACAGTTTACCAAACTGATATTTTTTCTGTTGTACAGCCACTGCTGATGTCATGTGCTGTAGTTACTTGTTTTCACAGTAACCTCCCAATTATATCATTTGGAGCAGTACAACACATTCTTGTTAGATGTTAGAATACGGCCCACAAGTGGATACCAGAGAGCTACCTCAGTGATCTCTGATCCACACAGTCCAGGGCAGCACTTCAGAAGACAGTGAAATTGAAATGAAATGTTAATCTTCAGAGCTAGAAAATAGCTAACTTAAATGCAGAAACAAATTTCATATGGTGGCTTTTTTGTACAGTCATTGGTGACTGACACCATCAGCTCACTATACTTGAGTCACGAGCGGCCACCTGGATTAGAGCGTATGATCTCAGTGGTGCCATCGCAGTGCTCTGTGACCTCCAAGCCACACAGACACTTCTGTCGCTGGGGATGTGTATGTGTAAGCATCTGATGGTTCTGTACGCTCACGGCTGCATTTATCTCCCGGCAGAGAGCACAGACCGAAGCGGTGACATTTCTGGGAAGCCACGACGACAGCAGGGTGCTCTACGCAATCCCCGGTAAACACAAAAGTCTTTGAAAAATTAATCGCCCATCACGGCAGTTAGTGCTCGAAGTGTCGTGTTGAGTTGAGCTTGCTTCTTGACACCGGCGGCACTCAAGAAGAGCGGTTTTTCAGCCGCGTGAACATTACATTATTTAGGTCAGGTACGTTCATAGGAGAGACTTTGTCTAATTAAAGGGCACCACCGCTTCCAGCCGCTTGGTTGAGCTCAACTTTAACCAGGACACCCGGTGATGAGTCAGTCGTCTGTTCTGTTTTTAGCCCGTGCCTACATTACACATGCAGCCCCGTAGCATTCCATTATTTCCGTGCTTCCCATTCAGATGTCATTCATACGAATCGTATGATGTACCGGTGGCATAGCTTGCAAGGAATGAAATGGGGCGGGGGTCCCCTGTCGGCCTTCCCGCTCTTTGTAGTCTCGCTCCTGAGCCTCTTCGGCCTGAGGGCACCGGTGCAGTTTAACTGCCTGCACACTCAATAGCCAAGCCACCGCGATGTACGTTGCACGCCGTTGTACCGTTGTTGATTGGGAGGACATGGAGAGCGGACGGGCACAGGTATGAGGACTGGAGCTCAAGATCCACCGTCAGGAATACTGCATGCAAGTTCATAGTTTTGTTTTGGTTTTTGTTACTCACAATTTCAAAGCCTACGGCCTGAAGCGGCCAGCAATAGAGAGCACTTATGACACTAAACTAACAATGAATAATAAGCAATTCACAGAGAATGCGCCTGCCATGTCTTAGAGGCTTAGCACCTTGGACAGTGCTTGGATAGGGCCCCAATACATCGTCTGATGGGCTATGTTGTAGGCAGCAGATGGCTGTGCAGCATTGCTGTATTGCACTGCTGTGCTCCCATCAAATAACTCCCATGACTCATACGGCATGAGGTGGCCGTCATTCAGCAGTGGATTAACAAAATAATTGTTTATGCACAGAAGTACAGGTTGCAGAAACTATTGTGAACCATACGTCTGAAAATGTACATGTACAAAAGACTAATCAGAGGTGAAGAAGCACTCTCAGAAGGCATTGCGTTTTGATGGGAAGTGGAAAAAATGCTTAAAATGTTTTCATGCGGATGAACAGATATATGAAGGAGATGTATGGTAATTTATAGGGGTCAAGAAGGCTGTGACGTGAAGAAGAATACCAAACGTCTTCGACGCCCCTTTAACCACGTTAGTGTAATAATGGTTCCTCGAAAAGTGCATTTAATTGCTTGGTGGTGCGGTGATGGTGGTTGTTGTTGTTGTTGGTGTGGTGGTGGTGGTTGTTGTTGCGGTGGTGGTGGTTGTTGTTGTTGGTGCGGTGATAGTGGTTGTTGTTGGTGCGGCGGTGGTGGTTGTTGTTGGTGCGGTGGTGGTGGTTGTTGGTGCGGCGGTGGTGGTGGTTGTTGTTGGTGCGGTGGTGGTGGTTGTTGTTGTTGGTGCGGTGATGGTGGTTGTTGTTGTTGGTGCGGCGGTGGTGGTGGTTGTTGTTGCGGTGGTGGTGGTTGTTGTTGTTGGTGCGGTGATGGTGGTTGTTGGTGCGGTGGTGGTGGTTGTTGTTGTTGGTGCAGTGGTGGTGGTGGTGGTTGTTGTTGTTGTTGTTGGTGCGGTGATGGTGGTTGTTGTTGTTGGTGCGGTGGTGGTGGTTGTTGTTGTTGGTGCGGTGGTGGTGGTTGTTGTTGTTGGTGCGGTGGTGGTGGTTGTTGTTGTTGGTGCGGTGGTGGTGGTTGTTGTTGTTGGTGCGGTGGTGGTGGTGGTGGTTGTTGTTGGTGCGGTGATGGTGGTTGTTGTTGTTGGTGCGGTGATGGTGGTTGTTGTTGTTGGTGCGGTGGTGGTGGTTGTTGTTGTTGTTGGTGCGGTGATGGTGGTTGTTGGTGCGGTGATGGTGGTTGTTGGTGCGGTGATGGTGGTGGTTGTTGTTGTTGGTGCGGTGATGGTGGTGGTGGTTGTTGTTGTTGGTGCGGTGGTGGTGGTTGTTGTTGTTGGTGCGGTGATGGTGGTTGTTGTTGTTGTTGGTGCGGTGATGGTGGTTGTTGTTGTTGTTGGTGCGGTGATGGTGGTTGTTGTTGTTGGTGCGGTGGTGGTGGTGGTTGTTGTTGTTGGTGCGGTGGTGGTGGTGGTTGTTGTTGTTGGTGCGGTGATGGTGGTGGTTGTTGTTGTTGGTGCAGTGGTGGTGGTTGTTGTTGTTGGTCCTCACGGTCAGTATTGTGCACGTGCGTGTGATTGTAAATCGACGGGGCGGTGTGCCGGTGTGTGGCAGGGCTGGACTATGTAGGCCACGAGGACGTGCTGCCCTACTTGTCTTCCAGCCCGACCCCCCTCCAGCACGAGCTCTTCCACAAGTTCCTGCAGCATCAGCCCGGGCACAGTGAGTCTCACGTACCCCAGCCAGCCCTTTTTTTAAATCCTTTATATTAGGTTCACTTGCTTGCGCGCTTACGACCGTGCACATCTTTCGGTCGTTTTTTAACCCACTTCCCATGATCCAATCGAGCTGACATTTTGCACACAGACTCGTTGTGCGTGACAACACATTTTCGTGAAAGATTTTTTCCAAAATTTTACACTTTTAAGGAATTTTTAAAAAATATTTAATTACCAATTGCTTATTGGTGGCAGGCAATCATCTGACCCATAGGTGGCAGCCATCTCAAGCCAGAGGACGAGAGGACTCTAGCCGCCACGCATATAAAGGATTTATAGTGAAAAACTTAGTTTTTACGGGTTAATTTTTTCTTGTTGTCAATCCAGAGGTCGCCGGTTTGCTCTCCCGGCTCGGTAGTTGAAACAACGGAAGCAAGTTTCTTAAATGCCCCCCCACCCCGCACCCCTCCGTCTCTGTCCGCTCAGCAGCATGAATGAATACATTGCAGTTACTCAATCGGAAAGTCACATGTGCTGGGGTAGAGTTGTCGTACTCAAAACTCTTCCGAAACGTCTGGCCAGCGTGGAAGAGTAGGCCAAATACCCTCGACAGGCTCTCTCTAGATCTGCCTTGGAGTGGAGGCGCTTAAGCCGGCAGTGGCGGAAGCAACAAATTGCAGGGCTGTGCCTTTACCGTGTTTTTTTTTTACTCGCAACCTCGTTCTATTATTTGCTGCGCCTCACACCTGCGTTGCGAACACAGTGTCCACTTCACCCCAAACATGTTGACTAGCTAACCGTTTGATAATTGGTTTTTTACCCTTCTATCTGGCAACAAAACTGACACCTTTTTACAAGGAGTCATGTTTGCATAGACCGCAATACCTGCAGTCATAATACAAACAAAAGACATAACTCTGATATTGTGCACTGTCCTTGAAGTTGATTGGGCCACACCCGAGACAGCTTTCCTTATCAACTTCAAGGACAGTGCACATTATCAGAGTTGTCTTTTGTTTGCATTATGACTGCAGGTATTGCGGTCTATGCAAACATGACTCCTTGTAAAAAGGTGTCAGTTTTGTTGCCAGATAGAAGGGTAAAAAACCAATTATCATATTTTTACTAGCAAATGAGGTTCACATAGTGTAGTTAACCGTTTACTTTAAGTGACAATAAAAGACACAGATATTACATTTTACATCTTCTCCCCTATTTTACTATGAATATGTATTTTTTATACTTAATTACATTTTTCGATTTAAAGCTTTCGTGACTGCAGGGATTCATCTTCTTGGTTTTTTCGGTAAAGTCACGTAGAAGGGAAGTAATAAAATAATAAAAATAAAACATAATAAAATAATAATAATTATTATTTTATTACTTCCCTTCTACGTGACTTTACCGAAAAAACCAAGAATATAATTACATTTTCTTTGCATTTTCCATGTTTGTGTTTTATCCGGGCCATCTCTCCCCCCCCTGCCCCATTACGCCAGATTATCAAGAGCTGGCTGTAGCAGCAGTATTTTTAATTACAGTTTACAGTATTTCATCACTGCATCCTAAGACACTGTACAGAAACAGTGGGCACATGTATTTTGTTTCTGAGCCCGTTTGGAATAGGCAGAGCGACAAATGTCGTTCTTGAGCCTTGACTGCAACAGGGACAGAGAGTCGACAGCACGGATGGCTTGGGGGGGGGAAAGAGAGTTCCAGACTTTGGGGACAGCAGAGGAGAATGTGAATCCTTCTAATTATTGTTATTGATGACTCTCAAATGTAAACAGGACAACACTGAAATTATGATAATCCCTTCTTGTTTCCCTGCTAAGTGGATGTCTGTTGACACCGCCAATTTCAAGTTCTTTGCATATGTAATTTGTGTGTCACATGTGCTCCAATTTCATCGTGCCAGCGTCTCATTGCTCAGGCCCCCCGTGAGTGTCTGCCCTTTTGGCAGGAGTCCATCTCCAGTTATATCCATCAGGCCCCCACTTTGATTGTGATGCCATTTTTGGTTTGATGTCTGGTCTCTTAGTTTTTGTTCTCCAGCTCGTGTGTTTCCCCTCTTGAAACATTTATTCATTTCAAAATTTCGTGCATCAGGGTGGTGACGTGGTTGGCATTGGTTCTTGTGCAAGGGATTCATAATTTCCACCCCTCTGATTATCACGGTTGGCTATGTATGGTGCGAAAGAAGTTGAACATACATACAAACTCCCTACTTCAGGATGGTGTCACGATGTAACAATTTGCTGCCGCTGTTGTCACCTGTTGAACAAGAGCTGTATAGCCCAATGGGCTTTACTTCCGGCTTCTGACTTTCACTAGAAGTGCATCAGATCTCGGAGGCTCGACAGGTTTAATCCTGGCTCATCCTTTGGTGCGTGACCGCCAGTGCCTCCCAGAGCTCGTAAGTGTGGGGTGGTGAGGTGGCCAAGAGATGGCAGTAGAGCAATGGGTTAACTCCTTAGATTATTCAGTAGATTGGTTCTATCTATTTGTGCACAGCCTTGAGTGTTATCCCCTTGTATGTGTGGGTTTTTACTGGGTACTTTGGGTTTGTATGTATGTATTTTGAACTTTTTTCACACCGTACGTAGCCAACCATGGTAATCGGAGGTGTGGGGGAAGGACAACAAACTAAACACAAAAAGCTGTCCTAACGAAATGAGTTTCCAATTTAGGGGGTTCTTTATGGCTGTTTTATAGTACCGTCCTGAATGAGTGTCTTGAGACTTATTAAGGGTTTCATTATTGATCAAATAACGTTATTATGAGTATGTTTGAATGCCAATGTTCATCATTATTAGTCCTTCATCCTCCTAGATTCCCAGAGCCATCACCACCTGTCACTGTCCTGCTATATATAAATCCATCTGGTACCTTTACACGAGCTGATTTCACCGCTGCATCTCCTCGACAGACTTCCCTCCTTGGCTAATAATGCTACCACTATTACAAATGATAATTATTACATGACGACAAAAATAAAGTTGACGCATTTTCAGTCATTTTCGCGACATTTGAACTTTTAAAGCACGACAGTGGCGGTAACCATGTACGTACGTACGCTGAACTTTTTTCTCACCATACGTAGCCAACCGTGCTAATCTTTGAAGGCTAGGATGGCTGTGAATGTCGCTGACTTATTTACCGCATGCAGCGCCTGCCTTCGTGGCGCAGGAGACGCTGCAGACGTGGCAGGAGAAGAACCACCCGTGGCTGGAACTGTCGGACGTGCACCGTGAGACCACAGAGGGCGTGCGCGTCACTGTCATCCCCTTCTACATGGGCACCCGGGTGAGCAGACCAAGCCCCAACACGGAGCCCTCTGCGGTAGGCATGTTGCGGTGCATCGATCAAATATCGATTGCTGGCGGTTCTTACCCTCACGATACACGCATCTATCAAGCGGTCAGTCACGATCAGCCTTACCGTTCGGTGGCATTGCACAGAAACGTCACTGTCGGTTCCGGTTGGCTGTCTCAAGTAGCCAACCATGAATAATGGACGAACATACTTATTAATAATTGGTTGTTTAAATTATATGAACGTTATGGATGTATATTGAACTTCATTCGCACCATACGTAGCCAACTGCGCTAATCGGAGCATATGAAGTGCCCAACTTGATATTTTTGTAGCAATGTTGCCCAGTGTCAAATTTCATCAAGATTGGATGTGGTCGTTTTTGGAGCCTGAGTGACATGATGTTTTAGAGTATTTGGCTGCTATAAATTTCCACATGATAAGCCACTTCCTTGAGCTATCAGTTGTGGCCAGGTCGGTCGCTTCTGAAAAACATTTAGCTCAGTGGGCCTAAAAATTGTTTAATAGTTTAACGTGACATGATATAGACATAAGGATTGTACTGTACGGCATGCACACAATCTGTAAATTCTTTTAATTGTGTCTGTACACGTACTCACGTAGACTACACACACTAATGTACGTATTACATCTACTTACATACTGTATAGTACACGTGTGTGTCTATTTATAACTCGCCTTTTGCCCGTCCAAGGACGGGTGTATTGCAGTAAATCTGGAACTTGCAAGCTAAAAGCAGACCGCGATATTCATTGCATCCATTCGTGTGCAGTTTGTAAGGCCGCGGTGACACAGACTTATACCTACTATAATCACCCAGGAATGTATGTCTTTAATGCTCGTGACGTCACTCCACATCGACCAGCCCCCCTCATTAACATTCATGAGCAGGTGACGTCCTCCAAATGGACACCCCCCTCCATTAATAATCATTAGCGACTGACGTCACTCCACATGGGCGGGGGCCGAGGTGCCTCCTCCCTCCTCGACGTCAACTCACAACCCTCACTACAAAGGCAGACCCTCACGTCACGCTGTTGAGACATCAAAGTAAACAGGACGTCATGATGAACAAGGGATTATAACTTTAAAATTAATTATGTCTGTGTCACCGCGCCCTTACAAACTGCACACAAATTGATGCAATGAATATCACGTCGCGATCTGCTTTTCGCTCGCAAGTTTCAGATTTACTGCAATACACCCGTCATTGGACGGGCAAAGGAGCCCCCCCATGTGGAGTGACGTCACCCGCTAATTATTATTAATGGGGGGGGGGGGGTGTCCATTTGGAGGACGTCACCTGTTCATGATTACTAACGAGGGGGGCTGTTCAACGTGGAGTGACGTCACACGCGTTACACACTCACATTTTTGGGTAAATATAGTAGTTAATACACATGCACTTAGTTTTTTGTACGTAGATTTTAGTTTAAATCATGGCTAGTCGGACTCATAAGCTCACCAGACCACATTACCTCCCCATTAGTCACATCCTGTCTCTGTCCTTCTCCAAATCCACAACCCCACCTTCCAACGCTTCCTATACCCTCAGGTTATTAGCAGGTACACATATCGCTATCATAATCTTGAATGTCTTAGTTTTCTGTCACCGCAATGCCTCTCTGTAGTCTGCACATTATTATCATCAGGCTTTTTTTGCGAGTCACTTTCACTGTGATGACTGTTTATCCCCGTACGCAGAATGTCCCTTGGTTGGTAAACTAAGTGGCGCTGTCATTCCCAATTTGAAGATATGCACTTGAGTTGTAATTATTGGAGTGTATATATTATTGGGCAACGTAACTAACTGTGGGCAGACCCCGTAATGCGTGATTTGTAACCTAATGTTTGTGTATTGAAATCACTAAATGAAAAGCCTCTTAGAGTGCTCGAAGAAAATGCATAGGAAACCCCTTTTAGAGTGGCCTGCCATCAGATATTTGAAAGTGGATAGTTTAAAACACTATTTTAGTCTCTTGTTCAGTTATGATGCAATTGTACAGAAATTAAGATTGCAAAGTATTTTTAACTCTGTTTTTGTGTGTGGTTGTGCCTGTGTGTTTGTGTGTGGTTCAGGAAGCTCAAAACTCAAATGTTTACTGGGTAAGCAATGTTCATCCTCTAATGTACATGTACAGCCCTTTTTTGGTTCAGCACTAGATGAGGGCCGTGCTGGTGTTGGGAATTCTTTGACAATACTTCACCACGCTAGTCAGTGTGGGCTGCTGAATGCGGGGAACATCGAAGTGTTTTACAACAACGGATTTTTTTGCACTGCTGTCCACCACCCGCCAATCTAGCCTCACAGCTTATAACACCTGTTATAGATGGCGATCATCCATCCGAGCACTATTCAGGCTCCAACATCCTTCGCTTCTAAGATATAATGAGATTGGGTGATTTGTTCACCCTCAAATAGGCCTCTTCCAAAGTGATGTAATCGGCTTTCACATATAGATTTAGTTTTTATGAGCACCAAGGCCTTGCATCGCTAATGTTTTAAAAAAGAATGAAACGATTCCTTAAGGTACCCCAGTATGCTTATAGGTAGCCAGTTTGGCCAGGAGAGTATATGCACTGGCAGGACCAGTGGGTGGAGGGAGGGGTGGCACGTGCCCCCCCATTGAGCCGATCGAAATCTCAAACTAGCCACTCGATCCGATCGAAATCCCAAACTAGCCACTCGATCCGATCGAAATTCCAAACTAACCACTCGATCCGATCGAAATCCCAAACTAACCACTCGATCCGATCGAAATACCAAACTAGCCACTCGATCCGATCGAAATCCCAAACTAGCCACTCGATCCGATCGAAATCTCAAACTAACCACTCTGAATGGTGCGAATGGACAGGACAGGTTAATATTTTGTCTCTGTAGCTCGGATTTGAAAATGGGTAGTTGGGTTTATTGCGTCATGCCAACACCACTGCACCACTGCACCAATGCTCTACCTACGCTGACCGGAGAGGTGGAGTCTGGTGAAACCTTTTCGGTGATTGGCACAGCAGATTCTCAAGTGTGGTAAATTTGTATTATTACTATCACTGATATAATACTTGCCCTTTTTAACAGTTACTCAACGAATGTTCAATGCGTTTTAGCATTAGTTCTGTGCAGTACAGCAATCAATTAATAATTATCATAAAGATGAACGAACCTGTAACTCGAGCAGTAATGCACTGTTTGCAAATACGCAAACTTATTGGCCCTGACACCGGCCCGTCGTCTGCTTCCGTGCTGCCGATCCATGACTTCCGTCAGACAGCGGCTCGTTGTAAAGCGTTGCGTAGTCCACGTCTTGCGCATGACTTTTCCGAACTTGTTTCTAATAAACGCGGCTCTTCTCACCCGCACACTGCGAGCGGACGTTCAGTGGCGCTACAGCGTGCGTTTGGAGAACCTGGGCGACGGAGCAATCCAGCTGCGGGAGCGTCACTGGAGAATCTTCAGCCTCTCGGGGACGCTGGAGACCGTGCGGGGACGCGGCGTCGTGGGCCGGGTGAGGAGCATCGAGGTCACGTTACTAACTTCTAGGTCTCGTACCGTTTCGTTCGCTCCGTTAGTGTAAATGTTCTTTTTCTACATTTGATTTGTTTTAATGATTGTGTTGTAACATTTTTCAAACAATGTATTTGCGTTCTAGATTTGAAGCTTTTTAATGTGACTGCAAGAATTCATATTCTTAGGCTTTTTCGGTAAAGTCACGTAGGTAAAAAATTAAAATTAATAAAAGTAAAATAAAAATAAAATAAAAATCATGACGTTTCGGAGGCAACACAAGCTTCGAAAAATGTATTTGTGTGTCATTTGTTTTACACATTGAAATTGGAATTCAGTTTCCCCTTGAATAAGAGTCCTGATGTTCATGGGCTCTTATCTGGTTTTAAAGGTCACCTATCTATACATTTCTGGAATGGATTGTGCTAACTTGGCACAAATTGATTCACCCCTCTGGAATATCAGTCAAATGTCAGGATTCGGATCAAGAATTCATCTTTTCGTACGGTAAATTTCATTAAAGCGTGTTTAAAAAAAAGTATTTTTAAATATTACAATTTTGTTTTGCTTTGTGGTGAATGTAGCCACCTCTTAGCTACAGGCCATTATTATTTACAATTGCCAATTCTATACACCCTGCATGCATACCTTGGGACGCTGCCAATGGTGTCATTATTAGCTCACTTGACTGCAGACGTTACCCATTTGGTCACCTGGCATGGGAGTATAAATGGAGATTCTGCAGTTAGTTGATCGGCAGGTTACATGTGGGGAGGGGGGTGGGGGTAAATTGTGGGTGCTACCACCTCTTCCTAGATGGCCAGTGTGAAAGAGTAGGCCAAAATACCCTCTAGAAGGGCGCTGGACAGTTCCGTCTAGTGGAGCACCTTCTGCGAGCAGATGTGAGCAAGAAATTATCTTTTACATACCCACAACATGCACGAATCGAAAATATTGTAGTATCTGTGCATATATCGTAAGCAGAGAATCGTTTTCACTTGGTGAACCCAGGCAATGTTACACGCCTGCCCCGATCTGATTACCACCGTAGTGCATTGCAAAGTGAAGATGACCTTATGTTAAAAGCATGTGTTCCACTGCGTTTGGCTGGGCTATTATTAAACGTCAATGTTTTCATTATATTTACCCGTTACCATCAAGCACCACCTCCCCCCCCCACCGCTGACCCTTTAACTTCTCCAGCCCACGTTTCGTGCTGAGTGGCGCCCGATGTGAAATGTTACGACGTGGTATCGAGTGTTTGACAGGGACGTTTTTAGGCAGCCACAGGGCTGGATTTGCATGGACATGGCCAGAATTCCTCTCGGGCCAAGTTCACAATCACACGTATATGCAACGGTGTGTTACTTTGCTAAAAGATTGAGAGAAAAAAATATGAACAAATTATAATAAGAACACTAAAAACATATTTCCAGCCTTCTGTCAATCCACTGCTGGATGATGAAGGCCGCCCGATGTCGGGTGGATCGTGTATATCCAACAATACTTCACCATGCTGGTCAGTGTAGGTTGGTGAAGGCGGGGGGGGGGGGGTGGGGGGGGGCCATGCCCGGTTCAGTCATCACCACCGATCGCTGAAACTATTGAACGATTCAACTCTCCCCCCCCCTGTCCCCCACCCTCCCACCCCCCCCACCAATTCTATGAATGTCTTAGTTCGTGATGGGGAGTCGATTCAACCGTAGACTCGGCTCATTTTCACCATGCTGTTTATATTGTGTGCCATTTTATACGAATTATTTGTACAGTTTTATTTCCGTCCATTAGTGTGAATGTAACATGAGCAATTGAATTTACATATAATTTTCATAAATCATGCATATCGGATTCTCGCACACGTTCATTGATGCATTTATCTTCCGTCTAAGAAATAGGCTAATTAGTGAATTGTTGCATTGTTGCATGGCTAATATTTAGTTACTTAGTTGACGCTCTTGTCAATTAACACCTATTAAAGGTTTGAGGGAGCAACACGTGGACTGTGGTATGATCATAACCACATCCGGCCCCCTGTGGCTCTCCAGTCATGATGTTGACACACATCACGATGTTTAGGCTAAGCTGACCTCGCGGTCACCCAGAATAACTTCAGATAGTGGATCCCACCGGTGTTGTTCAAATCAAACTCAGGTTGCCAGATAGTGGCGCATTTTGCTCAGCACAACAGCTCTGCACGCCTGGTCAGCCGCATTAATGAGAGGTGCATTTATAAAACGTTTACAAAATCGCAAACACACACAAACACACGTATTGATTAACCCCAAGAAACACAACGGCTGTTTGGCAGATGTATGGACGAAGCACAAACTGACAGCTTCATCTGGAATTCGATGACATGCACAGACCAAACCGGGCTTTATAAAAAATATACTTTGTGCTTGGGGCCTCCTTCCGAAGATTAGCTAATCAGCCCTTGGCTCAAGCTCGGTCCAATTAGTAAATTGGGTCAATGGTTGCGCCCGCATGCTTTGTCTAGCTTCTTTGTGCGTCAGAGATGTACGCCAGATAGCACGCAGTGTTCCATTGTGATGGCAAGTGTGCGTGTCAGAAAAAAAAGTGAAATAAAATATGTGTAAATAAATAACACGTGCTCTCCAGTGGTACTGTAATGGATAGAGTGAGTACAGTTTATCCAGTGGATTGGCCAAACCTCTGAGATCTGTGACCAAATCGCACTAAACTTGCCGATTCCTGTCAGATCTCCTAAGCTGAGCGAGGTTGAGCCTCGTTTAGTACTTGGGAGAATGTTAACTCGATGGCACTACATCAATGGATTCTTGAATCTAGCCGTGTGGAGTTTTGAGTGTATCGTGAGTTAATTATCTGGGTACTTTTACCAAAGACTGATTCATGGAATTGCCCCCACCATACCAATACAGACCTTCCTAAAAGAGATTCTTGAGACTCGGGAAGGCTTTCCTGAGTAATTGCAGTATTATAATTACTCCTATGATGTGACTTTAGATGTGTGTGTGTCTAATCAATCTGCTCAGGATTGAACTTTCTTTAACGAATTTTATCAGAGACTAAAAGCAGCCAAACTTTTCACGAGTTTTATATTCTCATCACAGCATTACTATCACCGGTATGGATCTACGAACACATTCAATGTAAACTATATTCACACTACAATCATTGTAGCACTGCCACAAAAGCCAGGTGGGATGCAGTGGCAGAATGCTTTGCTTGTAAATCCGTCTCTTTAAACGGTTTTGCCCCGCGAACGCTTGTACCCTCTGAACAGTTTTGCCCAGTGAATGGTTGTGCCAAGTAAAAGCTTGTGACCGCGCTGCAAGTCTCGCTGAGAGGGTCACGGCTCTGTGTTTGTTTTGTTTTCCCCGGCAGGAGCCCCTGCTTTCCAAGGAGCAGCCAGCGTTTCAGTACAGCAGTCACGTGTCTCTCCAGGCACCCAGCGGACACATGTGGTGAGTGGCAGTCAACCGCACGCTGTCCACTGTTGCACCGCCCTCCCCACACTCTCTTCCCCCCCCCCCAATTCTCATATCACCACAAAGCATGACACGGTTAGCAGCTGCTAACAAACAAATCACCAATCTGTTGTGCAGGGCGCACGTGTGTGTATGGGTGTGTGTGCATGCATGCGTGGGTATTGTAGGCTACACGGCAGATCTTTGTGTGTGTACGGTGTGTGCATGTGTGTATCCTTATGCTGCATTTGGGAGTGTAGTGTATTGGTTAGGTCTGTCCACTCAGTCTTGAGGGGCTACTTGATACGATGCGTGAAACCTCATTACTGGGCAAACAAAGGCATCTCGAGGCATTGTGCAAGTCACAGGACTCCTTCGCCTGCTTGATTGTGCCAAAATGAATAGGTGCTCGCCAACAGCACTTGGCCCAACAGGTGTCTACAGCTATCGGGGAATCCTTGTCTGTGCATGGGAGAGAGTTTTGATTGCTGAGCAAATGGAGTGTGCCACCTTTTGTGGGTAATAATTCACTGCCCCCCCCTCCCCCCACCCGCCATCTCATTGCATTCTTGTTTTGGATATGGCTGTGGTGTTACGTGATGCGTTTCAACTCTGATACAACGCACGTGTTTAATGTTGGCGGCGAGTGTATCTGCTATCTCATGCACGTGGACGTAACTAGGGGGACATGTTAAACAGGTCCCTGCGGGGTGGGCTGGTAGGAACGAACAAATGAATGGCTATAATAAAATGAAATGGCGGGGGTACGATACGAAGGGAGAGTTTGAGGCCTAGTTCTAGGCTTTAGGCCTAGCTGTAGGCTTTAGGCCGCTGTGAGTTAATTTTTAATTTAAATGTTTTAATTAAAAACTATCTCAGGGAATTATAAGGGAATGTTACACTTGTTTAGCCAGGAAAGCCTCACTGAGTCTAAAGGTTTTTGTAGGGTCCTGCCAAGTGTTTGCAGTAGGGGGCGATGTTGCTACACCTAATTGGACATCGGACGGACGATATAATCTATTGTAGGCTGGTCCACTTCGTTCCTACCAGTATACATTGAGGCCTCCTGGAAAACTGTATCGCACCAAGTGAAGCCATCCCAGTTGTATATATTCCTCATCAACCATTGTCTATCCGCTGCTGGATGAAGGCCTCCTCATTCCGTCACCAGCACCCTCACGGACCAGTGCTGTTTCCACTCATCTCACTCCTGCACGTGAACTGATCTCATTGCTCCGTCTCCGCAGCGGTGATTCTCATGGACACGTTCTCTCCTTTGGCTGCCAGATCTTCAACGAATTTGCACGTTGTAGGGTCACAGGTTGATTCGGTAGTTTAATCTTTTTTCCGTCTAATCTGTGGTCTCTTTTGCATTTTATATAATTCGTAAATTAAATTTATACATTTATGTTTGTTCATTCTGTTAGTCTAAATGTGTGATTACCATATGATTGGATTATTTGTATAAATTGTTCATAATTTTATTCTCGCGTTAAGATTAACATTGCACCAATTATTATTCCATTGTTACTCGTCTAATTGAGAAGCCCAGCGAAATATATTCAGTGGCGATAAAATACTTTTGAGGGCCTCGCGTCGGCTAGCCCAAGCCCCCGCGAACTCCCCCTGCCCATGTGCACCCTTCTCCAACCGCACATGCCTCTCCATTGTTGTGATTTTGGAACGGGGGTTCTTGTAATGCACCCGGCGATTGTAAATGGTTGAGCCGATCAACAACTCAGGAGCCCAAAAAAGAAAAGCCAAATTATCCAAATAATCTGGTCTCAAGTCACATTTATTCTCATCATTTTGACCTCGTTTGAATAAATTACATTTTATGAGCTTTCAAGTGACACCTTATGGTCAAATAACCCCTACGCTTGTAATCAAGCACTGTGGAGGTGGGGGTTGGTGCATCGTACAAATGTCATGAAACTCTTTCCCATGAGCATTGAGGTGCCATACCCTGGCTTGCCAGGATCAGGCAGTACAGCGAGTGGGGACTCCAACTTTGCCATCTGTAACGAATGGAGTGTGGTCCTCTTGCACGTGTGAGATCACTCTGGGTGCACCGGTTTCTTTCCGCACGTAAGAACTCACTAATTGGCCGATAACACCTTTATATATTGAGGACCACAGCTTGGGTGCGAATTTGTTGTCGGCTCACCCACGTGTCTGCCTTGCCCACTCGTCTCTCTGGTTCATAGTGCCTCTGAGTCGTTCTCTCTCTTGGAGAGTGAGCGAATACTGTGTGCATTATCAGTTGAAATTATTATTATTAATAAAACCCGTCATCCAAAAATGGATTGACAAAGGGCTGTGCATCATCCGTTGTATATCCACTGATGGATAAGGCCCATTCACTGGGTCGGGATGTATATTCTGCCTTAATATACATATGGATGCTGCCATGGTGTAAAGGTTGGCGAAATGGACTCGCAAAATCCAGAGGTCCCCGGTTAGATTCAATCTCCCGTGACAGCAGTTGAAACAATGTGGTACGTTTCTTAAATCCCCTCCTGCCACTGCCCCCCTCTACAATATAAAATGGGTTCACCACAGTTACTCGATCACAGCAGGTGACATGCGGTCGGGGTAAAGTGTGGGGACTCCCAAAGAAGTTTGGCTCGCCTGAAAGAGTAGGCCAAAATACCCTCTGGAGGGGCGCTCCGGAGCTCTCTCTAGTGGGGCATTTGCAGGTCCGTACCTCGACCTAAATGCACGTCACTTTAAGCAGACCCTGAGCGATTGCAAGCGACCGCGCTGTGAGAGCGCCGCGTTACCCGAAGCAGCGGTACATGTCGCACGGCGCACAGCTTCTGTGAGGGTGACCTTGACGGGAAACATCCTTAGCTGCATCCGAAGTCTAGTGCAGGCCCAATCAATGCTCCCCAGTGTGTCCGTGTTCCCGACATTAGGCGTTTGTAGGACCGCGAGCGAAAGGCGTACATGCGCGCTGAATAAAACGCTTACATTTTTAATGAGTGGGGGGGAGGGGACCTTAAGCCCCCCCCCCCCGCCCCCACTCAAAGCCAGCGCGGATGGCCCTGCGAACGGGATTATTACTCCGCTGGATTTGGAAATGCTGACTTAATCAACCACGTGTGCGTATGCGCGTGTGCCATGAGTGCTGCTAAATATATATGTTGTACCTTCGTGTCGTAAACCCCCCTCCCCCCCCCCACTTTTGACATCACTTATTCATTATATTTTTTTTATTGCTTTGACGCTTGTTGTCCCGTCGCAGTGTTCTCAGTATTGTTCGAAATTTGCCGAGTCTTTTGGTTTTTGCAATTGAACCACAATTCTGTGTCTTATACAGAAGTAAACAAGATAGGTCCTGTGCCATGCCCCTTCACCAACCTGCACTGACCAGCGTGGTGAAGTATGGTCAGAAATCCCCCACAACAGACACGGTGTGGGGAGGCCTTAGTACGGCAGTGGATTGACAAAGGGCTTTCAATTATTAATTATTGTTATGGGTAAGAGCACTCCCTCTCAATGATGGCGCCCCTGTCAGTGCAAAAAACTATTTTGTATAATTTACTCACTTGATCCATTTTATGCACCTGCTCTCGATAAAACCAATACTTTGTGTTCAAGTTTGTTTCCAGGACACCTACAATGGTGTGTCTCACAGAGTAACTTAGAACTTACGCAATCAGCCAATTCACGGCATAACTTATGTAAAGATGAGGGCTTCGCATTTGGAGCGAATGCCGATTCACCACTGGCATCGGAGTCCCATTGCTCTGACTCGCTGAGAGAGAGAGAACTCCGATGCAGACCATGTAAATTTGTAAGCATTGCGTAGATGTGCAAAGGAGGAATTGTTCCCGAGAGGGTGAGCTCCAAGGAGATGAGATCACTTGACGTGCAGGTGTCAGATGGGTTGTGACATCGCCGGATGGCGACGGCGTGGGGAGGCCTTCAACCAGCAGTGGATAGACAATGGCCGATGTGGATGCTGTGATGCACGGATGCGAATCGTGGGCGGTGAAGAAGGCTGATGAAGCAGGGGATATTAGAGTTGTTGGAAATGCACTGCTTCAAGCGCTCGCTCCACATTTCCTGGTTGGCAAGGAGGGCAAAGGCGGCACGGGAGGTTAGAGGTCGTCCACGAAGGAGGAGGACTTGTAACGGGGACAAACGTCGGCCTACAGGAAACGAATGTTCTAGCCAGGGATGGGAAGGAGTGGAAGAAGTTGATCCAGCCGCATCTGTCAGCTGTCACGTGATGACTGACGGAATAAAAGAGGAGAGCAATTTAGCTAATTTAGGAAAAAGTGAAAATAGAAAAGAGGCAATTGGATTAGGTGGTTAACCAAAGGTATCTAAGATAGAAACAGAAGATAGACATGAATCGCTATTAATAACCTCGTGGGAGCCCACTGAGACCGCGCATTTCTCCAGGGAGGCCTGTGTTACGAAATAAAATACAGGAGTGCATACAGACAGAAAGCAAACCCAGTACAGTTGCAAAACCTCAACACGATTTGGATTAAAATATCATCTTAATGCAGTTGCATCTCAAGATACTGTACAGAGAGAGGCAGTCGGTCATAGGCAGGGGAAGAAGATAAGGTTTTGAACCGGGACTTGAATGGTGAAAGGGAGTTGACAGCACGGATGGCTCTGGGGGAAGAGGGTTCCAGACTATGGGGGGCACAAGACAAGAATATCAACAGCAAAAATGCCATTGCCACAAATATACCCATAATTGAGGCATGCCAATTAAACATTCGACAGTGTAAACTCAAATCGATAGTTTACACCATTGGAACCTCATTTGCCAGTAAAAATATGATAATTGGTGTTTTACCCTTCTATCTGGCAACAAAACTGACACCTTTTTACAAGGAGTCATGTTTGCATAGACCACTATACCTGCAGTCAGAGTTGTGTTTTTTTTCATTATGACTGCAGGTATTGTGGTCTATGCAAACATGACTCCTTGTAAAACGGTGTCAGTTTTGTTGCCAGATAGAAGGGTAAAAAACCAATTATCAAATCGATAGTGTTCACGAAATAATTACTAGATGAGATAGAAGACATTGGTCAATTGCATTTTCATTCCCAATGTCGAAGAGATGGTATCAGCCTGGCGAGGCCTTCATCCTGCAGTGGACTGATCATGGCTGATGATGATGATGAGGAGAAGCAGTACTCGGGGAGAGAAGTGTGGTAGCAAGAGCCGTCGAGATTGGAAAGATGATCAGAGATAACCTGGGATTAGAGCGAAGGAATGGCACATGACCTCAGGAAATGAAAGGTGCTGCTCATTCATAAAAGAAGTGTGGTGGTCGGCTTCCTTGCGTCACTGCGTATGCATCCAATGTTTAATAACTCTTCCGCTTGCACCCACATACATAAATCATAAACAATGAAGTGACATTGGGAATACACTTAAAAATAAAATGCATTGAAACATCAAATTATATTTCTCCCATGAATATAAATGTAAATTAATATCTTTTTTTTTAACCGAGTTGAGGTTAACGTGACACCTATTCCAGCAAACTCAATTGCGAGTGAAAATGTTCTCATGGCATCTCACCGTCAGTCGCATTCGTCAACCGATAAGTCGCTTGGTCGTTTTAATAACTAAGCATTCGAACAGCATTTTTGGCAGAAGCGTGTTTATATGCAGTCATTTTCCTCCACTGCAATGGAAACATTCCTTTTGAAATGGATGTTATTGCCCCCGCGGGCAGGATCGGTGGTCTACATTGTTCCATCTTTCTGCTCCTCTTCCACAACTGCCCGTCCATTCGTCCCCATGTTTACTGATTGCTGCGACATCTGCTCTATAATCCACAGAACTATTTCTGCCCGTAGCTTCAGGAATGGCTTCAGGGAGCAGTACCCCGTGTGTTTATCTACAGTCCCTTCTATTTTTGCAATAATCCTATGTGTACGTTATGTGGGAACACACGGACAACGTTGGATCGGTCGAAGTTGATGCAAATATATTTCTTGATAGTGCGGTGCAAATCGCCATGAACGCCATCCTTCCGCTTGTTTTGGCAAAAAGTGTTTCAATGCCAGCACCACATTTGCCTGGAGCCCATTGGGGTAGAGAGACCCGAATTAAACGTGAAGTCTCACGTCTGCTGAAGCTGGCAACCGTCAACACCTGGTGAAGCCTTTACAAAGTTGTGCCGTGTCGTGTCCCGGCGGGTTGCCGTCATGTCAAGCAAGGCTTAAGTTGCTGTTGTGGGTCTCTGTTGTTTCTCTGTGCCACCCTTGAGTAGAATAGCAAGCCTTGGCTTTTGATGTCCCTTCGTTTCATTTTCATTCTCCCACCTATAATGGCAACCAGAATATAAGCAACTTCTTGCTGTACGGTGTCACCACAGCTGCCTACAAACACACAGGCAAATTGATGAAACTGTCTCTGATGATTGCTCGATGAGGAAACCCAACAATTCACCTCCCGGGTATTTGTGTTACCTGTAGAATGTTATGCCGGTTGCTTTCAGGTAATCTTGCGTCTCAGCACGCCTGTGTTCCCACACATTGTACGTTGCTGCCTTGTGTTCAGTGCACTTTGCGAATTCTCATTTGGCTCTTGCGGGATACTTGTGGTGTAGTGGTCTGAGAAAAAGTGTCACAAACCTTGAGCAAAACCAGAGCTCGCTTTTCCCCTGGTGCCGGATTGTATGTCTGCAGGTTGTGTGCCAGGGTTTGCACATTTATATTTGGTCTCTTCGCGACACTGTAAGGCAACCGTAACTCGCTCCAACCACCACCACCCACCATCATTGTCGCCCACTAACGACTAAGCACCATTACCCACTGCCACCACCACCACCACCGTGGCGCCGACACCATCGTCTTACGGGAAGGACAGATGCCACCGGCGATGATTGACAGTCCCAAGATTGATGTGATTTTAGGAAATAAGTTCTCATGGATTTTCAAGACCGCCTCCTCTGTTTACTGTGTGGACACGTGTCTGCCAGGGCATGCAGGCCCAGCAGCTGTTCACCCTTCACCGTGTTGCCCCTGCTGCTCCCCTTCCGTCACTCTCGCCCACAGGGGAACTTTCCGCTTCGAGAGGTTGGACGGGAAGATGTTTGACGCCCGCATCCCTCCCTTCTCCCTGGAGAGCAGCAAAGGTCCCAAGGGTGGAGGCTCAGGGAACCCTGGGTAGATGGGCACCCCCAAAGAGGCGGGTGCCGTCATAGTGCATCGAACAACTCCCACAATGCACTCGTGGAGAGCTCCCTACTAAAAGACCGAATGTTACTGACCGCCCACCGGATCTCCACGGTATGAATGAGTTACCTGTGTTCTATTCAACTGCATCGTGGGTACGATAAAAATGTTCCCCTTCATGTCACGAAAGAGCCTTTTGCCTTCAAAATCTTCACCGTCATTGTTACTGATAGCTGTCGTCAATGCTGTTTGGAAGCTTTTAAGCCCTGGGTGATACAGATGTTTAGCCAAGGCTGTGGGTCTTCCCTGCCACTCCCACCTCCCACTTATGGGTCTCCCTGACACAGTGCAACACATAAAGACCCCTTTTATGTAAGAACAAAGTGTCAGCTGCACCTGGAAATTATGATTGTGTTTTTTGTTAGTAGTTAAGTTATTGTAATATCCAGCTAATGGGGATTCTTGTTATTGGTTGGAAGACAGTATCTTGATTATGGTGACTAGTTTTAGGACACTCACTGCTAATCGTTTTTTGCCATGTAATTTCTAGAGCTTGCGTACTTTTTGCATGAAAATGGAGCTTGGTTCCTCTTGCGTTTGTGACAGGTGGAGCTGACACTACCTGCTTCGGTTTCTTGTGGGCATTACGAATCAGCGTAGCGGTTCATCGCACGTGAAGACGTTTAACATGAGTCTCCTTTAGTTTGAGGAAAGGAGCTTATTCCGTGAGTTATGCAGCGGATATCCCTTGGCCCTCTCATCCATCCCCTCCCATTCCGATTTTACAATGTCCCACGATTCAGGGTCACGCGTTCAATTCTGTGCGTCACTTTTGTACCGTCCAATTCTCGTTTGTCTGCCTTGTTTGTTAGATTGTCTTTTTCCGTTACACCAAATAATTGTACATCGTTAAAATGAACTAATCATGAGCGCAAGAATCGATTATCATCAATATTAATAGCTTAATTGTTACGTTGCCCCTTCCTTAGGTGGCACCAGCTATGCCTCTGTCCACTGCACACCCCCCCACGCTACCACCTAATCGTGTGGTTTGCACAGCAACTGTCAAATGTACAGCCCTCCACTTGTGCCACTCCCCTCCGTGTGCCGCTCTTATAGAGCTCCTGAGCAGAGCCTTCCCCAGACTGGGGAATTACTTCGAGCCAAGCCCGATAATTAGACCCAACCACCCTGGGAAATTACCCTCCCCAGACTGGGGAATAAACCCCTCTGCTCTTGCTCCATGTATGACCACACACAATAGCAACTGTTGGGCGACTGTGTAAATGTGTAGAGCGAAACAAAAGACCGAAATGCAATACTGTACTTTGTAACGTGTGTTTTTATTCATGCATTCGTCGTTGTATCTACTGTGCTGTATAAACTGTGTATTGTAAAACAAATGAGAGAGATGCCCCGTTTAGTCTACTTTCACTCTCGGAGCTGCTGGCGAACGCCTACGAAGGCCAGCATGGCACATGAGTGTGTGTGATGTAGCCAGCTCCCATGCCCGGCCGCCTTTGGCTCTCCAGTGATAATGTTTGACACACTCCACAAGGAACTCGAGTCTTATCTCGGGGAGGTTTAGGACCGATTTAAGATCGCCACGTGCCTACATATCAGAGGTCGCAAACGGGTTTTGATTCCTTACCCGTACCCGTACCCGGCCGCACCAGGGTCCCAAACGGGTACCCGTACCCGGGCGACCCGTACCCTACACCCGTACCCGGCCGGGTACGGGTATCGGGTACCTGATTGCGACCTCTGGGATGAAGCCATGTTGCAGGCGCGGGTGGGTTGATTCTAGGAACTTGAATTGTGAGAAGAGACAAGACGTTGGGAAATGAGTGACAAACGGTTACTCACCAGTGACTCACGGTCTACCCATACCCGTACCCGGCCGCACCAGGGTCGCAAACGGGTACCCGTACCCGTACCCGGTCGGGTACGGGTAGCCGGGTATCGGGTAGGGTACGGGTATCGGGTACCCGGTTGCGACCTCTGCTACATATGCACAATGCATTTACCGAACTTTGCATCAAATTGTCAATTGCATGGACAACCCTCATAGATGCATTGGTTGGCCCTCCTCTACACGTCACACTCGGTTAATGAATGCGTGTAAGGGGTCAACACACTAAAAGGTCTCCCCAGTGTCCATTAGCAGATCCCATCTGATGAGGTTGATGCATTTTTCAAGCACGCAAGCAAGAAAACTGAAACCCAGGGTAAACCTGCCCAGCCTATAACCCAATCGCCCGGAATGCAGAAGTCAAGCAGGTTTGGGCCTGGATAGTGCTCGGGTCGGTGACCACCATGCACAGACAGGTTGTGATTATGCTTGTGGTGCTCTGTGGTGGGCAGCAAAGGGCAATGCCATTGATGTACAGTTTGTTGTGCTTCCCGCGTCTCTTCCCCTTACCATCGGGGCAACCGACACTGCCCAGTGTAGTGAAGTACGGTAGCCCACGGCGACCTGCACACCGCGAAGAGGCCATCATCCAGCAGTGGATTGACAAAACAGCTGTACATGGAGACGTACAAACCAGCAAAGCCCTGCCAAGCCTTTGCCTTCTAGTCCCTCTCAGTTTGACACAGCAGCAGCAGCCGCAGCAGCAGCACCTGCAGAGTCGTCCGTCACTGCCTGGTTGTTGTGAGCACGGCTCGCGATGGATGAAGCGTCGTGCGAGTTTGCTGTGTGCGGGAATCTTGCGGGTCGCACGTTCACACGGCAGCGGACGAGGGTTGTCAGGTGGCCTGGTTCGTTTAAAAGTCGGTGTCGCCGCAGGGCTCCCGTGACCTTTTAAAGGGTTCCAGTGACCTTTTAAAAGGCTCATCGGGATTGATTCTAGCGCCGTTGCTTGGCGCGTACAACGATGATAAACAATACTGGTGCATCTTCTTGGTTCTTTCGGTAAAGTCACGTAGAAGGGAAGTAATAAAATAATAAACATAAAATATTTTATTATGTTTTATTTTTATTATTTTATTACTTCCCTTCTACGTGACTTCACCGAAAGAACCAAGAAGATGAATCCCTGCAGTCACGAAAGCTCTAAATCGAAAAATACTGGTGCAGTTCCCACATTGAATGCCTTTGTTTGCTGTTCTCGAGCCCTACGCGTCAAATAACCGTAAGGCGGCCGTGGAGTGGGTGAACACTGCGTCTGGTGGTGTCGCTATCGGGTATGCAGGCGGTGCAACTGCACCGAGTTGAAGGTTAGATTTCCAAACTCCTCCGTCAAATGTCGTCAAAGTCTCAATTTGGAATATTGCGACCACAGAAGTGGAAGAATTATCCGTAAAATAAATTACCAATTCCACGTAGTTGATCCCCATCTGCGTTAGATTATGTCCATAGGTATTTAAAATCTGTTTCGTTCTCCAGTTGGGTCCCTACAACAATGTTTTATTCCATCAGGACAGCGCAGTGTAGTAGAGTTCTGTGTATTTCACGGTTTATAACCATCACTGAATCTAATTTCAGGGATGTTGTAGGAAGACTGTAGAACATATGTTTGGCACTAATATTGTCGTGTCTGTGATTTATTACTCAAAACAAATCAGACATCGTACATTTCGAATGTATGCTCCCACAAATGATGGCCCCGGTGTTTCACTCGTTTGGCAGGATGGGCGTCAAGTTATACGTTGCTTCTTGTCTCGTGCTCAAATATTTACAATCGTACAATTCCTGTAATCGGTCAACCAAGTAATTCCTCCCATGGGTTGTAACGTTAAAGCCAATAGCAACAAAAAAAAAATCCGGTTTGCAATAATTATTCATGCTGTAGTTTAAGAACGCAAACTCTCACACTGGCAATATCGCACTGTACTCGGCTGATTAACATTACAGATTTTTGAACACATTTAAATTGGTTGTTTTTTATTGCGGCCTTCTATATATATTTAAAACATTTCACCAATGTACGCGTGATGGCCCAAATCATTACTGCCGCCGTAACAGAAGTGTGCTTTAAACATTCAATAATAGTCACGTAATACTCCTAGATGAGAAGAATATAGTCGTGACGAGCAGTGGCGTAGCGCGCTTTTGGCATGAGCCGTGGTGCAAGAAATTAAATGGGGGATGGGGGGAGGTGGTGACAGGGGCTGTCCGCTGATCCCTCTCTTCCTATCCCTGCGCCCCTCCCCCACCTCGCACGGCCAGCGGGCTCCGGGGCAGTTGCACCGCCTGCACACTCGGTATCTCCGCCACCCGGGTGGCAACGGGCACGTGCTTCGGGATTTACAACCACGCGTTGTATTTGCGCAACGGCGGCGTGGCTGGGCGGTGATAGTGGGAGGAAGAAAGGGCCGCGTGGTGTGCCGGGTCGCATTGTGCGCCCTGCTGCTTTGGCAGCCGCGTGCCGTTATCAGGGGGCGCCCATACATCCAGCCCCCTCCACCTCCCCTCCACCCCCACCCCCATCGCCAGCCTTGCTCTCTGTAGACCTTGCAGTGTCAGAAACAATCGCTGACCCGCGCCAGTTTACAGCATGTGTATCGTACTGCATCGTTATCCCTTTTATCTGTGTGGAAAACACATCGCGCTGACGGCGCGAAAGGCAGCGGTGATGTTGGGAGGAGCGCGCGGGCACAACGAGCGCGCGCAAGTCCTCTCCCGGTCACCCCGAGCCTCGGAAGAGCCTGCGCCATTTAATTTGGCCGCGTTAAATATTAATGCGGGAACCCGCGTCATGAGCTTAGCTTGCGATTTTTTTTTTCAACACATGCGAGCGTGACCGTCCTTCATTCACAGCCAAGGCTCACCCTCCCCTCTTCCAACACACACACACTAATCTAAACCGACACTATCTTACCCTGCGTCCCCGGTGCCCCCCCCCACCCAACCACCGCCACCGAATGGTGTAAGCACTGCGGATACAAGAAGCGTCTGATTCAGCGGCGGTGCCGGGTGCTGAAATGGACAGCGCCCGCCAAGCGCCGCGTCTCAAAGCCCCCTGGGGCTTGTGGCAGACATTGCACGCGTACGATTTGCATTTCCCCGAGATGACGAACACGCACCCCGGTATAAAATACACAATATTATACTCGGGGTACATAACAGCGCAACATAAGCGCAACACAGAAACGCGGAAGGAATGCACAATGCAGCATATACACACACATGGTATAAAAAACGACGCGCCACGAACGCCCGATGAGGTCCGTTGTAAGGAACAGCACAAAAGCAACGCACAAATAACGACAACGCACGCGACACGACACATACACAGCACCGCACATATGCAATGTAACACGCGTGCACATTCACCTTGGAGCATTACGCCCATGGGCTCAAGTCGCAGTCAGGATATCGCGTGTGAATCCTCAAGGTTAAAGTGTGGGTGTATGCGCGGAGAGGCGAGTGGCGTGTGCGTGCCGCTGTTGTAGCCGCGAAGCGACTCCGCTTGGTCTCGTTTCATTGTTGAGTTTGCGAGCGAACCACTGCACAAGACGCACGCTCAACGTGGCCGTATCAGCTGCGTGTGCATCCACTCGCTTGAGGGTCACCCCCCCCTCCCCTCCTCCTTCAACCGCGTGTGTCGCCAGCGTAGCCAGATGGGACCCGCACATTCCAATTCCCCTCCTGCACACGCGGGACAATGCACCCGGGCCGAGGCCGTGCCACGCGCAGCAGCCCACACGTCACAACCGATGCCTCGGCCGACCGCTGTCATTGGACGGAACCGTTACATTAATCCAATTTATTCACGAATGGTTAAAGAGACGTTGGTTTTCGCGGGGGGGGGGGGGGGGGTGAGCGATGTACGGTGTGGAAGTGTAGGGGGGCCGTTGGAGGTGGCGGTTATAATGTGAACGTTGCCAACTGAAGGACAAAGAGCCTCCTCAACATCGTGGTGCACGGTCACCCCAGCTCACGGCGCTGATTGAAAAGCTTCCACCCCCCCCCTCCCCCCGTACCCCCCTGGATTTAGATATGGCAACAAAGCAATCGCCGCTCCACAAATAACAAAGTGAGGGCCGCATCTGGGAAAGGGGCCACGGCGAGACGAGGCGATTCGACGGCGGCTGCAACAAACATGGGCAAGGGGGGTGGTGGGTGGTGGGGGTGGTGGTGGGGGGGGGGGGTGCGGCGGGGGGGGGGGTATTTTTCGCGAGCGTTCATGCCCCCTGGATGGGAGGTGGTGGTTTTGGTTGCGGAGGGAAGGACCGAGCGAGCGGCGTGTGGTGGTGCCAGGGAGAGAAACGTGGCTGGGCGGGCAGGAGGGGCGGGCGGGAGTGGTGGATGGACATGGGAAGGGGTGCGACTCTGAGAATGATTGAACGCTGCCGTCCGGCCGGCCGGCCGGCTCTGATAAAGGCTCAATCTGCAGTACTGTACAGTGAGCGCGTGCCGGGTATATTTAGCTCGCAAGCCTGGCAGTGCCCGCGTATCGTGAAAGCGCACTACGGCACGCACTGTATACGTAATGCGCTGTCTGCTGCGAGAGTGCGCATAGCGGGTCTGCTCAGGAGGCGGGTTCCTCGGTGTAGGAGGAGGCTGATGCTGATGCTGCTGTGTGCGCGTCAGTCGGCTTGCGGATGTCACCGCTGTAGACGCTGCACAATAGCGCGTCTCGAAGCGCACACACGCACGCACGCACGCGCGTCATTCATTCAGTCATTCATTATTCGTTCAATCCTCTGCTCCCGTTTCATCCTCGGTTCGTACGCGTGATTATGAAGGGCGACTGCGGTGTGGACAAGAGGATTGGACTTGGCCGCAGCAGCGTGTGAAGGAGACAAGGGAACGTGGCTTGCAAGATTCTATTTATTAATTACATTCTTATTTTGAGATCGGTGTTCGCACACACATAGCCGAGCAACACACACACACACAGACGCGCGCACGTGCATACATACACCCACGGTTACACCCAACCACACACACACACACGAGCAGACCTGAATACATACAAGAACGTACACATACACGGCGCGCGCACACACACCGCAGGGACACGCTAACACACACGCCCGCACACACACCAGCAAACACACGGATAGACACACACACACACGGGCATACACACACCAGCAAACACACGAACACACACACACGGGCATACACACACCAGCAAACACACGAACACATACACACACACACTGGCACACAGACACACACAGGCGTTTACTCGACAGGCATACGCGGGCACACACACACACAGACGGGCACACCATCACACACGTTGCACGACAGTGATTGACGCGCTCAGAGAGACGCATCTCATACGCCGCCGGGAAGAGGGAAGAAAGAGGAGGTTAGGGAGGGAGAGGGCGGTGGGTGCAGAGAGCCGCTGAGAAGAGAGAAACAGAAGAAGGAGACGAGGAGGAGGCATCATGATCGGCGTGTTCCTGCTGGGATGTGCCTTCTTCCCGGGCCTTTTCGTGGCGCTGCGAGGCTGGCTCCAGCAGCAGCTGGGATGCGGACGGGGCGAGGCGGTGATTCTGAGCGCCAGGTGAGGCTGCCGCACACAACATCAGCGCAGACGCTTGGCATTGTCCGCCGGCGAAGTAGAAACACGCTGAAAACGGACCTCCGTTCCGTAGCTCCGCGTATCCGTGAAATTTACGTTTTTAGTTGCGTCGGAATATTGGCAGTATTCGTATAATCAAGCGTACTCGGTACCGGTATCCACCTTCGATGTGTCACCAGCAGGGTCGTGGTTAATGTTTGCCGGGTTCCCAGATGGTATTGGCAAGGGCACTCCATCTTCACTATGGGGGCCCTGTCCTACGCAAGCAACAAAAAATGCAGTTAACTGATGTAGTGATCACCCGAGTGGCGTGTGTGTGTGTGTCACATGAGCGACATGTATGTGTGTGTCACACGAGTGATATATGTGTGTGTGTCACACGAGCGAGGTGTGTGTGTGTGCAAGGCTTAATTTAACCCGTGTGTGTCTTTGGGGAGCGGTGGCGCAGTGGTTCGCGCACTGCTCGACGAACCCGGCCACACGAGTTCGATTCCTGTTCACGGCCAATATCTGCGACAATTATCTGAACCGTTCCTGGACCTCCCCGAGGTCAACTCAGACTCAAATGAATACCTTGTGCGATGTGTAAGCATCAGCACCGTGGAGACAAAGGCGGCCGGGCGTGGTGTTGGCCACCCACCTCCTCGCGTGCCGTGCCGTGCGTGCCGGCCTTCGTAGGCGCTCGCTAGCAGCAACTTGCCCCAAACAACCTCTTCTTCAAGGCTGCATGGCGGATCTTTGTCTTTGTCATCTCGGTCAAATCGAGGCGGAGGAAACGTTGGACGCTTCGCGTGGCATCGCGCTGCACCGCGCGGCCCTGGCACGAGCCACGCGGCTGGGTCGGCGCGCTGACGGGTGGCACGGTGCAGCGGTTAGCGCTACGCTGCGCTACGAACCCGGCGACCCACGTTCGATTCCTGTTCACGGCCAATACCAGTGACAATTATCTGAACCGGTCCTGGACCTCCCCGAGGTCAACTCAGACTCAAATGAATACCTTGTGCGATGTGTAAACATCGCCACTGGCGAGACAAAGGCGGCCGGGCGTGGTGTTGGCCACCCACCCCCTCGTGTATCGTGCCGGCCTTCATAGGTGATAATAGTAATAGCACTTGCCCCAACAGCCTGTTAAGGCTATACGGTGGATCTTTGCGTGTGTGTGTGTGGATACCAACTCCCTGTGTGCCTTTGTGAATAATCATTTGCACAAGCGCGTGTGTGTGCGTGCGTGTGTGTCGACTCAGCCTCAAATGAGTACCCGGTGCGGTGTGTAAACATCGCCACTGGGGAGACAAAGGCGGTCGGGCGTGGCGCTGGCCACCCAACCCCCTCGTGTACCGTTCCGGCCTTCATAGGTGCTCGCTAACAGCACTTGCCCCTACAGTTTGTTAAGGCTATACGGGGGGTCTTTGTCTGTGTGTGTGTGTGTGCCTTTGTGAATAATCATGTGCACAAGCGCGCGCGCGTGCGTGTGATAACGCGTGTGTGTGTGTGATAACACGTGTGTGTGCGTGTGTGTGTCTGCCCATGTGTGTATTTATGTGTATACCCGCGCGTGCGTGTCTGCGAATGTACACACGCGCGCGTGCGTGCGTGTGTGTGTGTGTGAGAGGGATAACACGCGTGTGCGTATCGGATGACATCACGTGCATGTGTCATGTTTCATTCGCGCGGGATACGTCTGATTCACGCATCGCGCGCGTGCGCTCTTGAAAGTTAAGGGATGCGACTCGACAGTCACGGAGTTACGCGCCGCGTGCTGCGCTGGCTCGCACGATGTGGAACGGCGTCGACACGGAGATGAAAGTCGCTTCTCTCTCTCTCGTTCACCTCCCCCGCACCCCACAGCGACGCCTCGACATTGCGTATGAAGTGTTGCGACTTGGCATGCCCAGTGTACCGGCTGTAATTCCGTTGCCGCCGAGCTAACGATGTGTACACACACACACTGCAGGCTTGCGGTGTGTTTGTGTGTGTGTTTATGAATGTTGTGTTGTGTGTTGTGGTGTAGCGGTTAGCGCTACGAACCTGATCGACCCGGGTTCGATTGCCGCTCACGGCCAACACCAACAGTGACGATTATCTGAATCGGTCCTGGGCCTCCCCTAGGTCTACTCAGCCTCAAATGAGTACCTGGTGCGGTGTGTAAACATCGCCACTGGGGAGACAAAGGCGGCCGGGTGTGGTGTTTTGCCACCCATCCCCTAGTGTGCCGTGCCGGCCTTCACGAGGTGCTCGCTAACGGCACTTGCCCCAACAGTCTGGCACAGGCTAGACGGGGGATCTTTGTCTTTGTGTGGTGGCGCAGTGGCTGTCGCGCTGCGCTGCAAGCACGGCGAGCCGAGTTCGAACCCCCCGCTCACGACCAATAACAGCGGCGAATTTTTGAACCGGTCCTGGGCCTCCCCTAGGTCGACTCGGCCTCAAATGAGTACACCTGGTGCGGTTCGTTAGACATCGCCACTGGGGAGACGAAGGCGACCAAGCGTGGCGCTGGCCACCCACACGGCCTTGATAGGCGCTCGCTAACGGCACTTGGCCCAACAGCCTGTTAAAGGCTATACGGGAGACCTTAATCTTTGTAGCACGTGCATGCACCAAATCAACTCAAACAACTCGGTGGAGCAGGACAAGGGCTGCATTTTTCACTCGATATTATTCCAGAACGCCGCTTGCCTGGGCTTGGCAGAAGGCGTCATCGACCTAAGGCACTACCACTCGAGTGCAAATTTGCGCCGTCTGGAGACGGACTGTTGCTCCCAACGCTGCCTGCCAAGCGAGTTCATGCAGCCACGCATTTCAACCCGTGCTGCTCACTTGCGAGCTACGATTTGCTCCTCGCCATCGCGAACGCGCGCGTCGGTCCATTGCGTCGTTGCGTAACCACTCGCTTCAGGTGTGGACAAAGCGGTCGCTCTCCCTCATCGCTCGTGCGTGGGACACCACCCCCACCGGCTCGTAATCAAGCCGCGCTGATGCCGAGACTGGACGATGGTCTTGGTCGAGTGACCATAGCCAGCCCGCGGTCGCTTCTCCACCGGCTCCTCCACCGCGTCTCTGGTTTTTGTAAGGGAGCTCATGGACCCCCCCCTTCCCGAAATAACCACGCGGGGAGGAGCACAGATTACCGCTGCGGGGTAAGCGGCTCAGCGCGAGAGCGCACGTGCCGTGGAGCGAACCCGAGCCCGCAGCTGGCATCAACATCATTATCATGAAAATCATGAACATCATTATCATGAAAATCATCAACAGCATTATCATGAAAATCATCAACATTATTATCATGAAAATCATCAACATCATTATGAAAATTATCAACAGCATTATAAACATCATCAGCAGCATCATCATCACCATAAAAAACATAATCAACATCATCAACATCGTCATCATAATCATGAACATTATCAACATCATCATGAACATCATAATCAACATCATTAACATCGTCATCATTATCATCATCATCATTATAAACACCATCAACATCATCATCATGAACATCATCAACATTATCAACATCATCATCATAATCAACATCATCAACATTATCAACATTATCATTATCAACATCGTTATCATAATCATCAACATTATCAACATCATCATGAACATCATTATCAACATCATTAACATCGTCATCATTATCATCATCATCATTATAATCAACATCATCATCATCAACATCATAATCAACAGCATCAACATTATCAACATCATCATCATGAACATCATAATCAACATCATCAACATTATCATTATCAACATCGTCATCATGATCATCAACATTATCAACATCATCATGAACATCACAATCAACATCATTAACATCGTCATCATAATCATCAACATCATCATCATTATAAACACCATCAACATCATCATCATGAACATCATAATCAACATCATCAACATTATCAACATCATCATTATCAACATCGTCATCATAATCATCAACATTATCAACATCATCATGAACATCATAATCATCAACATTATCAACATCATAATTATCAACATCGTCATCATAATCATCAACATTATCAACATCATCATGAACATCATCATCATAATCATCAACATTATCAACATTATCAACATTATCATTATCAACATCGTCATCATAATCATCAACATTATCAACATCATCATGAACATCATCATCATCCTCGTCGTCGTGATGGGATCTTCATCGCGTCGTGGTGGACTCTGGTCCGAGCCGAGCTTGTCGACAATCGCTGTGTTTTGAGTTATTAGAACACAGTTGCCCAGCACATGCTTCAGAGGCCCAAGACGTCAAGCGGACAGCTATATAAACAGCACGATCAATGTTGTACATTGACAAGAGTTTATGCGCTTCTGGGATTCGGCGAGGTGACTGTGAGAGCTCGGGTGGGAGTAGGGAGTTCTTAGTGGAGCGAGGGAGGAAGAGATGTTAACTACCTCGCCTGGCACACAGGAGGGCGTGGGTTCGATCCCGACCCTGACGCCTGCTGCTGTATATTTGGAGTGTGCGTCTTTCTCTCTCTTCCCGTAGATATTTTAACTACCTCGCCTGGTATACAGGAGGGCGTGGGTTCGATATCGACCCTGACGCCTGCTGTATATTGATTGACTTGCTTAACTTCCTTATGTCTTACTCTTGGTATAATTTTTTGTAATTGTGCATGCAACTAGCTGACCCATCTATATTGCACATTTGTGCGAAAGAGCGTTATAGTTAATCAGATTCCTCCATATTCTTGGTTCTATTTTAATAATTAACACAATAGACAGGAAGGACAAGTCCAAAGGGCTCGCATAATGCACATGCATAATGTTCTACGTGACTCTACCGAAAGAACCAAGATTATGAATCACTGCAGTCGCAAAAGCTTTAAATAAAAATTCAGATTCCTCCAGTCTAAATAAAGACTGATTATGCACTCTCAGAAAACCCGCGTGGATGATGGGAAGTGAAAAATAAAAGAATGTATTCATGT